GGGAAACTAGTTTGGCCACATCTCAAAAAGCCATTAAAAAAATGATAAAAAAGAAAGAATGAACGTACGAACGCACGCAGAATTCACAAAAGCCGAAACACGCTCACGTGCTCCATTTTCCAATAGCCAAATGCGAATATCTCCCCTCTCGTTCACTAGGCGTATAAGCCTCTCTTTCGACAGCTTTGTACCCCTCTCTTTCTGCACCTCTGGTGTTTGGTGAAATTGTGTCACCCAAGAAATGACGTTAATGACGCCGCTCGCATCCCTGACCTGACTGAAATCCCCCTTCCTCCTCCGCTTTTGGCCAGCTGCTTTTGGCCCACTTTTTTTCGGGCCGAGCGAGAGAGAGAGAGAGATGGGGAGAGAGCTCTCGAGTCGTAGGAGAACCTGAACCTGTCGCTTTCTATTACTCCGGACGAAAATTCGCACAATAAATTGCGTTTTGAGGTCAAGCGAATTAAACTCACAATTTGCCACGCCCACAAGAGTGCGTCACAACGTGTTAAACACAATTATATCAACAATTGTGACTCAGAGGCAATAAATTGAGACTTATTTATTTGTTTACTTTATCTGAAAGGAGCCAATACATTTCGATTGCAGCATTTTCCCGGGAAGTGACCTGAATTCAGCTTGGTTCCTCTTGTAAGTTGCAAAAGTTTGTAATTTGCATTTTTTGTTATCGTTGATTAAATGCAGCCACTGTTCACCCTCCCCCGTTTACGTTTTTTATGGCTGTCTGCTCCATTGTGCAAATATAATTAACATAACGTAAAGTAATCGCAACTTTTAAGCAAAGCAAAGAAAAACGAAAATAAAAATCTTCGTTAAACTTTCTTTTGTGCGACGGCAGCGACGTCAACCGAGGCAGAGGCCTTGCCATTGTTGTCTTTGATTTCTTCTTCAAAAGAAAAAGGCATTTAAGCGTTTGCCGTTAGCTGAGGGTTATTGTTGTACTCATATTTGAGTTATTACTGCAGAGCGACTTACCAAAGTTGAGTTTGCCGTAATTCTAGTCCAATTGACAGTCGTTTAGAGAACTTTTTGAGATTTTACTCTTACTTAAAAGTTTTTTTTTTAAATAAATTCGGGACTTGAAACTCATTTGATAATTTTGACTTTCTTAAAAAATATATAATTTCTTCACTAAATAATTAGTTCAAGAGTTTCATCTTACGGATAAAAGTTCCATTTTCTGTTAACAACTAATGTTAAGAAACTGTTAAATTGTATAAATACGTTTTTGAGTTATGTATCTGCATATTTTACTTAATTTTTATCAAGGTAATTTATTCAATGGTATAGCTTAAAATATTAAAAACATGTGAGATTCTTTTCAATGGAAAATGAGATAGGTAATGTTAAACATTTAGATACACAACTAGTGAAAAGTCACTGGTTTTAAAATGATTAAAATGGAACTAGAGAAGGTGTGAACAATTTTTACAAGCCGCAAAACTTGTTATGGAATAAATAGGTCTAGTTAAATAGCAACTGGGCTTTGGGCTAGTTGCGATCGGACTTGTAAATGTGTCAAAGGGTAAATCCAATTCGCCTTTAAAAATATTAATTGAATTTCGGGAAAATTTCGGAATATTCTGTGTAAGCGCCTTTATCACTGTCATAAAACTGTCATTCTCTGCGCCCCAGGTCGATTGCTGTCAAACTGCGAAATGGCTCTCTGTCCACTTCGGTGGTCCTATTTATTTGTTTGCCGACTAGTTTTGACAGCCTTTGTATTTGCACAGGCAACGATGACGTCCGTTAGAACCTGCAGCGAACGGAAAGTGTACACTTTGCTGCAAACAATGCGAACTACAGACACTACAAAGCACGAACTACAAACACGGTGTTAAAAAGGCGCTGTGGACAGCTGACACATGCACCAACACATCGCAAACGACGTTCGCCCGCCCGCACTCGCAGATACAAATACCCAATGTATCTGGCAGCGGAGTATTTTGAACTCGTGTAATCTCTAGCATTGTGCTGAGCTTTCCAGCTGCAAAATGTGAAAAAAGTGGAAAAAGTGCTGAATTGGGTCACACTCGTTGGCTTTTATGACAGCTTAGATTGTTGTCAATGCCTCCGCCTGCCGCCTGCCGCCTGCCGCCTGCAGGTTCCCAGCCGAGTGGAAACTTTTTGACTAACTTTTCGAGAATCAGTTCTTTGAACCCGCAGGCCAAAACGTCGATTTTCAAATTTTAATGTAGTTGTTACTTAGTTTTTGTCATTTACGATCAATTAAATAGATTTAAACATTAAAGTTATTTTCAACCAATTCAGATTTTATTTTATTTAAAACAAGTGTTTATCTGATTTGGAAATGCATATTTGTTCATTACAGAAAATGAACTAATAATAATTCTTATAATAGGATAATACACCAAATTTAGAATATTTTTCACAAGTGTACTTCTTCATTTTGAGAAGTAATTTAGCGATCTAATCGTAGCCACTGAGCGAAATAACCACAAAAGCCAATTAAAGTGGAATTTCCTTCAGTAGGAAATGGAGACGCGACAGAAACGAGCTGACAATGTCCGGTGCAGACAGGTAGTCATGGCCAAAGAAGTTTGGCTGCAACCCGATGCAGCCCCCAAATGGCAGACAAATTATGACCCAAGCCAATCGCAAACATCAAGCTCAGGTGTATTGCTACACAGGTAAACATCCACGCCCTCGTCAGAGTTCAATGTTTTCACTTTTCGCCATCTCTTTCACCTCGATAGCAACTCTTTTTCTGCTGACTTGTCAGCAAACCTCGTAATTTGTAATTGTGACCCTTATAACGCGGGTTTTTTTTTAAAACTATGACTGGCTTTGGCATTGTAATCGAAAAATGTATTGTAATAAACGATTAAATGCTTTGATTAAGACACAAAAGAACACTATTTTGGCTTCAAGTAACTTAAATTGCAGCAATTCCATAATATTTATCTTAGTGCTTTAAATTATGATCCACAAATTTTTCCTGGAATAATATTTATGATTTTCTTCTTTATAACATGACTCTGACCTCATTTGTGTGTGGATTGTTTCCTTATATCAGGAGGAAATTGGGATTGGGCACTTATACCGTGGACTTTGTAATCAGATAACAAGTAAAGCTAACACTTTCGGAAGCGCGTGGAAACTTCGGTAATTTCCTTTTGGGTGGTTGTGAGTGGCTTCTTCCGCACTATATTGACATGGTGGCACCGAAACCCATCACTGGTGGCGTTTTCTCTGCCCAAGTTCGTTCACATTTCGACGCGCTTGAGCTCTATAATTAAGAGAGAATCAGTGAGCTGTTGGTGATTATGCTCGCTTGATTTTTATCACTCAGCCCAGGGTGTGCGTGTGTGTATCGTGCGTGCCGAACCGTCTTAACAATTTATTTTGGCCATAACGCGCAATTGGCACTCATTATCATAGTCACCCACTCCTCTCAGCCCGCGGTCTATTGTGGTGGGCCATAAAGACAAACTGTGACTTTATTTATTTTGGTCCCACTTTGGGTGTTCGCCACTTGAGTGTGGTCAGGATCGAGAGTGTCCCGCAGCTCTGTTTATGGCCCACTTTATGCAAATCCATTGTCAGGCTAATGGGCGTATTTCCCCGTCTAGCTTTTCACTCTCGAAGTATTTCAGCGATTGCACGAGAACTTCTATGTTGTGATTCATTAGCTTGTTCTTTTTTGGTTTGAACATTTTTCCATTAAAAACAGCGCGTGTTTAATGTTTTTCCTTTTAGAGTTCCTAATAATTTCCATAATATTTTCTAGTGTTTTAAAACTCTAAGATTTCTTAAAATAATATATTATTATAGGTTTTTTTATCTTTAACATACATTTTAAATTTAATATGTTTCAGTTTAATTAGTTTTAAGTGATTCCATTTTATTTCGTTAACGAACTAGTCTGTATGTTGCAAATATCTTGTAGCTTACTGATCTTATGGATAGGGCTAGTGGAGCAGATATAGGCTTTTACTAAAGACGGTTATTTACTTTCGCAGCAGTTTGGTATACCCTCTTGTAGGGTACCGACATGAGCTTTTTGTGCGGAGCATCAGGGAAAAGAGGGAGTGGCAGTTATGCATGCTAACCTTGCTGGCATTCAGAATTTTCGACATTTCAATTCCATTTCCCCTTTGGCACTTGCTTGCTGTTCCTGGAGCTCCTGCTCCTTTCTCATTCCATTGTGGTGGCATGCTCAGACGGGGAGTCATAACTCTCGGCTTTATGTTGGAGGTGCTTGGGAATCCGACATGCCCGAAGCATGACATAATAATGTCACCATAAAGCGAACTTCCCCCGCCCAACCTTCCCATTTTGCCTTATAAACACATATCTCCCTCTAAATAATTCGTCATCGCTGGCGTGTGTTTCCAAAGAAAAGAGGGTATCGTGTGCTGTTGGGTTATATGCTAAGTAGCTGTCGCTATGGATCGGGGAATCGGGGTTTAGCCGGTGGGAGGTTAAGGGGCGGAAGCATCAAGGGTGTTATCGCCTGAAAATTGCCTCCTCTACGTGAGTCGTTTGAATACGTTTGAATCAATTCGTTTTACTGCCGGGCAGTGATATAATACTCGAGTTTGGCATGCACAACATTCATACATATAGATTTCTGTATAATGTATGCAGCTGTGCACAGGGAGAAAAACGACTTAAACTATTTGAACGCTTATTAAATTTTATCTGATAAGAATTAAATGAAAACAAATTAGTTTGTAAATAGCTTTGCAATGACTAAATTATATTTTAAGCCTATTGCTACAAAACATTATAAATAAATGATTAATGCCAGTTGAACTTAGTATTTAAACCTTTGTTTTTGAGTGCCTTTGTTATCGTAAGACGCAGTTTTCGAGAGCGACTTGTGCCGACCTCGGATGTGACTAATTCAGCGGCGAACGCAACTGCCACTATAGCTTTTAATTGCATTTCCGTTCTGTCTCCAAGCGATCTTCGTTCCCGTTCCGATTCTCAAGCTCCTCTCGATTATCTCTTTGCAGAAAGCGTCAAATCCATTCTGGGTCGCCACACAAAGATACTCGTCAAGTATATGGTCAAGTTGGAGACGAAAGGCGACAAGACGGAGAACCGTGTTCTGGTAAGTGAATCCCCCCCCGAAGTTGGCTAATTGGCCTGGCTTTCGGCCTGCTGCCAGCTACTTCAGATCTCTTGGACTCCAGATCTGCTGACGGCCGGCAGTCGCCGACTGTCTGTCAGCGGCACAGATTCAAATTGCCGCATCTGCAGGCAGTCTGTGGTCCAATTTGGCTTTGAAATTGCATCCCCCAGTCTAATTGCCTTAAATTCGAAGGAGGCTACCGTTTCGCCTGAAGTGCCATTTAAGTAATGAATATCTACAGCCACGGCTCGCGAGCTTTGTAATAATGTGGGTCGAGTTAGACTTTTGAGAAGGTTCTTAATAAGAAAATATGTAGCTTAAGATCAAAAACATACTTAAACTAACATGATTGCAGCTAGTGGTATTATTTAAAACTATCTAACTTCCCAAGTTCTGGAAAACATTTAAGATCAAAGAGGTTTTTACTATAGATTATTAACATTTTTATTGTTAAGCTTTTCATTTTTCTAAACTTGTTTTCATGTTAGAATTAAGGTATTATAAACACACGTTTGTAACGTTATCCCATTTAAATTTAAGGTCGATTTTTTACATTTTTATTCAACTTTAAAGTACAACAAATTTGGCTGGCATTTGGGCAAATAGCCACTTTTCCTATTTGCTATTAGTTAAAATAATCTGTTTTAGTTTCAACCCGTTATTCTAATTTTAGGAAAATATTAGCTTTTAGAAGCAAAGTGAAAGCGAGTGCACAAGCATTAAACAGACGTACTTGTCTATTAAGCTGCAAACTCAGCTAAAGCTCTTTCACATTACAAGGGGGTAACCGATTTGCACCTGAAACCAGAACCGAAATTGATATTTTATAGCATACTTAGTGGCGATGGGACACGACTTTTTCTCCTGGGGGTCGGGCTATGCTAATTCTGTACCTGGCCACTTGTACGGCCGCTTAGAGAGCGCACACAGCTGAAAAATTGATTTGTGCAAGCGGCTTACAAGGTGGCTGAGACAAAGTGTCCAATTACGAAAGTCGGTGGGGGCCAACTCTTCCACCTCCCATTTGCTAGCTCCATTTGCTGTTGGACTCTGCATTTGAGAAGCTAAATTAATTATTTGGCGCACTTTGATTTGCCATTAGTAGCAGCAAACTTTTCTCAATCAATTTTGACTAGACAAAGGCCGGCCAAATTGAGTTTTAAGTCTCCTATTCTTGTGATAACGGAGTTACACTTCACTAACAGCCTGATGAATGGTCTCCATCTGCCCCATCCCCTTGAAGTTCCAGACAAGCGTGTTGGCACGCATGTCTAGCCTGTGTTTTCTTTGCCAATTACAACACTTTTCACTCATGTTTCGCACCTCCTCTCCTTTTGCAGGTCTTTACCCCTGTGAGGGTCTATTTGCTCAGTGCCAAAGTGCCCACGAAGGTGAGTTTGTTGCACATAGCATGTGTCGCAATAACTAATTACATACTTATTTCCCCCAGATCGAATGCCATTTCCACTACCTGGACATTGTGGGAGTCGAGAGCAAGAAGTCAAGCCATTTCTCCATTGTCACCAGCGATCGGCCATACTCGTTTGTCACCACCGGCGATGCGGGCAATTTCAGCTCGGTAAGGCAAAACGACTTACTGGTTATTATTTGTAATGTTCCATATGTAATTATCTCCATTTCGGTTGTGTTCATTCTGCAGAACGCTGATGTCATTCTGACCGATCTCGCCTCGGCCATCAAGCAGATATTTCCAACAGTTCCTCTAAAATACATTATCCGAAAGGTAAGTACCGTCTAAGCGTCTATTGAAGGGCTATCATCGGGATTTCAGTGAATTAGTTAAAGTTGAAGAATGATGATTTTTGTTATACTTGAAGTTTTCTTAGGAAAATATAGATTTATATAATTATTCCCTTTAATATAAGTAAGTCAGATAAGAAGTTGAATTTGACAGATGCCAGCAGTATTCACCAATGAATTAAATCAAATTTATACATGTATTTTTATTCTTATACCCTTGCAGAGGGTTATTAAAAATTGATTACAATTTTAAAGAGACACCGACCATATAAAGTATTTATATATATGCTTGATCAGTGTACATAAACAGACAAGATGATATAGCTATATTCGGCTGTCTGTCTGTTTCTATTCAGTTTGCGAGCTCAGCTTAAAAGCTATAGACTTGTAATGTTTATGCAGATCAAGTTTGAAAACGGCGCTGCCATTGAAACGATAAGATCAAAATTGTTCGATTTTCGGGTTTATACCCGTTACTCGTAGAGTAAAAGGGTATATTGTATCAGCATCAATTGCCAAGTCGATCTAGACATGTCCGTCTGTATGAACGTCGAGATCTCGGAAACTATACAACGTAGAAATTTGGGACTTGGCATACAAATTTTAGTAGTTCTTACTATTGCGGTTTGTCGTGTGTAAATATATATGTATGTTTTGTCACTTTGAGACATGTGTGTGTTTCGGTCATATCTATCGGTAGACACAAAAGTTATTGGGTTTTATGCCGCTCTGCCGGTACTCCGCCGCTGTTCGGCCGCTGCTTGCCGGTAAGCACTGCAGTAGAGAGACAAAACGAAAGAACTGCAAGCGGGGGGTGGTGTGCTGCACGCACTTAGCTTTTAGTGTTGTCTATGCAGTTCGACAGATGGTGCGACCTAAACTTCGTTTGTTTTGTAGTTGGAATACTTAGCTTGAAGTTTATTGGTTGAGTAATGTGTATTTAATAGTCGGGAAACTCGACTATAGCGTTCTATCTTTTTTTTTTTAATGTGGATAAGAATATGTTTGTTTCGTTAAATTATGTTTTTATAGTATCTAGAGCCTCATATTGCTGACCATACGTTTCGCAAGGTGTAAAATAAAAATCGATTTTTTTTGTACTGTATGTTATGTACACTGATCACGTTAAAAAAAAACCTTACCAATCGAAGAGCTATATCATATAGATGCCATAGGAACGATCAGGAATTTTCTATAGTCTACGTAAATCTCGTTTTTTGCGTACTCATTGGAAAAAATAGTAAAGCTTTCGACAAAGTAAATGTTTATATGCTTATTTCTTCTGCAAATTAAAATTATGACCCATCACTTTAACCCGTTGGGTATCGTTGAGTGGTGCGGTATCGACCGCTGCTTGCCCACTGACTCACTGCTGGCTTTAATTAATGTTTAATTAAATATTTAGTGAGCAATGTGTGTGTGTGTCTGTCGTGGGTACTTGGGGACATGTACATAAGTGGCATCTCACCCACTGTGTCAGCATGCCAACCCCTCCCCCTGTTCAATTAGGCCGTAAGTACATAAACGTCGTCATCTGCGCAAGTTGGGGTTAGTAATTCAATGCATTTTTAATGCTCCTGGCCCGAGTTTGTCGTAAATTATGCTCGATGTGTTTATGCAAATCGCCCGAGATCCGCCCACGAGAGGCACCCACGACTATAATGGAACTATGGTTCACCCAACCCATTGTTGTTGTTTTGCGACTTTTATCTAGCAATTCGACTGGGAAGTGGCAGCAACAATTGAAGCTACATGGCAGGGATAATTGCCGCAGGGCACGCGACTCGGGCGTCATCGGGTTGACGCCTTAAAATGAACCCATTAAAATTCGCATTAGGCAAGTGTTAAATGCGAGATTAAGTTTAAGCAGATTGTTGAGCATAAGAGGAAAGGAAGGGAGGAGCTGCTCTCGAGAAGTTTAGCTGGCAGTCCGAAAAGTTGCATTGTTCTCCAAGTTGGTCAACTTGAGCAACACAACAAAGGCGAAGAGGTCTTGAGACCTTTAAGCGAACTCTTAAAACTTTGTAAACGTTTTTTGCATCAGGTCAGTGAACTGTTTTCGTCTTTCCCTTTTTTCTCCAGATCGATATACAGCCGCCGGAGCGGGAGACCATATTCTCCGAGGAATTTCGACCCTCCGATCCGCGAAATGTGGGCCCTTGTGGGGGATTCAGTGCCCAGTACGCCTGCATGTGCGATTTCCATGGCGTTCCGTACCGCGAGGAGGTGGCCTGGGATGTGGACACCATCTACCTGTCCCACGACACGCGAGTGCTCAACCTGCGCGACTTTGACCACCTGGAGCCAAAGTGAGTTTGTCATAATAAGCTCTTCTAAATAATGTAAATCCAATGTACTTGATTACTCCCATTAGAGACTTGATGGCCATCGTTTCGGCGCTGGAATACAACACGTTTTTTCGTGGCCTGAAGGCAGCCCACATGCGGTTGTCACACGAGACCCTGGAACGCATCCTGCACGTGCTTAAGCGATCGATGTGGCTGGAGGAGCTGCATCTGGAGGCATTGGGCTTGAGGTAAGTACAAAGTACATTCAGGGGTGAAATGTGGGTCATTGTAGTTAATCCTTACTCTTATTCTTGTTGCAGATGGGATTTCCTAAACAAGTTATCGCTATCTGTGATATCGAATAGCAATCCCGCCATTCGTACCATCGATCTGAGCCACAATATAATTGAGGATAAAGGTGCGTACTCAAATCCCTGGATGGCAATCAACTGCCCTGCCCCTGCTGACAACGCTGTCCCACAACTGCCATCGAATTGCAATCGAGACCGCCTCGTGTAATCCAATTAATCCAGTTCTTGTCTACCTCTCTGCTATCGTTTCTCTTCCCCACCGACTATATATGTGTTGTCGTTGTTGGTTTGCCATTTTCATTTGCGATTTGTGTAGGAGCAAGTTCATTGTGCGCCCTATTTGGAAAGATTGTACAAGGTTTGCAGCTACCAATAGACACCATAGCACCACAGCCATCTAAACAAAACTTAGCCATTGCATTGTTGTTGTGTTACTGCCATATTGCCGTTACCTTACTGCTTATTTCCCTAAGTTTGCAACTTAATTTGCCGGCTTGTGTGACCATTGTCGAGCCACCAACACCAATTTGTTCAGATGGTCCAGATCAATGGTCCATTTCTACTCTTTTCATCGACAATGGCCACACAGGTCTCAACTCATTCGATAAGGAGTTCCCATACTTTTTCTTCATTCTCGCCTTGAACATTCTGCTCTCTGTGTGAACAAAATTAAACAATTGGATCAATGAAACTTTAAGTATTCGAATTGTCTTACGATCATGCTTTTCATTCATTCTACAGTCGTTGTTTTTGGGTTACTCAAGAGTTTGCTTGTCTGCTATTAATATGCGGTGTCTTTTCTGGTTCAGGTGCCATTCATCTGGCCGGGCCCATTGCCAAGGTGTCCAAGGGCCTGTGCAAACTGGCCTTGGCCCACTGCGGCCTCACTTCGAAGGGAGTCAACCAGATGTCGCACTCCCTGACGCTCAATCAAAGTATTTCGAACTCGCTCACGTATCTAGACCTAAGTGGTAATAGTCTCAAAGATGATATAACCGTAAGTACTTTGAACTAAATCCAAATCTATATTGTTTTCAAATTAATACATATTTTTTGCAGAATCTGCACAATTTCCTGGCTCAACCCAATGTGCTGGAGCACTTGGACCTGGCCTCGACTGACATTACGCTGGAAAACGTATGAAGACGACAGTTTTTGATAGGTCAACCTATGTGCTAATCCCTGCTTTATTTGCTTTCCAGTTGTTTGGCGCTCTGTTGCGCGGCTGTGCCACGCATTTGGCCCACCTGAACGTCTCGCACAACTCGTTCAGCACCAAAAAGGGCAAGGAGATACCGCCCTCGTTCAAGCAGTTCTTCACCAGCACCTTCAGCCTGAAGCACCTCAACATCGCCGGCTGTAAACTACCCATGGAGGCGCTGAAGAACCTGCTGCTTGGTCTGGCCTGTAACGAGTCCACGGCGGGGCTTTACCTGGATCTCAGTAGCAATACGCTGGGCGCCCAAGGTGCCCACGTGCTCGAGTCCTGCATCCATGGAGTGCGTGTGCTGCAGAGCCTGGACATCAGTGATAACAGTAAGCAGAACTGCTAAATAATGATCACCATTGGTCAAAACATTAGTACTAATCTCTACAAATTTTCCAGATCTGGATGCTGAGCTGGCTCCCGTGCTGACGGCCATATCGAAGAACCCCTCGATCCGGACGCTCCACCTGACGCGCAGCCTTACGGGCATGAAGCCGAAGCACATTCCGCCCGTCATGGATGCTCTGGTGAACCTCATCCAAAAGGACGACTTCCCGCTGGCCGAGCTGGTGCTGTCGGAGAACAAGCTGAAGCACGACCTGCACGACTTCATCAACGCACTGGGCAGCAACCAGAGCCTCCAGAAGCTGGACATCAGTGGCAACTTCATGGGCGACGTGGGCGCTCGGTTGCTGGCCAAAGCTCTGCAGATCAACAACCGGCTGCGCACCATTTACATGGACAAGAACGGCGTGACGCTGCAGGGCTATGCGGATATCGTTTACGCGCTGGAGCACAACCACAGCATGCGCACCATTCCCTTTCCCGTGTTTGACATCGCTCCGCACCTGAAGAGCCATCCGGAGAAGACGGATGCGGTGATGCGGAAGATGCAGGAGCTGCTGCAGCGCAACTGCAACGGATTGAAGCGGGCCACTGGCCAGGGGTTCCGGCTGCAGCATGGCTTCTTGCTCTCCTCCACGCACCAGCTCGTGGACAAGCTGGTGGCCGAGACACAGGACACTATTTCGCTGGCCAAGGGCGGCAGCGATTCCGCGTCGGCGGTGCAGCGACTGATTTCCGACGCCGAGAACTGCAAGCAGCTGATGCCCAAGCTGCAGGAGGCCGTTCGCAACGACAGCCATCCCATCGAGATGAAGCTGACCCGCGTGGCCAGCGAACTGGGCTACACGATCAAGAGCTATCTGGAGGAGACGCTGGAGACGATGATGCGCACTGGCATCGAGCAGTGCCCCAAGACGCTGGGCAACCAGATCGTAGTGCAGGATCTTCGCAAGGGACTCGGCGAGCGTCTGGTGGTGCCCGAGGAGTTTCTCCAGATCTGCCTACTCAACAACGCCGGCAGCGAGATTATGAACAAAGTCTGGTAAGTTTTGAGCAAGGGAATATTATTTGCAGGGAGAGTGGCTAAAGGACAAATAAGTAAATAAACATGCTTTTACAAAAACACTTTAACTTCACGGGTAACTGGAATAAAAACAAGGTTTATTTAAAGCATTTCTAGCTTTACTAAGATTTAACAAAACCAGTGAGGAAGCAAAATTAGCAGGTGTTACAAAAATTAAATATTCCATAAATATCTTTAAAAACAATAAAGCTTAAAACTATTACTATATATGGAAAAAAATCCTATAATTAAAAAACCGAAAAGATATGTTTTAAAATTGTTTCTTCAATTGTTCCTATGGGAGCTATTGATAGACATAGTTGTCCGATCAGGACCGTTCCGACTTACATACATATGTATATACTACCTGCAATAGAAAAAAAGAAACAGACATGTCTAGATCGATTCTCCTAGTGATGCTAATTAATAACATGTATACTCTATGCTTTAACTGCGTTGCAAACTTATGACTGAAATGAGAAAAAAGTTAGGAGAGAAAGCCACTTGTTTACCATATTCCATGAGTATTGGCCAAACGATTAGAAAAATGTTAAAAATAGATTATAATACATATATAGTATAGTATAGTATATAGTATATAGAGTAGCTGAGATAAGGAAATGTACAGTAAATTCGAACTAAACAGAATGATATTAGAACTTCGAAATGTAGACAAACCCATTTAGTTAAGCTTAAAAATTCTGAGTAATTCCTAACACTTGCTATGTTATTTCTGGCAATTCGCAATAGAATTCGCACATTGCCATGAATGAGGAGCAAGAAAAGAGAGCCGAAATAAACACTTGATTGCTGAGTTTTTCGGCGCACTCTTTTTCCAAAACAAGCTTTGTGTGGAGCTCTCAAAGCGCTCTTTTCGCACTTTACGCTCTTTTCGCTCCTTACGCTCTTTTCCTATAAACGTTCGAAAAATTCTGTTTGTTTTGGTATTCCCATATACACATTGGTGAGAGAGCCGACGCTTAGATAAGATTAAAAACAGCACTCGAAAAACCAGAAACAGCTGAATGCATTTCCACTGTGGACGGGATTTCGGAGTCAAACACTGTTATTACGGCTTGCTCCAAAAATTGGTTTATCTGTGTTTATTGGCTGGGACCAGCTCACATCCCTTTAGTTCGCCTCCAGCTATCAAAGGAAATGGGTCTAATGAGCACTTTGTGCTGCTGCTTCGGTGGTCAGAATTCCAAGGCTTCAGGCACTAGTCCAGCCTATAGAGAGTGTCCCGATGAGGAGCCACCGGAGGAGCTGGTTACAGGGCCGGAATCTGAGGATGTTTCTAATAAAAAGTAGTTGTAGTTAGGGCTTATGTTTATTGCCAACTAACATGCTTTCATCTATTGTCCTTCCTCAGCGAGATCGAACAATCCCTGGCCGCCGCCATCTCGGATCGCGCCACAGACGAGGTGCTGGAGGCCCTGACTCGCTATCGCCGTGGCATGGGCATCGCAGAGTCGCCATCGGTGCTGCTGGACGAACCGCAGACACCGGACATCGTGCGCAGTCGCTCCAGCCATGTAAGTGCGGTAGCTTATTCGATGCGGGGGCGATCGGTCGAGTGGGTGGCCTTATCAGCCCAGCTAATGACAAATGTGATGTCATGGCCCTAAGCCTCTCGGCCGAGTCTTACTTTCGCTTCGACCCCAAAAATTGAGGCAGTTGGTATTGTGATCGGCGGTGCTGCTGGTTCGGCTCTGCTTATCAGCCAGCACATTCGATTACAAAAAGTTCACCCAATTTGGGGAGTTGCCGAATCAAACAACTATTTAGAGTGGACCTGGACACTAACGAGTACACCTTCTCCCTTTTTTTGTTTAGGATGCGGATGGCTTGATCATACGCCCGGGCGGACGAGGCTCGATATTGCCCAAACTGGGCTTGGAATCGCCCACTGTAAGTGTTGAAAATCTCTCGCTACCCAAGTGGATGCAATAGACTCCTCCGCAATCAGCCAAATATTAGTCCATAGCCACATCATATATTAATGAGTATATGCGAACAGTAGAGTGCCAAGTGTCGGAAAGATATATCATTCACATCCACATTTACCCCACAGTCATCCAAATACCCGCCACCACATACATACATATGCTTAGTACATTCATGTGTAAAACTCAACACCCATTCCGATGTAGTTGTCACATGCAAATAAAAGAAAGCCCCACATGCATCACATTATGCTTTCCAACACACACACACATTGTATCTCATTAATAAATTACTTAAATGTGTACACCAAATGCTCATGCTCATTATTTTTCTCGTGTCTTCCTGCCCTGATCTGATCATCATCATCATCATGACCATCAATCAAAACCGAAAACGAAACAAAATCAATTGTACCAAATCGCAAATACTCGTACTCGTACTCGTTCTCTATACATACTATAATTAAACCTTGTCTCCAACTCATTTACATAATTGCATTTCAAAACCCAAACAAACACAAAAAGAAATTGGAATATCTCAACCTTGTAAGTAGTTTTTGTCTTGTTCTTAAGTCTATCTATCAGTCTATAGTGACTTTTCTGGGGCAGTGGTTTTGAAATTGCACAGGAATTCCCTGCTAATTTTGACCACTGTTTTGGGAAAGGCCACTCAAAAATCCTATCTTTATCTTTATCCATCTGTAGACTGCTCGTTTCTGTAGACTTTCTTTTTCTGTGACCGTTTTGATTTGTAGAATCTATTGTAACCCCCGAAAGAACCAAAAACAATCTTCATTATTTCACACACACTTTAAAGCCTCATAAGCATCACATAACACATCCATTTAGACATATCCATGCTAATCCTGATACTACCTCCCCAATAGGCAACTCCGCATCTGCCCACCAAGCGGCGCAGCCTGGCCAAAAAGGTGCGTCCCCAGTCCGTGGTGGAGAATCTCAGCCTAGGCCACTTCCCCGACCTCCTGGAGTCGCCCTCCTCGCACCGCTCCAGTTCCCAGTTGTCCGCCCGCGCAGCTACTGGCGCCGCCGCATTGGCGGGAGCCACCAACATGACCGACAGCATTGCGGCCATGGACGACGGTGGAGTGGATGAGTGCTGCGACTCCATCACCGAGCTGCCCAGCGCCTCGTTCCAGCTGCAGCACCTGGTGAAGGGGCGGCCGAAGCGGGCCAAGACGCGTGCACCCACCCGGCCGTTGGTCAGTGCCGAGTGCGCCGGGGGCAGCCGGGAGATCGGCGAGGGTCTGGAGCACTTCTTCCGGCCCGGATCGGTAACGCCCACGACTCTGACTCCCCTTGTTTCGCCCACGTCGGAGGAGTGCAGCTCGCTGTCCTTCGTGGACAGTCCCACGATGAGCCGCGACGGCAACGGACACATGACCTCCGAGGAGACCACGCCCATTCTGGAGGAGCGTCGACCAATTAAGCTGGAGCGCCAGTCACCCTTGCTTAAGAGTACGTGTAGCTTATGTGGGCATTGCGATGGGTTCTAAGTTTTCATTTAAATCAAAACAATCGTAGGCGCCTCATGGGCAACCCGCTCCCGGTCCACAGACAACCTGGAGAAGTATTCGCCGCTGGTGGGACGCAAATCACCGCTGGTCAAGATGCGAACAGAGGGCGGACCTGGCTCGGGCACTGCCGGCGGCACTGAGGAGACCAGCTCTAATCTTCTGAAGGCAACTGCACGCGAGGACAAGACGCGTTCGCCCAGCAGCGATTCGATCAAAACCCATGCCACAGGCGAGGGTAGCGTAATTGTGAAGACGGGAAATGGCATCCTGCGAACGCCTATTGTCCTGCAGAAACCGCGTCCTTGGTCCGTGGTGGGCAGTGAGCCCAAGGCAAGTGGAGAGCTTGTCACAGGCAATGGAAATGCCGATTCCAGCAAGACCACGCCGGACAAACTAGAAGAAGGTGGGTGGAGCAAGTGGGAAAAACGAGGGTTGAGTACTATCACACATCCTTTACTTTTAGATGACGTCGAGGTAGTGACCTTTGGAACGAGCTGCGGTGGCTCCATCGTGGGCATCTCGCCGGGAATAGCCTTATCAGCGGGTGGCGGTGGCAGCATTGTGGGCATCACACCAGGTAATTACTTAAAAACAAACGTAACTGTACCCACTTGTTTCTAAGAGTTCAACTTTCTTTCAGGAGCCGCCCTCGAGAAGAAGTCTGTGCGGGAACTAGCAGCGGGACTCAATAGAATGGGTAAGCTAAATTCTCTGCATGCTCACTTGTATCTGCTTGTCCAAGTACTTAGCTCCCCTGTTAGTTGTAGCTATGCAACCCCTTTTGATTTTCGTATGTTTTGTATCTTATTTATTTTCATATTTTGATTGATTTCTTGCACTCCCTACTTGTAAAGAACTCCCCCTCAAGCCGCCTGTTATGCCCAGAACGCTGCTAAACGCGGCCAGTGCCCGCACGAGCACCTCCTCCACGGGCTCCACCTCCAACGGGGTGGGTGGGTCAGTAAGCTCATCCACAACCTCCATCACGACCTCGACGATAGTATTAAACCAGAGCCAGACGCGATCGAGGATCGTGAGCTCGACGAGCAACAGTGGCAGCACGGAGACCATCACAGAGCACAGCAGCACCAGCACCAGCACCAACACCTCCTCAAGCAGCCACGAGAAGCAGCATGCCAAGGCCTGTGCCAGTCTGATCAGCAATGAGATCCTGAGCATGCGTAACGGGCAGTTGGGGGCCAAGTCCGGGAGTTGCGCGGAGAGCGGCGGCGTGAAGCGGATCGCCGGCAAGGAGATCTCCACGCTTTTCGAGGTTTGAACTGCGAGGACGAAGCTGCATTTGCATTGGGACAGCTTGCATTGATCACTGCTCAAAATTGGTGGCCACGATGCTTCGTTGATTTCGGTGCTCATCCTGTGCGTCTAACATCCGCCTTTGTCGCTTAGTGTGTAGTCGTTAAGTTGTGTCTACCACCTAGTACGCCGCATGTTGCCTGTTTTCCATATTGTTTGTGTATGCCTGTTGACATCCTGTGTAAGCGAACCGACTAATAATGGACACACTCTTCCACTTTCCCGCAGGAGACATTAGTTGAAGAACTGCAGCAGAGCATGGCGAGCAGACGCATGTTTAGAGACTCGCCCTACACCAAGGAGGATGTCGTTGATTTATAAGTGTTCTAGATATATGCTCAACATTCCCTCACATCGGCTCCTAGTCCTCCGCCCAACCTGCAACCTCCACTTGCCACAGTTTTGCGTGATCGATTGTAGGGTTGATGATAAGATAAGTGATGATGATGATGATAATGATGAGATGATGGAGACGGATGGAAAGATGGAAACGAGGTTGCAACTTATTCGTACTGAACCATTAATTTATGTGCAATGGCGCGTGTGTGTTGTTTTCATTTGGCAATTTAGAATGAACGTGATTTATTTATTGATATATACCCTGATACTTTTATCCAAACTAACCTTTGCATATTTTTAAAGATGTTTTGTGTACTATATTTTATATTTTTATGTATTTAAAATGAGTTAAGTGCCAATTATATACAGAATTAACATTAAACTATTTTTAGCGTGTGCTATACAAACAATTTCAATGAAACTAACGAAGATAACGCAATGAATATGATATACTATACATATTATGTAAATCGATTGCGTGCATAAGAACTATTTTAATGGTCTAAACCTAGACAAATCTAAATGAAATATAATATTTTTTATAACTGCTTCCAAATACAAATTTTATCGTTTATTATTTTCCCATTTTAATTTACCTAACTTATACACATACTTATAGTATTCAAGCGACAATCCGTTTTCAACTTTTAACGCCAGAAACGAATGCATTTATTTAAAAACGAAACGGATACCGACGATCTTATTGATTATTTTCTAAAAAGTTAACAATTAACGCTAAGAAATTAGGCGAACGAAACCGATAAAAAATTACTTAATGCATTTAAACGACAGAAAACCGAACACTACAGAAAACTAAGTACTCAAATCGCGAATCGATCAATTTCAATTTTGAAGATCTAGTAGTTTGCACCAACGACACAGGAAATTTAAAGAGAAGCGTTTAAACCAGTCCACCACCGACCACACACTTCGAGTTTTGAGTGTTACCCGATTCCCATTCAACTTCAAAAACCCAAATCGAATTACACAAAACTTAAAGTGTTCATTAATGTTAAGCAATTAAAATCTTCATTGTAATCTATTGAAATTCAAATTAAACGGAAAACAAAAGAGGGAGAGTTTTATTTTTAAATTTCGATAAGCTGGCCCGCCTATGAGAAAGTCCCATAGAGCACATTTCAAAGGAACGCTGGGATTTTTGTGCGGTGTGAAACTTTGATTCCCACTGGACGCAAGTACGGAGTTATCGAAATTCGCGGCATTTACCCAGCCCTATTAGAGACAGGACTGCAACCCATCTCTAGGGCCATCGATGCCGGCAGTGCTTGATATCGAAAAGTCGTTCATCCCCAACTCGCGTCGGCTGCAAATTGTTTTTTCCGTGTGTTTGGAAAATAAACGAATAAAGAGCAAGAACAGGCCGAGTCCAGACAAACCGCCTAAGCACAGACACTGCCACGATGGTGAAACTAACGCCGGAGCTGATCAACCAGTCCATGCAATACATAAACCCCTGCCGGGAGCGCGAGCTCGATTTGCGCGGCTACAAGATTCCACAGATCGAGAACCTGGGTGCCACCCTGGACCAGTTCGACACCATCGATCTGTCGGACAACGACCTGCGCAAGCTGGACAACCTGCCGCACCTGCCCCGGCTTAAGTGCCTGTTGCTGAACAACAACCGCATCCTGCGCATCAGCGAGGGACTGGAGGAGGCGGTGCCCAACCTGAGCTCCGTCATCCTTACCGGCAACAACCTGCAGGAGCTGAGCGACCTGGAGCCGCTGGCCGCGTTCGCCAAGCTGGACACCATCTGCCTGCTCATCAACCCGGTGTCCACAAAGCCCAACTACCGCGAGTACATGGCCTACAAGTTCCCGCAGCTGCGGCTGCTCGACTTCCGGAAGATCAAGCAGAAGGACCGCCTAGCGGCGCAGGAGTTCTTCCGCAGCAAGCAGGGCAAGGACATGTTGAAGGAGGTGAGCCGGAAGTCCAAGATGAGCGCCGCAGCCGCACTGGCCGCCGAAGCGGGGAACGGCAAGGGAAGGGGATCGGACGGCGGGCGACTGGCCAATCCGGAGGACATGCAGCGCATCCGGGAGGCAATCAAGAGGGCCAGCTCGCTGGCAGAGGTGGAGCGGCTCTCGCAGATCCTGCAGAGCGGCCAGCTGCCGGAGAAGTTTCAGCACGAGCAGGAGCCGGCGCAGAACGGAGCTGGGCACAACGGCTCTGGGGCCGTGGCCATGGATTACTAAGACTAGGATAAGCCGCTCATCCGTCAGCTACCTTATAACCGTAGACCAATATTTTATAATAAAACGCCGCCACAAGTTGATTCATCGCATTCTGCATTCTGGACATACACAAATATATAGAGTATCTTTTGTTTTCAACTAGGGCCATTGGCCGGAGGACCTTTCACGGAAAGATCTGGGACAACTGGCCACCGGAGAAATGCGTTTACATGAACGTAATTGGCTAAAAGTTTAACAATCTACAGCGAGTTCGAAGGGGTCAAAAACAGGAGGGTCGGCTAGCTTATGTGGAAATGGTGGGGATCGAGATATGGCTCCTCGCATTTGATATTGCCGGGAGGTGCCATTAGGACACTTTCGCCGCCATTATGGTGTCGTAGTGCAGGCCGGTGTAGAAGATGATCCACGTGACCAGGAATCCGGCGAACGACGTCATGAAGCCCTCCTTGACCAGTTCCCATACGCCGCCGTAGGCGTCTTCGTCCACATTCTGGAAGTTAATGGCGTACAGGTAGACGATTCCGCAGCTGATGCCGGCGAATCTGGAAGGCATAAGATTCAAATGGAGTCACTCCGGCTATTTATAGGTTATAGCTACTCACAGAACAAGGCCCAGGAATCCCTTGAGCGGCACTATGCCCCAGATGACGCCCAGGAAGATGCCGAACACCTGGCGCGACCAGTATATCACATCTAGAAACTCCTCCTGCGGGGGATTCGAGGATTAGCATGCGCGTTTTGCGATCCGGAACTTTGCTCACCTTGTCCTCCCACTCCGATTTTGTAATGGCGCGCGCGCAAATTTCCCGCAGCGTGGAGGATTTGGCCGACTGTCCGTTGCGCTCAATTGTACTTGTTTTCGTGGCCATTATTTGATTCAGCTTTGACCCAAATCACTTTAAATTATTTTGTTAATTAATTTTTTCACTATCGCCTAGAGCTGGTATTAAAATCGATACTATCGATATTTCAGAAAATCTATTCACATCAGCGATTATTCGATTGGAACTTAAGTTTACTTAACTGTTGTTGGTAGAGCTGGGATGGTGGCCCCATTCGATGTTTTGGGAGCGAAAATTCGATACTATAGTTTTTTGTACGGTTTTTTGTACAAATTAAAATTATAAGCAATATCGAATGTATATTTCATATATTATATATTTTTTGCAATGGTACTTAAAACTACCACCTCCACCAATTCCAATTTAAGTTAATGCATTGTTTTACAAAAGTTTAACAATTTATTTATTGCATTTTTCCTACCCAAAATTCTGCAACCAAACCTCGTATTTTTTGCTAAGTTAAGTGATGTAAAAATAAGCGCAGCACCATCGATGCGCAACTATCGATGGTGGCGCAGATATGTAAAAATTTTATACCTCGAACTCTCTACTATCTACCTCTTGAAGTTTTGGAAATAATGAAATGTACCATGACGTCGCATTAGTTTCCGACTTGCAGATAATGGGGTTTTCGGCTAATTCTTATTCATGATTTTAGAGAACACATGCAGGGCGGCCAGTTTGTTCTCTCTCTCTCTCTTCCCGCAATTTCGAATTACACTCATCGTGAGTAGGCACTTTATGTAGTTGTTGTAAAGCTTTTCACAGAAAGCGCGCACTGTATTTAAACGACCGCTTGCACCGGCTTTGCTTGCATTCGTTGAGTGATCCCACAACTGAAACTACTGCACTATAAACAAACAAAATGGCTGCTTGGATTTACATTTTGGTGGCCAACATCATTTTTTGGCCAGCTTTTCTTGTCGGAGCTGTGTATTTTCTGAGGTAATGTTGGCATGAAATAATTGGACCCCATGTTACTGTGTAATAACCAAAGTTCTACTGTTGGTGTTGCAGGAAATATATGCAGGGTGGTCAGTTCACCAAGCAGACCGATGAAACCGGCAAAGTATTCATTGTCACCGGTGCCAACACGGGAATCGGCAAGGAGACGGCTCTGGAGTTTGCCAGGCGGGGAGGAACCGTCTATATGGCTTGCCGGGACATGAACAGGTGTGAAACTGCCCGCCAGGATATCATCAGGGAGACGAATAACCCCAACATATTCGGCCGACAATTGGATTTGAGTTCGCAGGAATCCATTCGTAAATTTGCTGCAGAGTGAGCAAACACGACTTACTAATAATTGAATGGAAGAATATCTTTCGTTGTTGTAAATTAGATTCAAACAGGAGCAGGACAAGCTCCATGTCCTGGTCAACAATGCAGGCGTGATGCGCGGCCCCAAGATGTTAACCAAGGACGGTGTCGAAATGCAGTTGGGTGTGAACCACATCGGCCACTTCTTGCTGACCAACTTGTTGCTCGACGTGCTAAAGGTAAGTTGGCATAAGTCACTCAAGAATTTAGGTTGAAGAGTGTGGAACGTTTTCCAGAAATCGGCTCCAAGTCGCGTTGTCGTCCTGTCCAGCATCGCCCATACGCTAGGTGCCATCAACGTGGCTGACCTGAACAGCGAGAAGTCCTATGACGAGGGCAAGGCCTACAACCAGAGCAAATTGGCCAACTTGCTGTTTACCCGGGAATTGGCCAAGCGCTTGGAGGGCAGTGGCGTCACGGTCAACGCCCTGCATCCTGGTCTTGTGGACACGGGGCTGGCGCGGAACTGGGCCTTCTTCCAGACCGTCTTCGGGAAGTAAGTGCAAGCTAAATGAAAAACGAACTTTGTTAATTAAATTCTTAACCCCAGATATTTCATCCAGCCATTGTTTTGGCCATTTCTGAAGACACCTAAAAGTGGAGCACAGACCTCCATCTATGCTGCCCTAGATCCGGAACTGCGGAATGTCACTGGTTTGTACTTTAGCGACTGCAAGCCCAAGAACGCCGCTCCTGCAGCCTTGGATGATGCGATGGGGAAGTTCCTGTGGACTGAGAGTGAGAAATTCACGGGCTTGGATAAACCAACAGTGCCGTCCTCTTTAGACTCTGATAAAGCTTAACCGAAAGTTAAAAAAGTAGCAATCCGAGAATGTGACTACTGAATTAGAAGAAAATGTCAATAAGCCAAAGCGAAAAGTAAGTCAACCGAGAACGGGACTCCTGTGGAGCATCCAACGTCCGGGCAATGCACTGTCGATTGTAAATGTAAAGAAGATTGAGCAGGGTTAGAACAAGCGGTTAATTCAATTGTAATACTAGCAGCTTTTTCTCGAATAGGTTAATTTAATAAATACATATCTTCACAGCTTTCATAAAGCGTGTTTTATGTTTTTGATAAGTTCAATTTACATGACGAAGGGCTAATTAGGTTCATTTCAGTTGCGCCCGCTGTGGTGAACGCCCTGGAGTGGAGCGCATTGGTGGTGGGCTCCTTCTTCTCGGGCGCATTGGCAACGTATGTGTACATCACCGCCTGGAAGTACTCGACCAAGGCGCCAGAATGTAACGCTTGTGGCAGATAAATCGCTGGACAGGGTCATCTATGAGGCAAAATCTGAAAGTGTCGCCATCTAGGGGTCAGTTGGGTGCTGCGAATGGGATACGAATTTTCGGAGATAAAGAGGCAACAGAGTCAGTTGTCATTTCAACGGAAAACGGAGAGTTATCCGATGGGAGCTAACCTAGCTTCCCGCCCAGAGCCACGAGCTGCTGGCTTTCTTTCCCTTTTCGGCATTGAGTGCAGTTCAATTTAATTGTAAGTGCAAGTTTAGTTAGTTGGTGCGAATTAACCTTAAATCGCTATCACTGTAGTGTAGCTTAAATATAGCGCTAAATCCTGTTTATGGGTAAGGAAAATAAACATTACTGTGGAAATTGCAGACCCAAAATTTTTTTTTGATTTAGGTTTGGCGCTCAGTGTCAGATATTGTATCCGGCCTTTGCTTTGTAGAGGGAATAATACCTCAAGATGCCCAAAGGAGAGCGAATTCATCCTACAGAAGGGAAATTATCGTCACCAAAGGGATCCCAAAGGCCTAAAAGTCACTCAAGTTTTATTTATTTAATCCACCTTAGTCGCTGGAAGCCGAATTAGGATGGAGAGAAAAGAGTCAAAGAGAGCTCAAGTTTTAACACCTTCCCGAATTGCACCTACATTGCATTTATTCGTCATCTTCATTATCTTCGTTATCTCCCACAAGTGAGCGTGAATTGTCGAAGCTCAGCTTGGCAGGCAGTTTTTCGGCTCGCTGACCTAGGCAAGAAGCCTCGGTCCACGATCGGTCTAATTTAAATTAACTCGGCGGTACAATATAAAATAAGAGTTTAAGCGCCGCACGAAATGTAAAGTAATTCAGAAATCTAAAGATCGGTCGAAGAATGCGGAATAACGGATAATTTATAAATTTCTTTTGTAATTTTTTTTGTCTAGGTTATGTGAAATGAGCATGTGAGTGTAAAAGAAAAAAACGGAAAAAGGAAATGATAGTAAAAAGGCCAGAAAGGCTTTAATGGTGAGAGGCTACAGGTCCAGATTGCTTTAAGCAATATTTATTTTAATTTTGTTTGGTGGAGCCTAAAGGAGAGAGAGAAATGGCTGTTGGTTTTGCACAGTGGGTTGATAGTGTATATATGTATATAGAAATTTTAAATTTTTAGCTTAAGATACACTTGTGGAAGCGCTTTCGTTGGTGGATCTCCGTAAGAGTGGTGAGTCATTTATCTCATTTTTTTAATATGTCTTCATGAAAATATATATAAAAAAAATTATTATATGTCCCACCGTACAAAACAAAACAAATTTAATAGTCCATAAAGGAAAAAGAAAAGAGAGCGATATTATCATCTCTCTCGACTCTCGAATTTATGAGTGAGAGAAATTTTGAAAGAAGGAAAACCACTCCATTTGATTTCGCCGAAAGCTCATCACTGCAATTTCTGTAATTTCCATAAACTCACTCTTAAAGGTTTTTTTCGATTTCAAATTCGTATGTCCATTTTACTTCGAGTATACATTTATTAATCTAATTGTAATGTATTTAGGTTCTTATTTAATATCTCTTTTAATATGTTCTCTAGTACTAAGAAATTTTATTAGGTTTTAAATATATTTTATAATGATTTGTTAAAGTCTATTTTGTTTGCCTTCGACTAGGATGTAAATCCCAATTCAGTGAAAGGTGCAATTCAATGATATTGTGGCATGTTTTCGGTAAAGAATGGCAAAGGAGGGGAGGGCAGATGTAGTTCCTTTAAAACACCTGAGGAACACTAGAAATTCCGCGAGTGAAATAACTATCCCTCTTTGTGTCGATTCATAAGATTTTGCCTATCCTATACCACTTGTCGCTGCACGCAAAATTTGATAAAATTTTAGAATTTAACTGGCTCATGATGAAGGACAAGGCCACCACCCAAATAGCCGACAAGGAGCAGCTGGACCTATACGCGTGCGTCCTTATCATCATATAGTAACACCCCAGCCACCTACTCGTTACAAGAACCGTGGAGGCTCTGGCTTACAACTCCCCTACATCCATTATTTCTATTCACAAGACATTAAAGTTCTGCGCTTGTGCAGACAATTTGCACCTCCTCATCGAGCTTAACAAACTCAAAAACTCCACAACCAACCTCGAATCAATATTCAAGCAAATGACTAGTGCACGCTCTCGGGTCCTCAGTCCTGTCGAAGGACAAGTGTCAGACACTCCATATCTGGCGAAAACAAAAGTGCTTACAGGAAACACATCCATGTTATACCTGCAATAGAAAGACAACTTTTGGGAAAGTTTCATGCAGATAGCTTTAAAACTGAGAGACTAGTTTGCGTAGAAACGAACGGACAGACGGACGGACAGACGGACATGGCTAGATCGACTCGCCTAGTGATGCTGATCAAGAATATATATACTTTATAGGGTCGGAGATGTCTCCTTCACTGCGTTGCAAACTTCTGACTAAAATTATAATAACCTCTGAAAGGGTATAAAAATTGACCACTGTTTACCTATTTATGAGTACTCAGCTAAGTCCCAACAAAATAAACTAAAAACTCCATTAAACGACGCAATAAGAGCAGCACTTGGCGCATTCCGATCCACACCCACACATTACTTAACACAGATACCCTAGCACAATAGATAGATCAATCCAGATCTGTTAAAACCAGAACATCCCATACCAAACAATAAAAAAGAACACTTGCAACTTACATCATCGCGTACACTGTTACCAATGAAAGCAGTGTTATTAAATCAGGCCTACTACCCACCTGTTTTAAAGTTCACAAATCTGCATAAAGAAAAGAGGCATGCGCGCCATATGTTCCGACTCCCTTTCCTCCATCGCAAGCCCAAATTATGGTTATAATTTGACTCAAATCGGACAAAGATATATATGTATATAACTGTCATCTTTTCGAGTCAGCGGAAAATTGACAAAGCTTCATTGTTTTAAAACATAAACGCATAAAAATCGAAACAATTCGTTTTTAACAATATTTATTTATGGTTTTAATTGCAAAGGTCTGAGGTTCGCCAATAATAGTGTTTAACCGTTTGCTATCTATATGTGTTAACACTTTTATTAGTTACTCATCACCTCAAAATAAATCTAATTTCGATCGGTAAAATTCTTACTCCATAGTATAACCAAAGCTTTATTTCTCTTAGCCTCTCTTTAAATTCTCTTAAACATGGAACTTCAAACGATATTTCCGCTTTCTTAATGTTGTCACCGTGAATTAGCAAAAACAAACATTTATGTCGAAGTAGTCGTGTTGTTCAGTAGTATATCAACAGCTTCTCTTACTGTTTTGCTCGCATTCTACGAGGAACTCCCAGCTGACAACACCCTAAAAAATAAAATTAAGTTTAGTCAAAATGTGCATTTTCACCGATTGCTTATTGAGCCCCTTAATACTGTGGCCAGCTATCATCGGCGTGACTATATACCTCTTGAAGTAAGTTCTGGAAATTACAAGTATGATTGTACGGCGCATTAGTTTCCGACTTACAGATAACGGGGTTTTCTAATTTCTATTCATGATTTTAGGGAGTACATGCAGGGCGGCAAGTTCACAAAGGACACAGATGAAAGCGGAAAGGTGTTCATTGTCACGGGAGCCAACACGGGAATCGGCAAGGAGACGGCTCTGGAGATCGCCAGACGAGGGGGCACCGTGTACATGGCTTGCAGGGATATGAACAGATGCGATAGGGCCCGTAAGGAAATCATCAAGGAGACGAACAATCAGAATGTATTCTCCCGAGAACTTGATTTGAGTTCCCTGGAGTCCGTTCGTCAATTCGTGGCTGGGTGAGCTAGCCAGAGATGCCTTTAACGTTATATGTATCCATTTAAAACTATATTCCCATACTAATTAGCTTCAAGAAGGAGCAGGACAAGCTCCATGTCCTGGTCAACAATGCAGGCGTGATGCGCGGCCCCAAGATGTTAACCAAGGACGGTGTCGAAATGCAGTTGGGTGTGAACCACATCGGCCACTTCTTGCTGACCAACTTGTTGCTCGACGTGCTAAAGGTAAGTTGGCATAAATCACTTAAGAATATCGGATGAAGAGTGTGGAACGTTTTCCAGAAATCGGCTCCAAGTCGCGTTGTCGTCCTGTCCAGCATCGCCCATACGCTAGGTGCCATCAACGTGGCTGACCTGAACAGCGAGAAGTCCTATGACGAGGGCAAGGCCTACAACCAGAGCAAATTGGCCAACTTGCTGTTTACCCGGGAATTGGCCAAGCGCTTGGAGGGCAGTGGCGTCACGGTCAACGCCCTGCATCCTGGTCTTGTGGACACGGGGCTGGCGCGGAACTGGGCCTTCTTCCAGACCGTCTTCGGGAAGTAAGTGCAAGCTAAATGAAAAACGAACTTTGTTAATTAAATTCTTAACCCCAGATATTTCATCCAGCCATTGTTTTGGCCATTTCTGAAGACACCTAAAAGTGGAGCACAGACCTCCATCTATGCTGCCCTAGATCCGGAACTGCGGAATGTCACTGGTTTGTACTTTAGCGACTGCAAGCCCAAGAACGCCGCTCCTGCAGCCTTGGATGATGCGATGGGGAAGTTCCTGTGGACTGAGAGTGAGAAATTCACGGGCTTGGATAAACCAACAGTGCCGTCCTCTTTGGACTCTGATAACGCTTAACCGAAAGTTAAAAAAGTAGCAATCCGAGAATGTGACTACTGAATTAGAAGAAAATGTCAATAAGCCAAAGCGAAAAGTAAGTCAACCGAGAACGGGACTCCTGTGGAGCATCCAACGTCCGAGCAATGCACTGTCGTTTGTAAATGTAAATTAGGTTGAGCCGGTTAGAACAAGCTGTTTATTTAATTGTAATATAAGCAGTTTTTTCACGAATAGGTTAATTAAATAAATGCCAGTGGATTCGCCATCCCTCGGTTCCTTGGCGTCCTTCGACTCCTCTGACTTGCGCACCACACTAATTACCCCGCTACCCCTTAATTAGACTTGTAAAACAAATAAAAGGAAACACAGATACCCTAGCACAATAGATAGATCAATCCAAATTTGTAAAAACCAGAACATCTTGCAACTTACATCATCGTGTACAGTGTTACCAATGAAAACAATGTTATTAAAACAGGCCTACTACCCAGCTATTCTACACTTCTTTGCAGCGAAATAATAGCCATCCGTCAAGCTGCACAAATCTGCATAAGGAAAAGAGGCAAGCACGCCATATGTTCCGACTCTCATCGCAAACCCTAACAACAATTACTGCTACCCCACATCGATCCGAAATCTACTTTCCAAACACTTTCTCAAAATATTAATAATATGGATACCAAGCCATGTTGGCATCAAAGGAAGCGAAACAGAGGACTCTGAAGCAAAAAAAAAAGCAATTACACAACCCTTAATATACACAGCCAATCAGAGCTCCAGCGATATCATCCAGCCCCTTACAAAATCATTAAGACACAGACACCCAGAATTAATAAACAAAACCTCGACATGGTACCAAAATATGTCCAAATTATGCCATTATTTCCCCAAACTTAATAAGAGACAGCAAATAGTAATAACCCGCTTGCGTCTAGGCCACACAAAGATGACAAACGCACACTATCTTGTCCGTTACCGTTACCGTTCAATACCGAACACATGCCCGCTATGAAACAACGCTCTTTTAGACGATCCTTCCCTCTACCCTTCTCTTTCTGCACAACGACCCTCATCATTTCCCTATCTAAGCTCCATCCAGGCCTTAGCCAACCCCACCAAAGTTAATTCCAAAATGATCCTCAAATTCCTAGAGAAATCAAATGTAATCTACAAAATGTAAGATACACGTAAGGTATAGCGACAAAAAACTATCGATGGTAGCTCAAATGTGTAAAAATTCGATACCTCGATAGTGCCATCGATAGTTTCCCAGCTCTAGTTGCCAGCGACAACCCTGCCGTCAGCTGTTTGGTTATGTGAATTGAGTTTTTTCTTTGACAATTGGTCAATTTTGATAAACAATGCTACAAATAACGAGGCTCTGCCTGGCTGCCTCCGCCACAGTTGCAGGTGACTATCTTACTCAATAATAACCCTGCTATAATTCATTCCTTGTCTCTTTCCACGCAGCTCAGCGAGGTATTGCTCTAACGGCCGCCCGCTCCATTGACCAAAAGTGGCGTGCAGCCAAGGGATTGCCGGAAAACCCAAATGCCTTTGGCCCACTTACCAATTTGCCTGACTTCACATACCTAGATGGTAGACCTACGCCCCTGGGAGTAAGTAATAGAGTAGAACACGTGTGCGGCCAAAAGACCCCTTAAAACTACTTTGAACAAGAAAGGAAGCAAGAACTAAGCTATTTTTAAAAACAACGAAGGTGTGTTAATTGTTCTGTGCATTTTTCGATCGTTCTTTTGTCATTATATATCTCAAAGTACATTCAAATAATCTTAAAACAGCAAAGCTATAACTTTATTTCCCATATTTTCCGGATTGTTCCTATGGCACCTATAAGTTATAGTGGTCTATAAGTGGACTATAAGCTGTTTTTTGATTCGGCTTTAAAATCACAGATCAAGCTCAGAGTTGGTAAATTTAATTATTCAAAGACACTGGTACAATGAGCAATTTGATTGTGCTGCAAGCTTAGTTCGAGATAGATCCATTCGATTCATAAGGAGAATTAATCTGCGTTCATAAAGGTCTACATCAAATACACACCCAAATCCATTTAACTAAAATCCGAATACTACTTGTTTTACAGGCCAACCAGAAGAGACGTCTGCTGAAGCAGCAGAGTATCGCCGCCAGGATCGTGGAGCTAAGTGGGGAGCTCGAGTTTGCCAAGCAGCGACATGAACGCCTGAAGGAGACCGCCGAATCCGAGAAGCAGCGCCTCATCCAAAACAAACTGAAGCCCAAGGGCCACCTGTTGCTCAAACAGAAGAAGTAGCCTCCTAATCTTAGCCTGTATAAGTTATCATAAGTCGCTTAGTGAATGGAGTCGAAATTATACGATGGTCTTGTGATGTGGACACATGTTTGCCCAAAACACGTTTCAAAAACGTTCCTCAGACAGCAAGCGTGGCGCAGTCGACGGTTCATTAGACGTATCGCTAATGGGAATTTAATTGCAACTGGGCGACACACCTGCCGCATCTTAATTGAGTGTTAAAACGCCAGTGACGCACTTGCCGGAGTAGCGTGTCCTGGCATTTAGACTAGATGAAAGCGTTGCGCGCTTTTCCGAGAGGGTCACGCTTAGCGATTAAGGCGGGCGTGGGCTCCCATTCGCACATTAGCTGCTAATAGAAGGCTTACGCTCGCGCATTCGAGTCACTTCTCAAACTATTTTTGCAAACAAGGAAGTCGGGCCATCTGTTTATCTGTAAGTGATTGCCGAAGGCCAGTTACAGGCTGGATTTCCTCTTCCGGCCTGCGCAACGTGGTCCAGATGCCACTGGGCCAACCTGGAGAGATTAACATATAGATCGTGCCAGCAGAGCCAACCAACCATAGCGAATGTGAGGTCTAATATTTGCTTTTATCAATAAATATGTATTACCGTTTACCAGTTAAATATTTGCACACCTTGCCAGTGGAGCTCCCTTGTTTTCCCGCGTGTTTGTCTTTTCGGTTAGGATATCAAGAATTTTGCACGGCATAATCAAACCCACAGAAACGTGCTCCAGTTAGGCATGTTTTCGTAGAGACCGATTAACCGGCTGATTGGCTTTAAATTGGGTGGAATTGGTCAAGACCAACAGTGCCAGGTAGCATCGGACTTGGCAAGGCTTAACACTTCCCGAAAAAAACATCAACAAAGTTGAAGATCCATTGAGCGCCCAGGTGTCAGACCTAAAAATTTCCATAACTCTTTGTTACGTCCAACTCACACCAGGCCGAAATTGGTAAAAGTGGCAATTAAATATGGGTATAAAGTGCCACTGTAAATATAAAAATATTGCAGGGTGCAAATTTAGCTATTTACATTCGCACGTTAGGCCAACAAAGAAATCAAGTCTGAGGAAATTTTCTAAACAGATGATCGCCACTTGGAGACGGCTTCGAGTGCAGAATGTTTGTCACACTTCTTGCAGAAATTAGCCGAGGAGTTCGAAATTTGGCACCGTCTTTCAGGTTTCAAACCCGGCGGGGGTGTGACAAAAAAAAAAGAAAGAAAGAAGAAAAACGTGCCTCCGCCGGAGCTCTCAATCAAAAGGCAGAATCGCTGCGCTGGGCGCCAATGCAGGCAACCGTGCGTATACGTAATGCGATCTGATTCCAACTGGATTGTTTATGTTTCCTTTACCGCCGGCGAATCTCGCACCTTTCTGTTGTTGTTGACGATGTTTCGGGTGTGCAAAAATATTTACCCCCAATTGGGTGGCATGGAAAAAGGTGGTGATGTGGAAAACAACTGAATGTTGTTATTGCCCTTTGCGGGCGACTGGGATTTATATTTATATAATTGTATAAATTTATACAATTAGCGGGTTTATATTTACGCCCGAAACTTTTCGAAACAGCCAGCGATAATTAAGTGCGAATTGGTCCGGGTCCAAGCATTAGTCTCTTCTCAATTCTGCTCAAGTCTGCTTAACGATGGTTTACAAAAGTCTAGTTGGCTTCTGATTCATCTCTTTGAGTGCAGGCCCCGGAAACTGAAGTCATGCCCCCTTTTGAATGCCTGATTCATAGCGCCCAACGCAGCCAGGTCGAGTGTGTTTGTTAATTATTTTATTGCTCCCAAAGGCAGTTCATGTTTTTCTAGAAAATCGCGGTATTTATCACTTCCTGAATCAGCCGGCCACATTTTCACGACAAATTGATTAGCCGTCGCATGAACCGCTGCGGTTGGATATTTATAAAGTCTGAGTCGTATTTTTAGACGCCATCCTATTTGCGTATCTATGCTGATTTATAAAAAACGCCGAATTTCATTACAACGACGTTCGAGATCTGGATTTAGACTTAGCGTGTGACCACACAAAAATTACCACCCGGCGACCACAGCGCCTGGTACTCAAATTACTCATGCGCCGTGTGCGCCGCAAACCTTTCCGACCGAGATCCGAAAGCCCCTAATTACTTTCCATCGCTCACTGGCCGACGTCAGAGTGTCCAAACAACAAAATTAATATTCATAATTATTCCGAGTAAAAACAAAATAGTCGCACACAATGGGCCGTATCTTTCCGCATTGTAAAAACTTTTCCGAGCCAAACAATTAGAGCCTTTCGTCCCAGCGAATTCCATAGCGATAAGTCGAAGATGTCACAGCATTCGCGCATGCGCAAAAACCCAGACGTCGACGTCAGCCGCAGATTGTCGAAAATGTCGCTGCGTTTCCTCCGGACTTGCGTCACAGCCGGAGCATTGGCTCTGCCCGAAAGCAATTTTCACATTTGGGTGCGAATATGGCGGTGGGTATATAAGGGAAGGGTTCTCCACAGCCAAGCACACAGAACTCCCCGGACGTTCAGAGCAATCAGAACCACCAGACAGCAATCAAAGGATACCCAACAGCCCACTCAGGATTTAACAGACATAAACTAGTTTACACCGACAAAACACCATGGATCTAAAGGTAAGCATGAAACCGAGAGACCTCCGAGGCAGTCCAGCTCACCCAGATCTCTCCCCTTTCAGCACTTGTACTCGTGGGTCTGCCTGCTGGTCAGCATCGTCATCTGCAAGGTGTCCCAGACCAGTGCCAAGCCCACCTACTACGACCTGGACAGCTACGAGGCCTACGACACCGACCGCTACGACTCCAACGGCGACTCCTCGTACGCCCTGACCTACGGGAAGCCGCTCACCGACAACCGCCTCAAGAAGCTGAGCCCGGGTTACTACTACGTGGACGACGGCTACATCGCCCCCGTGGCCGCCAGTGCGGGCTACACCCGCCGCGAGGACGTCCAATCCGAGGGCGGGGCCCTGCCCCACAACGTAAAGTTCACCCCGATTGTGCGCGTGCGGCAGACCAAGACTAAGCGCAAGAAGCTCTTCGTGCCCAACTTCTTCGGCTAGGAACTGGAGGAGTCCACCCGGTCCTCCTGCCGGGACTGAGAGTACAGACTGAGGATGATTAGCGTAGGCTTAGCTGTAGGATAGTCGCGTGGCTACCACACCAAAAAGTACCTTATACTTATACTATTACCTATTTTATACGTGTCGAATTGATGACCGAATTATATTTAAACACCAAAAACCTACTAAATATATGAAAACATTTATGAAAATATTTCTCATTCTCAACCAAACAATAATTATTCCGGTTGTACACGGTTAACAATCGTGAAATTTAAATTTAAATTTTATAAAAAAAAAAATTTTTTTTTAATTGATTGTAATTTACAGTTTACATAGTCGAATTCATTTCGTCATCACAAGTATAGGTTGTCAAATATTCCCTAAAGAGCGCAACAAATTTTCGAAATTCAAGCAATTGGTATCCGAACTTTTGCTTATCAGCGAACGCTTTCCCTGACGATACTCCCACATTTTTATGAAAAGTGCCGAATAGAATTTGATCACCCGTAAAGTGTCTATTTGACTTGGCATTTCGGTGCTAATTGATCACTTAGCCGATTTATCAAAATCAGAATAGCATTTATTATTATTTATAATTTTTGTAGCTACAGCAAACCATTTTGAGTGATGTGATCATTTAAAATAAACAATATGAGCAAAAAACATATTTGTGGGTAATCGGGTAATCGCCCTCGTGAAAGAGAATTGCGAATCAATTTTGTACTGTTTATCCATTTGGTTCCAACTTCGTCTGTTTGAAGACTTACGGTAATCTTTCCTTTCGTTTTTTTCTGCTCATTCTTTCTCATACTGCGGGTGTCTAATTTAATTTAATTTTAGGATCACTTGGAGAAGTTATTTAAAAAAAACTGCACTTACTTCGGAGAAAATGGTGTTGTTAAATTCGGCAAAGGTATTGCTTTTCAATTAAAAGTAAAATACAAATAAAAGTAAAATACAAAATTTAGACATTTTTAAAAGTAAATATTTAAAAATTATATGAACAACATTTAAACGATTAAAAAAAAAACAATTTTTGTATATACAACCACGGCCAAACGTTCCTAAGAGCCCCCTAACCAATTGGCGTGGCAACTTCAAATTTAGTAAAAATTTTCTTAAATCATTACTATCATAAGAAAACAACAAACAAAATATCGGCAACAGGAAAAAAGTTGGTCGCGAAAGGGTTAAATATTAAAATTAAAAGTAAAATTCATGTTTAATATATATTATCTAATTAAGTTGCATACTTTCATACAAAAAGGTAATCTTGATTATGTAAACAAAATTACAATAAAACCACAAAGCAAGTTAACAAATTTATTAAATTTATTATACCAATTTTTTATTGTTTTTACTAGAGCTCTGCATGATTTAGTTCCCTTTGTTTTCATGAGCCATTCGATCCACTCAAGTTTTTTAACTTATAGCTCATTGGACTCATGACTCCTATGAATCATATTTCATAACATGATCTTTGATCTACTTGGTTCATTAGAAACCAGTACAGCTCATGTAGCTCATGAAGTCGCTCTGGTTTTTACTATACTAAGATCTTTTTTCTATATATGGAGTTAAAATTTGGCAACTAGATTATTGTCATAAATATTAGCATTTCATTAAATTTGCAAGTGATCTTTATCTATTTCTTATATCCAAAGAGATGCTTTTGAAGTATCCAATTTGGGCATGGTTTAGTAGGTTTTGCCGGGCCGAAAGTTTCTTAATAAGCCCTAGAAGTTGTAATACCCTTCCTTGTTGATCGTTTCTATTCTATTTTTAGCTGATGGTTTTTTCGTATAACACTACCAACATTATGTTTTCTAAAAGGTTACTTCTGATTCGGTTGCAATTTGTGTTCAGAATATCTTTAAGTTGAAAAAATGCCTTTGCATATGGGACTGGGTCATGCAGTCTTTTAAATTAAACAATTGCACACATTTCTTTTTATACCCTTGCAGAGGGTATAATAATTTCAGTGAAGGAGACATCTCCGACCCTAAAATATATATATATATATATTCCTTATGAGCATCACTAAGATACTCGATCTAGCCATGTCCGTCTGTCCAACTGTTTGTAGGTTTCTACGCAAACTAGTCTCTCAGTTTTAAAGCTATCTGCATGAAACTTTCCCAAAAGTTGTCTTTCTATTGCAGGTAATATATAAGTCGGATCGAGCGGGATCGGACGACTATAGCATATAGCTCCCATAGGAACAAACGGAAATTTAAAAAAAAATTATAACTTTGGTGTTTTTAAATTTTTTTTTTACTTCTTCGACATTATTACAATCATAATTTTAATGTTTTCAAGAATATTTAATTTCTGCAATAGCTGCAAGGGTATATGAACTTAGGCTTGCCGAAGTTTGCTTCCTTTCTTGTTGTGGTTAATATCGGTGGTTGATAAGACCGAGCAGGCCAACAATAATGTGGTTATTTTTTTGTAATTAACTTTATATTATTATATTACATGAAATGTTGTATTCTATGAATTTTACCACCTCTGTTTGGAGCCATTAATTCAGGCATTTCAAAAAGTGCCAGCCATTTCGATGGGCTGTTCTCTGTGGGATTTGCGTATAACGGTCGTTGCAAGCATCGATAACTTCGTTTTGGAAAATCGATGTATCGATAAAACAGCTGTCGTCATTTGTGGAAGAAGAGGAGAGATTTGCAAATTTACAAAGAAAGCAGGAGAAAATCGTCGTTGACAAGATGAGCTTCATGCAACCGAGTCCCGTTAAGTACGCGTGCTCCTGCGGCATCCTGAACCCGATCAACAAGCTCTTCTTCTGCCGGCACTGCCCCAAGCTGCACTGCGGCTTCTGCGTGACGCATGAGATCGAGTCGCACTTCTGCTCCAACTGCCTGGAGAACATCCCGTCCACGGAGGCGAGACACAAGAAAAACTGCTGCGCCAACTGCTTCGACTGCCCCTGCTGCCAGCACACCCTGTCCGCCAGAGCCTCCACGGTTCCAGTGGTGCGCAAGTCAGAGGAGTCCAAGGACGCCAAGGAACCGAAAGATGGCGATTCCACTGGCGACGCCACGACCCCGGTCCCGGCGAGCAACAAGCCCTCGGCGGTGCCCACTACCAAAAAGATGTACTACCTGTCGTGCCTGTCCTGCCGCTGGACAACGCGGGACGTAGGCATTCCCGACCAGGGCGTGGCCACGGGCACCTGGCCGGACAACGAGTGCTTGTACCAGGCACGGTTCAACGCCTTGGTCGAGTACTTCCAGGCGGTGGTGCTGCAGGAGAAGCAGGAGAAACTGGAGTTCATGCGGCGCAAGGCGCCCAAGCAGCACAAGTTCCCCAGCCTTACGGATCGCACTGGACTGACTGTATCGCTGATTCGCCGCCAGATCGGCTGGAACGACAAGGTTCCCAAGGCCAAGGCTGTGATCACGCCGGCGGAGGCCACGGCGGAGGTGGAGGAACTGCCGGCGAACATCTTCACGGAACAGCTAAACCTGCGCAATGTCACGACGATCGCCCAACGCCACAGCCAGCCGGCGGATCAACCCACGGCCGTGGGCAGCTTGTATCCGCAGCGACGGTCGCTGTGGATCAAGCGGTCGCTGCGCTGCCGCCAGTGCGAGCACAACCTCATTAAGCCGGAGTACCATCCCACTTCCATCAAGTACCGCATCCAGCTCTTCGCCAGCTACCATGTGCCCGAGGTGGTGATGGTGCGCTGCGAGCAGCCGCTGGTGCCCGGCAAGAGCAACGCCATCCTGCTGAAGCTGACCAATCCGACCATGTACGACATGACCATTCGCCTGTTGACTGCAGCTCCACCAGAGGATCCGCAATTATCAGCGGAGACCACTCGGGCGGTGAAGGAGGAACCGATCTCCTCGTCACCACTTCTCAAGACTGTTGGCATCACGCTGTCGCGTCAAAACTCAACCCGGGAGGTTAAGCGAGAGGTGCTGGATGCCTCCAATGCCGAGATCGTGCCGTTGGAGAGCGAGTTTGTGCTCAGCCAGCGCGACGACTCCAAGGAGTTCGACGAGTACGTGCAGCTGCCTACCGAGGAGCCCAAGTTTATTGTCTGGCGCAAGGGCAACAAGGTCCTCATACGGCTGCAGTTCACCCCGGATGCGGAGCTGCCCTCGAGCACGGACGTCATACTTGGCTTTTTCATGCAGTACACATACGTGAACACCGTTACCAATGCGCCCGAGAAGAAGGAGCCGACCACCCATGCGCTCCACTCCAGGGTGTTCATCACAGCAGGCGCAACTGAGCAAAAGGCCAACTGAAATGGCCTGAAATAAACCTAATTAGCCCTACGGCATATAAATCGAAATTATCAAAACCATAAAACACGCTTTATGAAAGCTGGGAAGATATGTATTTATTAAATTAACCTATTCGTGAAAAAGCTGCTAGTATTACAATTAAATAGATCGCTTGTTCTAACCCTGCTCAATCTTCTTTACATTTACAATCTACAGGGTATTGCTCAGATGTTGGATACCTTACAGAAGTTGCTAAATTTTACCTTTGGCTTGTTGACATTTTCTTTGAATTCAGTAGTCCCATTCTCGGATTGCTACTTTTTAACTTTTGGTTAAGCTTTATCAGCTTCCTTTTTGGCTGGCTCTGTTGGTTTATCCAAGCCCGTGAATTTCTCACTCTCAGTCCACAGGAACTTTCCAACCGCATCATCCAAGGCTGCAGGAGCCACGTCCTTGGGCTTGCAGTCGCTAAAGTACAAGCCAGTGACCTTCTCCAACTCCGGATCCAGGGCAGCATAGATGGAGGTCTGGGCTCCACTTTTAGGTGTCTTTAGAAGCGGCCAAATCATTGGCTTGATAAGATATCTGAGGTTAAGAATTTAACTAACAAAGTTCCTTTTTCATTTAGTTTGCACTTACTTCACCAAGTTGGTCTGGAAGAAGGCCCAGTTCCGCGCCAGCTCCGTGTCCACAACACCAGGATGCAGGGCGTTGACCGTGACGCCACTGCCCTCCAAGCGCTTGGCCAATTCCCGGGTAAACAGCACGTTGGCCAACTTGCTCTGGCTGTAGGCCAGGCCCTCATCATAGGATTTCTCGCTGTTCAGGTCGGCCAAGTTGATTGCACCTCGCGTATGGGCCAGGCTGGACAGGACGACAATGCGACTAGGAGCCGATTTCTGGGAAACGTTTCACACTCTTCATCCGATATTCTTGAGTGACTTATGCCGACTTACCTTTAGCACGTCGAGCAACAAGTTGGTCAGCAAGAAGTGGCCGATGTGGTTCACACCCAACTGCATTTCGAAACCATCCTTGGTTAACATCTTGGGGCAGCGCATCACGCCTGCATTGTTGACCAGGACATGGAGCTTGTCCTGCTCCTTCTTGAATCTAATTAGTATGGGAATATAGTTTTAAATGGATACATATAACGTTAAAGGCATCTCTGGCTAGCTCACCCAGCCACAAATTGACGAACGGACTCCAGGGAACTCAAATCAAGTTCTCGGGAGAATACATTCTGATTGTTCGTCTCCTTGATGATTTCCTTACGGGCCCTATCGCATCTGTTCATATCCCTGCAAGCCATGTACACGGTGCCCCCTCGTCTGGCGATCTCCAGAGCCGTCTCCTTGCCGATTCCCGTGTTGGCTCCCGTGACAATGAACACCTTTCCGCTTTCATCTGTGTCCTTTATGAACTTGCCGCCCTGCATGTATTCCCTAAAATCATGAATAAGAACTAGCCGAAAACCCCGTTATCTGCAAGTCGGAAACTAATGCGCCGTCATTGTACATTTAATAATTTCCAGAACTTACTTCAAGAGGTATATAGTCACGCCGATGATAGCTGACCACAGTAATAAGGGGCTCAATAAACAATCGGTGAAAATGCACATTTTGACTAAACTTAATTTTATTTTTTAGGGTGTTGTCAGCTGGGAGTTCCAAGTAGAGTGCGAGCAAAACAGTAAGAGCAGCTGTTGATATACTACTGAACAACACGACTACTTCGACACAAATGTTTGTTTTTGCTAATTCACTGTGAGAACATTGAGAAATCGGCTAAATCGTTCGCACTTCTATGTTTAAGAGAATTTAAAGAGAGGCTAAGAGAAATAAAGCTTTTATAATACTATGGAGTAAGAGATTGGCCGATCGAAATTAGATTTTTTTTGAGGTAACGAATAACAAATAAAAGTAATTGGTATTTGATGTATGCATGAACACACACAGATAGCAAACGGTTTAACACTATTATTGACTTAGTCATGCGTGTATCATGTAATAGAAGATAACTAAATATATGTTTTAAAACAATGAAGCTTTGTCAATTTATATCTTTGTCCGATTTGGGTCAAATTAAAACCATAATTCTGAAATATAAAACCATTATTAAATATCTGTCCGATTTTAATACAATAAAAGAGGCTAAAAAGCGTTGCAACGCTTGTTGCATAGCGGGCATGTGTTCGGTATTGAACGGTAACGGTAACGTTAACGGTCAAGATAGCGTGCGTTTGTCATATTTGACCTATTTACTATTTGCTGACTCCTATTAAGTTTGGGGAAATTATGGGGGTAGTTAGTTTGGACATGTTTTGGTACTATGTCGAGGTTTTGTTTTTTAATTCTGTGTGTCTGTGTTTTAATGATTTTTAAGGGGCTGTTGTGATTGGCTGTGTATATTAGGGGTTGTCTAATTGCTTTTTTTGATTCCGAATCCGCTGTTTCGCTTCCTTTGATGCCAACATGGCTTGGTATACCTATAATTATTATTATTCTGGGAAAGTGTTTGGAAAGTCGATTTTGGAACGAGGTGGGGTAGTAGGCATTGTTGTTGGGGTTTGCGATGGAGCTGATTGAGCAAAGGACGTCGGAACATATGGCGTGCTTGCCTCTTTTCTTTATGCAGATTTGTGCACCTATTCTATTATTACCCTGCAAAGAAGTGTAGAAGGCCAAGGCCAAACGATGGCGATTCCACTGGCGACGCCACGGACAACTTGAACCAGCTGCGGTTCAACGCCTTGGTTGAGTACTTCCAGGCGGTGTTGTGCACATACGTGAACACCGTTACCAACGCGTCCGAAGAAGAGGAAGCCCCCCACCCATGCGCTCAACTCCAGGGTGTTCAACACAGCAGGCGCAACTGAAATGAACCTAATTATCCCTTCGGCATATAAATCGAACTTATCAAAAACATTAAACACGCTTAATGAAAGCTGTGAAGTTATGTATTTATTAATAATTTAATACCTATTCGAGAAAAAACTGCTAGTGTTACAATTAAATAAACCGCTTGTTCTAAGCCTACTCAACCTTCTTTACATTTACAATCGTTAGTGCATTGCTCGGACGTTGGATGCTCCACAGGAGTCCCGTTCTCGGTTGGCTGAGTTTTCGCTTTGGTTTCTTCACATTTTCTTCGAGATCAGTAGTCTCATTCTCGGATTGCTACTTTAAGCTTTACGGTTAAGCTTTATCAGAGTCCAAAAAGGATGGCACTGTTGGTTTATCCAAGCCCGTGAATTTCTCACTCTCAGTCCACAGGAACTTCCCCATCGCATCATCCAAGGCTGCAGGAGCCACGTCCTTGGGCTTGCAGTCGCTAAAGTACAAGCCAGTGACCTTCTCCAACTCCGGATCCAGGGCAGCATAGATGGAGGTCTGTGCTCCACTTTTAGGTGTCTTCAGGAACGGCCAAAACAATGGCTGGATGAGATATCTGAGGATAAGAATTTTATTAACGAAGTTCCTTTTTCATTTCGCTTGCACTTACTTCCCAAAGATGGTCTGGAAGAAGGCCCAGTTCCGCGCCAGCCCCGTGTCCACAAGACCAGGATGCAGGGCGTTGACCGTGACGCCACTGCCCTCCAAGCGCTTGGCCAATTCCCGGGTAAACAGCACGGTGGCCAACTTACTCTGGTTGTAGGCCCGACCCTCGTCATAGGATTTCTCGCTGTTCAGGTCAGCCACGTTGATAGCACCTAGCGTATGGGCGATGCTGGACAGGACGACAATGCGACTTGGAGCCGATTTCTGGAAAACGTTTCACACTCTTCACCCTATATTCTTGAGTGACTTATGCCGACTTACCTTAAGCACGTCGAGCAACAAGTTGGTCAGCAAGAAGTGGCCGATGTGGTTTACACCCAACTGCATTTCGACACCGTCCTTGGTTAACATCTTGGGGCCGCGCATCACGCCAGCATTGTTGACCAGGACATGGAGCTTGTCCTGCTCCTGTTTGAATCTAATTTACAACAAAGTTATTCTTCCATTCAATTATTAGTTAGTCGTGTTTGCTCACTCTGCAGCAAATTTACGAATGGATTCCTGCGAACTCAAATCCAATTGTCGGCCGAATATGTTGGGGTTATTCGTCTCCCTGATGATATCCTGGCGGGCAGTTTCACACCTGTTCATGTCCCGGCAAGCCATATAGACGGTTCCTCCCCGCCTGGCAAACTCCAGAGCCGTCTCCTTGCCGATTCCCGTGTTGGCACCGGTGACAATGAATACTTTGCCGGTTTCATCGGTCTTCTTGGTGAACTGACCGCCCTGCATATATTTCCTGAAACACCAACAGTAGCACTTTGGTTATTACACAGTAACACCGGGTTCCAATTATTTCTTGCCAACATTACCTCAGAAAATACACAGCTCCGACAAGAAAAGCGGGCCAAAAAATGATGTTGGCCACCAAACAGTAAGTCGGAATAGCCATTTTGTTTGTGTATAGTGTTATTTATTGTGCAGTAGTTTCAGTTGTGGGATCTCTCAGCGAATGCAAGCCAATCCGGTTACAACTGTCGTTTAAATACAGTGCGCGCCCTCTGTGAAAAGCTTTAAAAAGCTACAAAAAGTGCCTAGTCACGATGAGTGTAGTTCGAAATTACGAGAAGAGAACAAAAAAGGTAAGAAAGGAAGGGCAATTAATTTACAATGTTTTAAAATATTATGTATTCCGGCTTTCAGAAAACATAGTTTTCGGTTAGTCGGTAAGCCAATAACCAGTTAAAGAAATTAATTAATTATTTAGTTCGACTAATGTGGGTCGCAAAGTATAGGCAATACTAAAAAGTTTTCTATTGACCCTCGGCATTTGCAAAAGAAAAATACTGGTTTATTAGTTACATTGTCATATTAACCTTTGTAATCTTCTTCCGCGTTTTCGAAATTAAAATATATGAAGAACAAATATCATAGTGCCCATTAAAAGTATTCAGTAAAAAACGAAATAGGAAGCAAACTTAAGATAGTCAAAGTTAATATACCATTGCCAGATTTAACAAATCTAATCATATTGTGGTACGATTTGTATCACTATGGCAGTATACATATGTAGTGATGATGCGCACCAAAAGCGGTAGAAGTCTACTATAGTAGAATATAGTCTATATATGTATGTATATTTGCTGTGAGTGCTGGTGAGTAATACACCAATCGAAAGGTATCGTTAAAAGAATAGTGATTACATACAAAAAATTAGGAAAATTAATTGGTTAAGGAGAATGGGCTGTGAAAATCACATTCTAAACATTTTTTTAAGTGGAGTTCTTGAGATCGGGTTGGTAAAAAATGTTTTAGCACAGTTTAAATGTTGGTATAACTCCCGATCATTTTCAAATTTAAAATTCGAAACTGATGGGTGTTGGGGCTTGCCGGAATTCAGCCAAATGTTGTCGAAAATATTCAAAATGATTTTTAAAACTAACATTTTTCGGTGTCTGTTTGTCAGTTTCAAACAATTTTAAGGACTTGTTTTAGAGTTCTGGAATAATTTGTCAGGTATTGGACAAACCGTTACAAAAAAGTTTGTTTCACAACGTTTTTTTCAAAAATAGCTTATTTAGCGGAAAATTGACTAAAAATAGCTTAGCTCTGCATGCCCTCAACTTCTAAACTAGTAAAGCTACAGTTAAGTGTCTTAACAGAATTGGTCTAAATAAAAAATAATTTAATTTGTTTTTTTTTCTTACACTTTTTTTGCAAATATTTTTTTAAAACGGCTCTAACGTTATATATTTACGTATATAGTCTTAGGTATTCCTCGTTTTTTGGTATATAAAACGTATTTTTCAATGGACTTTTCGAAAGATATTAGGCAAAAAAACGGCAACTTTTCTCCTCATAAAAGTATGCACCATTAACTGTGTGAGGAAAATGATATAAAACAAGAAAGGAAGCAAACTTCGGCAAGCCGAAGTTCATATACCCTTGCAGCTATTGCAAGAAATAAATATTTTTGAAAACATTAAATTTATGATTTACTTGCTTATATGTCTAAAAGCATTGAAGCAATGATGATTTGAAGCTCAATTATTACATAGTTATTTTATATATTTTTATTATTTCTATGGAAGCTAAATGATATAGTCGTCCGATTTTGATGAAATTTAAACCGTAATTCTGAAGTATTTAACGATTCCTATGTGTCGAAGAACTAATAGAATAATTTAAAACCAGCAAAGTTATAATTTTTTTTGTATTTTTTTCCGATTGTTCCGATTGTATAATCGTCCGATTTTGATGAAATTTAAACCATAATTCTGAAATATTTAACCATTACTATATCTCGAAGAACTAAATTAAAAATTAAAAAACACCAAAGTTATAATTTTTTTTATTTTTTTTTCCGATTGTGCCTATGGGAGCTATATGCTATAGTCGTCCGATCCGACTTATATATTACCTGCAATAGAAAGACAACTTTTGGGAAAGTTGCGTAGAAACGGACGGACAGACGGACGGACAGACGGACATGGCTAGATCGACTCTCCTAGTAATGCTGATCAAGAATATATATACTTTATAGGGTCGTAGATGTCTCCTTCACTGCGTTGCAAACTTCCGACTGAACTTATAATACCCTCTGCAAGGGTATAAAAATGATTTCAGGTTTAAGCCTAGTACTCAGATCGACAAACAGTTACGCCAGCGTAAAAAGTTTTTTTTTCTAGTGTGACCGAAGTTTTGAACTTACGGTCTTACTTTCATCAGCTAAGCTCGTTGACAAACGGAAAAGCAATTCAAATTTAACCAGCGTTTAACAAAGTTGCATATAAGTGGACCGAGAATACTTGAAGTCAACATTGTATTATTGCAGTAGATTTTGTTGAATTTTTTATTTTTTCCGTCCATTTTTTGATCTACAAATCTATGCTCTGCCAACTCCAACCAGAAAAGATGCAACTTTTTAATCTTTACGCCAGGGCCTGGCAACGCTTTGCAATTTTTTTGTGTTTTTTTTCGTCGATCTGAATACCGGGTTGGAAAAAGGCACTGACGAACAGTGTACGCCGGTTATTTGCCACTCGCTACCTCTCATAGGCGGGGTAAGGATTTCGTCGATCTGATACTTTAATAATGTAATGGATAATTGTTTAAGACATTGAAAACATCTGATATTAAAGAAAAATACCTCTTAACGAGTTCTAAAAGTCGTTACGATCGACCTTCACATACAAAACATCTAACATCAAACTTTATGCCGAAAAATCAATAAGCATTCGACAGAGTAAATACACTTTTTTAATTACTCCAGAAACGAAATTACGGGGTGCTTACATTTCCATAGTCATCCATTTTGTTTGTGTATAGTGTTATTTATTGTGCTGTAGTTTCAGTTGTGGGATTTCTCAGCGAATGCAAGCCAAGCCGGTTACAACTGTCGTTTAAATACAGTGCACGCTTTCTGTGATAAGCTCCAAAAAGCTACAAAAAGAGCCTAGTCACGATGAGTGTAATTACGAGAAGAGAACAAAAAAGGTAAGAGAGGAAAAGCAATTAAATCTCAACGTTTTGAATTAAATTACGTATACGTTATACTCTGGGGGAAAGAAATTAATTAATTATTTAGTTCGACTAATGTGGGTCGCAAAGTATAGGCAATACTAAAAAGTTTTCTATTGACCCTCCGCATTTGCAAAAGAAAAATACTGGTTTATTACTTACATTGTCATATTAACCTTTGTAATCTTCTTCCGCGTTTTCGAAATTAAAATACCGGATATATGAAGAACAAATATCATAGTGCCCATTAAATTATTGAATAAAAAACGGAATAGGAAGCAAACTTTAAATATCCAGAGTTAATATACCATTCCCAGCCTTAACAAATCCAATCATACTTATGATACTTTGATACTATGTAATGGATAATTTTTCCAGACATTGTTACATTTCAAACAAAAACATCTGATATCAAATTTTGTGATGAAAAATCAATAAGCATCCGACTAAATAAATACACTTTTTTAATTACTTCAGAAACGAAATTACGGGGTGCTTACATTTCTCTAGTCAGCCGTTAATTATACGTAATAGAAATTAACGCTCAATTTTTTCAATGCTCCCCTACTAAAAAGTTAACTATCCGTAAATTATTCATGAACAAAAAAAGTTTAACGATCATGCTTCAACATATATTAATAAAAATATATATATTTTTCTTTCTTAATTGTTGTCAAACTTTGCCATGAGTTTGCCAATAATTAATTACAAATGATTATGAATAAAAGAATTGTTTTAATTTTAAAGTGTAGTTGCTAACTTTATGTACATCAATTGTTTTACAAATATATACAAGATTTAATTATAAACAACAATAACGCTGGTGCGAAAAATGTAAGAGGACTTTGAAGTCATTTGTCCATTTCATTTGAACTATTTAATATCAAAAAGGTTGAAGAGTGAAAAGGTAAGTCTGTTAAATAGTAATTCCCGTCCACTTCTCACTCTCGGCCCACAGAAATTCAGCATCCTCGTCATATTGGGCTGCAGACCCAACCTTCTTTGGCTTGCAATCGCTGAAATACTGTCCCGAGACATCTTTCAAAATGGGATCCAGCGCTGCATATAAGGACGTCTGTGCTCCATTCTTCTTAGTCTTGATAAAAATCCATATAAATGGTGCAATGAGTAGTCTAAAATGAAACCATAATTAATCGATTTGTGGTGTCGACCAATTAACAAACATACTTTCCGAATTTCGATCCCAAGAAAGGGGTATTTCGAAAGAGCTCCGTGTTCACTACTCCAGGATGCAAGGCATTCACCGTGACTCCAGTTCCCTCCAACCGCTTGGACAACATCCTCGTGAATAGGATATTGGCCAATTTGCTTTGACAGTAGGCCATCTTTCGGTCATAGGACTTTTCGCTGTTCAGATCATCCTTGTTGATTTTCCCAAACCGGTGTGCAAGGCTGGACACGACCACGATGCGACTGGGGGCCGAACTCTTTAGGATATCAAGGAGCAGAAGGGTCAGTAGGAAGTGGCCCATGTGATTTACGCCTATTTGCATTTCGAAACCGTCCTTCGTTAGCATCTTGGGGCAGTCCATAATGCCGGCGTTGTTGATCAGAATGTGTAGGTTGTTTTCCTCTCGCATAAAGCTTGAAATACCAAGTTAAATGTTTTATTAATTTCTACAGGGTATACATGGGGAGTGTTTACCCAGATGCAAAGCTCCTTATAGACTCCATGGAACAGAGATCCAATTCTCGGGAGAAAACATTCTGATTGTTGGTCGCCTCGATGATCTCCTTCCGTGCCTGGTCGCACTTCCTCATGTCGCGACAAGCCATGCAAATGGTGGCTCCCCTCCGAGCCAACTCCAGCACGGTCTCCTTTCCAATTCCCTGATTGCATCCGGTCACAATCGCTACCCGGCCAGTCTCATCCGTTTTCTTGGTAAAGCGACCTCCTTGCATATATTCTCTGAAGGGTAAGAGTTATTGGATCATCACAGGAAGGCTATTAACTTCACCTAAGCAGATATATGCCAATGCCAGACAAAGCTGAGGCATATAGCAGAGGGCTTAACAGGTAATCGCTAGTTGCACGCATTTTTCCACTCGGATTGCTAGCAGCTTCAAGTGTCGACTGGCAGATGAGAGTCACTTATATTTTTCTTTATACTGGTAAAATTAAAAACTAGGAATGTCTATATATGCCACATTAACGTTCATGGACCGGTATATAGCATCAACTACTAATGCTTCCTAGACTTTTTATCGTCTGGTCAAAGTTTGATCTTCGGAATATAGAAATCTTTTTATCCGCTGATCTTTAAGTCATAAATTAGTTAGTAAATGTAAGTTAGCTTTGTAATCGGCACGCTGCTTCAAAATTGTTAAGTAACAAGATTGATTTTATTGTGCAGCTTTGTGCCGAATACGAAACTAATTGAATCAAAATAATGTAATTTTGTACGGTAAAATTAATAATAATCGTCAAAAAAACTGATATAAAAAGTTTTATATATGTAGTGACATATTCACATATTCAGTTATGTATCAAGAAATAAGAATCTGCCGTGTAGGCGATCCCACGCTGAACCAATGTAAGTAATCCACATCCGGAGCAGGCGATGTTGCTCCTCAATAACATAAACAATTCTTGCAGTGACCAAGTCCCGCTCCCTGAGTGGCACTCTTACTCTGAAATTATTAAGTACAATTCAGATCCCAAGCTGGCGATCTCGCTCCCAAACTTATGTAAACAAAGGGCAGCACAAGTATAATTTTTGTCACAAGAATTTAGTTTTAAGCTGAGATCAATCAAATAAAGACGTAAAACTAATTCTTCGGTTATTTATTCCCCTTGGCGTTGTCCTTAGTCAACTGACAGGACATTAGTTCGACTCATTAAAATATAAATACAAAAAGTATCCGAAAAAAAAGAACCTCGAGCGGAAAATAAATTAAATTGTATAATTCAGCTCTCGAATAATAATTACGCAACATATTTCAAAACCCTTAAACTTGGATTATATGTAATTCCAATTCGGTTGACCAACAAAAAGTAAATAACAACATATAAATTTTAAGAAAATTTTAGTAGAGTGGACTATGTAATGTCACTCTACCAAACTAATGATGTGCGTCAACAGAGGATTCTTTCGGGAGCCATCGAAAGAAACTTGGACGGACGCGTAACACGAACATTTCAGATTGGCCTACCCTTACATCGAGACTAGTTGCAGAATTTAAACCCCAAACACCGAACTACAAATTTCTAGAGAACTTCAGGGAGACATCTTACAAAGGAAATCTGAGAGCATTCTGCGAAGAAACAGAAAGACGACGTCAAGTATTGATTTCGAAATTGCATCTGGAAGGTAACCAGCCAGATTTTCTTGTTTGTGTTCGGGCGATTAAAGATTCCATTAAAATGTTGATCAGAAAATTACCAATACAAATTTTACTATTTTGGTTCATCATGATATTACACACTTAAGATCGTTAATACTATTGCACAAAATGCGGGAATAAATGAAGAACATGTTTATTTTGAATTAAATACAAATCCAGAAAACCGTAATAAAAACTCAAACCCTAATCAGAATTCTAAATCACACAATTAACATAAAAATGCCCAACCACAATATCGACCCACAATATTCTCAACCATTCCAACCTAATTTTATTCAATGCACGCAATCATTTAGACCCACCTATACACAGCAGACGTCTAACAACCAAGCTATGTGCCACGCACCAAATCATTTCGGGCCCAACCAATACATGGACACACAACCATTTACTCACAAAAATCCTTTCCCACAATATTCCAATAAAATTCAAAATTCTCAAACAGCATATTTTAAAGGAAATACATACCCTTAACAACAACAACCCTCCACATCTAATAATACTAACTTCCCGGTTACCAAACGACTAAGACCATCGGACAGTGAACAAACCAAAATGCCTATTGACGAATTTAGAATTCAAGACGCGCACGAATACGAAGAAATACAACCTAATTATTATGAACATAATTCTCACAATCAATACCATGGGTTGATTAATGAAGGGCAACAACAGGTACAATTCACCCAAAATAAAGATGAACAAAATCAAAATAGCTCAGAACCAAACGAAAATCTGGGTCCATTTCTATTTGATGAAATCCCTTTGCCAAATCGATAGTTGTTAAATATTGGCCTTTACCTAGTTTACCAAGGATTTCGTCCATGTTTGGTATTGGGTATCTGTCGGGAATAGTTTTTTTATTGAGCTTTCTTTAAGCAATTACCACTCTATAATTAATTTTTTCTGCCAATTAGTACATCATAATTATATGCGAAATGTTTACATAAAATGGTTCATTTGTTTTAAAAGTACTATTGCTGGGTAACATAATTAAGTTGTTCAATGTAATAGGACCATTTGATGTTAAAACTTCGCATTAAGTATTTTGAATAGGAACACAAAATATATTGTTATTGGTCATATTTATTGTGGATCATGTGTCTATAAGGCAATTGTATGTGCAACCTTTCTATGCTGTTTCTATGTATTAGTGTTTTTGAATGAATTTTGAATTTTATTGGAATATTGTGGAAAAGGATTTCTTTCAGCAAATGGTTGTGTGTTCATGTGTTGGTTGGGCCCGAAATGATTTGATGCGTGCCACATAGCTTGGTTGTTAGACGTCTGATGTGTAAAGGTGGGTCTAAATGATTGCGTGTATTGCCTAAAATTAGGTTGGAATGGTTGAGTATATTGTGGGTAACTTGGTCGATATGGGGTTGGGTATTTGCACCGAATTTTTGTGATTTAGAATTCTGATTAGGGTTTGAGTTTTTATTACGATTTTCTGGATTTTTGTGGAAAAATAAATGAAAAAAGTAGAACTTTGCTGTTTTTTAATTTTTTTTTTTCTTCGACATATAGTAATGGTTAAATCTTTCACAATTACGGTTTAAATTTCATCAAAATCGGACGACTTTATCATATAGCTCCCATAGAAATAATAAAAATATATAAAATAACTATCTAATAATTGAGCTGCAAATCATCATAGCTTCAATGTTTTTAAACATATAGGTAAATCATAATTTTAATGTTTTCAAAAATAATAAATTCTTGCAATAGCTGCAAGGGTATATGAACTTCGGCAACAGAAGGACAAAAGTTTTCATTTCAAAAATGCAGTCTAAATCTGTTTAATTGAATATCTTTTGAACGGAGTATCAGATTCAGATGATTGAGGTGTCGTTGGACGCGAATTTAAAGCCAAGATACAAGAATACCATAACCTTTTTGCTTCAACTGCTCCAATAGAAGAAAAAAAATGTATCGCACTTTCAACTCCATTTCGCAGTAGTCTCCTTCCGCACGCTTTAATATCACTTCGGCATTGTTTTGTTTGTTAAAGTCCTCAACAATTAATTTGGAACTATGTCGTAAAAAACCTAATTTGATTCGATGAACATACTCAGCGGCAAAATAGTAAATAGGCTCTAGAGAAAAAAGACATTACTTTTGGCTCAAAAGTAATGGATTACATTTGCATTTTTAGCCAACCAAGTTGTAATCAATGCTCACACTGCTTTGTATTGTCGATTCTCCTCAGCCACATTTGTGTTTCGAAACTCCAAAAACAACGAAATGGTTTTATGTGTAGTTTAAGGAGTTAAAAATATACTTACCGGTAACGGATAAGTAGATCCAGGTTTGACTACATAGAGAACGATTTTATTTTTTTCGAAAGCTTATTGCATTCGGCTCTAACAAAGAGCATTTACTGCTACTACTTTACTACTTTTAAATAGTTTTCAGTAAATTTAAATATACAAGTAACAATTTTTTAAAATTTTTGATTTGGCTATGCATGAAAGTGATTTTAAATTTAACTCAAATAATATGCATTTTAATCAAAAAGAAATTATTTTAAATTTAATATATTCAACATTATTAAAACTTGTATTTAATTGTAACATTAAATATACAATTTTGAATTCAATAGGCAGATATTTGTTTTTACAATTAATTTTTTTCATCAGTGTACTAATAAGTCCTGTGTTACTTGCCGACCATGATTATGCCAAGGCAGTAAGGCTGTAATCCATTATTTCATGATTTTTGGAGGTAAGGTAACGCATTCGAAATCCATTTCGTCATGTGAATAGGACACTTTGACACTAGCCCATTGCCAAATGAGCTATAACTGCCATTACATGAAGTATGTGTTACAGAAATTTGGTCATTTGGGCCAGGTGACATGTGGAATAATGATGATTTTCGGCTTCGCTGGTATCCTAACCAGATTGTACACCGGTGGCTATTTAAGGAGAGTGCATTGACCCTCTACGGGATCGCCTGCGGATGCCACTTTTTCAAGCTACAGTACAATGGGCGATCAAATCAACTGGAGGAGGTCCGATACCATCGAACGTGGTCCAAGATTGTAATTGCCATCAAGGTTTGCCTACTGACTAGCCAATATCTACTCTATATGGTGTTCGTTATGGCCATATACATCCAAGCCAGTTTGGTCAACGGCAGCGCTGTTCAGAGCTTCGTATTGAGTGCTATAATTCAGGGCATAAGTATTAACGTCCTGCGGCGCCTGTTGATGTTTCTGCACTTGAAAGGGGATCGGAGGTGTGTGAAGCATATATTGAACGAGATCCTGCTAATTACCAGCGAGATCGAGCGAAAGATCGGTATGGTCTACAGCTGCGATACCGTGCTGCTGGGAGTTTACTTGCGCAAACTGTGGTTACTTTACATCCTGCTGGACTCCCTCTGGAACAAGCCCTACTTCCTGGTACTCAACTTTCTCTACTGGGTGCTGATGGAGTACTGCTTCGCCGGATATTTCCTGTACCAGCTAGTTGTGCTCAACTGGTATCGCACTATCACCCTGTTCTTGAAGCGGTTCATCGAGAGCAACGGGAGTCGGCAGGACATTGAGGGCATCTGCTATAGGCGATTGTTCCTGCTCTTCCAGCTGCATCTTCGCATTAGCCGCTTGCATAAATTCATTACGGAAAATCTGTCCTGGCTGTCATCATCCATTTCCTGATGATCTTCACTTGCATCTTCAACATGGAACTCCTACTGGAGTGCAGTCTATTTGCCGAGGATGAGCTCGAAAACAAGATCTACATCATCGCGGACGGTTGTTTGGGGCCAAGGAATGTGTTGCACACAAGTAGCACCCCAAAACGATTCAACAAATCAGAAAAGAAAGTTTTTCCAAAAATAGGTATTTGGGCGATTATTACAACAAACAAGAACAATAATATTGTTCAATTTCAAATTAAATATGGGCTTAAACTATAATCGGGTTTTAGGTGGCGCCATCTACCGACAATTTAAATTTAGTCCGATTTGAAGGATTTTTCGATGAGTCGATAGCAATTGACCGATTTAACGTACAAAGCTTTTTAATTGACCTTTAGCATGTCTCAGAGTGACATGAAAGACGTTCGCGGTTTGTGGGCGTTAGAGTGGGATCTTAGGGTCGGCTATTGACTCTGATCAAGAATATATATACTTTATAAAGTCGGAAACGATTTCTTCCACCTGTAACGGGTATAGTAAATAGAGTAAAATCACTAACCATGGTTAATGGTAAAATCAAACTCATTCTTGAATTTGCTCTGATCCGCCATAACTAACTATTTTATTGACAATGAGAATGGTGCTATTAAGTTTTGCGTAGCACAAGGCACAAGTTTTCAAGAGAAAACTTAAAAAAATTATGAAAACATTGTTCGATCATAAGTCTTTTACTTTTTTGGGAACGGATGGAACTGTCGATTTCATTTCTTACGGTTGTACAATTTTTTAGTTTACCTAATAGGGATTAAAACTTCTTTTAACTACAAACTTGTGACTTAATGTGATATTCACAAATTTTATTAATAAATAACAATGTCTTTATATACAATTAGTTGACTTAAATAGCGACTAGCTAGATAACAGTACCCGTATGACCCAATTTAGAGAGCAATTTGCGTCCACTTCTCCGACTGGGTCCACAGCCAGTTGGCCATGTGATCGTCCAAAGCAGCGGGGGCAACAGGAGCCAGTTTGCAGTCGCTGAAGTACTGGCCCGATACCTTGGCGAGATCGGGGTCCAGGGCAGCATATAACGTGGTCTGGGCCCCGTTTCTGGGGGTCTTCATCACTGACCAGAGCAGCGGCCTCAGAAGGGTCCTGAAAACGGTAACAATTAACTCGTCTAATAGGGAAAGGCCACTTGAAGAGGACACACTCTACCACATACTGAGCGAACTTTGTTTGGAAGAAGATCATGTTCCTGGCAATCTCCGTGTCCGCGATGCCGGGGTTGAGGGCGTTCACCGTGACGCCCGTTCCCTCCAGTCGCTTGGCGAGCTCGCGGGCGAACAGTATGTTGGCCAGCTTGCTCTGGCAGTAGGCCACGCCCTCGTCGTAGAAGTCCTGGCCGTGCATGTCCTCCACGTGGATATGACCCCGTTCGTGCGCCTTACTCGCCACCACCACCACCCGGCTAGGAGCTGACCTCTCCAGCACATCGAGCAACAGGTTGGTCAGCAAGAAGTGGCCAATGTGGTTGACTCCCAGGTGCATTTCGAACCCCTCCTTTGTCAGTCTGCGCGGCTCCCAAAACACACCGGCATTGTTTATCAGGACGTGCAGTTCGCTTTGCTCTTTCTTGAAGCTAATGGTGAATAGGTTATCATGCTGTGGGTAAAGCATTTGGTCTATGGTGTGACTCACTCTGCTGCAAACTGCCGAATGGAGTCCAGAGAGGACAAGTCGCACTCCCGGGAGAAAACGTTCGGGTTTCCGGTCTTTCTGACGATTTCCTTCCGAGCTCTTTCGCCTTTTTCCTTACTCCGGCAGGCCATGTAGACGGTGGCTCCTCTTCTGGCCAACTCCATCACCGTTTCCCTGCCGAGACCCGTGTTTCCGCCAGTGACGATGGCCACTTTGCCCGTCTCATCGGTCTGCTTCCTGAACTTTCCCCCTTGCATATACAGCCTAAATCGGAGTAACTTATGCCCGTTAATCGTTACACTTCAAATCGGAGTCTCACTTACCTCACACAAAAGGCGATAATGCCGACAATGCCGTGGGCCAGAAATATGGGGGCGATTTTGTGCAGAAAGTGTATTACGATTTCCATTCCAGTCAATCGGTCCGGCCGAATTCGTGGTCTATTCAAAAGTACCTTCGCGGGCGTAATTTCGTGAGTTTTTAAGTGATCGCCGCTGCGATTAACGGACGACAACTGATAAAACTGATAGTGTGGTGTTCGACGAGTAGTCTGTAATCAGGGAACCACTACTCAAGACATAGAGCATAGATAACTGAGATTAGGAGTCGAACACCGAGTGACTTTCACGAGAACGTGATTGTTTCCGACTGGTGAAATGACCCTAAACTTTTGGACTGAAGGCTCAAGTTGTAGATGTAATGGATATACATATCTATTTTAAACAAATGATGTAGAAATTGCCCCTAACCGGTTTCGAAGTACATACGTTCGTACACATTCAAATCTTGAGCTTTCAACTGCCTTTAGCCGGCTAACGCACAAGTTAGCCAAGTTAGCATGGCTAAAATAAGATAAATATTGACATGGTTGACGGTAAAAAACTGAAAATTTATGCGAAGTAACAGAATAATTGTCAGAAAAATATTTTACAACACGAACTAGTGTACTTTGATCATCGTTGGTTTAGTCCACTTTTCACTGACAGCCCAGAGCCATTTGGCTGTTTGTGTGTCCGTGGCAGCCGGTGACATTTCCTTTAGCTTGCAGTCGCTAAAATATTGTCCAGTCACCTTTTCCAGTTCGGGATCCAGGGCCACATACAACGTGGTCTGAGCACCGTTCCTGGGAGTCTTAACGAAGGGCCAAAACAAGGGCTTAACAAACAGTCTGAAAAGAAGGGATCTTCGTTAATAAATAGATTCGAAGGGATCCGTTTATACCTACCCAGCAAAGAAGTTATTGAAGAAGGCCATGTGCCTGATAATTTCTGTGTCCACCACACCAGGATGCAGGGCATTTGCCGTTACATTAGTGCCCTCCAGTCTTTTGGACAACTCCCTTGTGAAGAGCACATTGGCCAGCTTACTCTGACTGTAGGCCTTGCCTTCGTCGTAGGATTTGTCACTGTTCAGATCGCCCGTGTTGATTTCTCCCCGAGTGTGCGCCAAACTGGAGACATTTACGATCCGACTGGGCGCGGATTTCTATGGACAAAAAGGGTTAAACCAGGGCTTTACGATTGACAAAGCTTCGGTGCACCTTCAGAAGATCCAAAAGCAAGTTGGTGAGCAGGAAGTGGCCCATGTGGTTCACTCCCAGCTGCAGTTCGATGCCATCTGAGGTGAGTGATCTGGGACAGCGCATGACACCGGCGTTGTTGATGAGTACGTGCAGGTGTTCCTGTTCCCGTTTGAAGCTGCGGGTATCGGTTGTAGAGCGTATTGCATGTTATTGATCTCCAGACTTACGCAGCAACAAAGTGGCGGATGGACTCCTGGGAGGCCAGGTCGCATTGGCGGCAGTACACATATTTGTTCTTTGTCTCCAGAACGATTTCCTCGCGCGCCTGTATAGCGGAAAGTTGATGGTCAGGTTAGGTCAGGATTAATACCCATAAAGTATATACATACCTCTTCACATTTTTTGATGTTCCTGCATGCCATATAGACTGTGCCACCGCGCCTTGCAATCTCCCTGGCCGTCTCCTTGCCGATTCCCGTGTTGGCGCCGGTCACGATTACCACTTTGCCGGTTTCATTGGTCTCTTTGGTGAACTGACCGCCTTGCATAAGGTCCCTGTAAAGCGAAATGTGGTTAAAACTAGTGGATCCTGCATGGAAACAGCAGCGCCCACTTGACGAAGAAGGCCAATCCTGTCGTGGTACCGGTAAGGCTTAGCCAGAAAACGGTGCGGCTCTTTAAAAACGCAAATAGTGACATTTTACGAAAACAAAATATATAAATTAGCTGGTAAACGAAAACAGCTGTGTTTACCCTGTTAAAGTTAACAGGCCGCTGTTAGCAGAGTTATCGATATTTTCAATCATCTGTGACTTGTTGTTTGTGGACTGCTGCTAACGAAAACAGTTTTTACACGTAAATAAATTTAATTACCTTAATTAATTGGCCAAAGCTAAACAAAGAGCTGTGACGCGACCGCAGAATAAACCGAAAAGGTACCCTAAATCTGGGCCAGGACACCCCGCCAAGCCAGCCAGGGAGAACAATGCGACGCAATGCGTAAGTCACCGCCAACTCGACGGATGCCTTTCCAAAAGAACAGAATGATCAGTGGGTCAGTGCTCTCTTCTACAGACGACAACAACTTCACAATCTGGAGGATGTGGACCCCGACGACGTGGAGGACATCTTCGCCCGTCCCGCCTACGACGACGACGAGTTCGAGGACCTGCTCCCGCTGGCCAGAAGACCCAACGGCCACGCCCGCCTGGGGCGCTACGAGAACACGCTGGAGGTGAAGGTCCAGGAGGGCGACACTCTGCAGGCTCTGGCACTGCGCTTCCACTCCTCCGTGGCGGACATCAAGCGGCTGAACAAGATCGACCGCGAGAACGAGATCCACGCGCATCGGGTAATCCGCATTCCGGTCACCGTGCACAACGTCCTGCTGGGCAACGCGGGGCTCGAAGCCCTGCCCGCAGTCCACCGGAGCGGGAACAACAGTCCCAGGCACAACCTGGAGCGGGAGCCAGCCCCCGAGCGCAATCCCCTCGAGGATGCGCGCCAAATGCTGGACGAGCGACTCCTGGTTGCGGCGGTGAACGCCTCTGGCGCCCAGGATCCCGACCTGCCATCGACGAGCAGAGCGGCTGGACAGTTCTACGAGGGAGCCCAGGGTGCGCCCAATGACGAAGGTGAGTCCAGAAGCTTTTGAAGATTATCCTAGAAGTCGTCGCGGGTTTTGGTTACACTTAAAATATCAGTGTTGGTGTGGTAAAGCCAGTGTTGGAAAAATAGCAGGTTCTTATTAGTTCAGTTCCGAAAATAACATCGGAGGAATTTTAAAATTTTCACTACTTTTGCAGAACTTATATAAAGGTATAAACGCAATGTTTACCTTTTAAATTATTTTTTTAGAATAAAAATCGCGAAATGAAAAAACGAGAGCTTTGCAAAAGAACAAACTTTTTGGAAACTGCAATTTTGAAGAAGTTTAGAAAGTTTAGATTTACCTTTTATTTAAATGCAACAAACCGATTGCAATTTTACCCAATACTTAAAATTGCGGTTTTTCGAAAAGCTAACGAATTGGATTTTAACAATCGAAATTAACAGTGTTTAAATATCGATAGTCGTCAGTGCTGGAAAATACAAAAATACATCGATGAGTCGATAGTGCCAACGATGCTTCTCCCACCTCTATCCCAAATTGTTCAGTCATTCTCGCCGTAAAACAAAAAGAAAACATAGCTCAACTCACTTTTCGCCTTCGAAATCATACCAATTGCAATTGAACAAGATGCCGGACTACCTGGGCGACGACCAGCGCAAGGTAAAGCACGACGAGAAGGAGGACAAGGAGATCAAATCGCTGGACGAGGGCGACATTGAGCTGCTGAAGACGTATGGCCAGAGCCAGTACCACAAGTCGATCAAAAGCATTGAGGAAGACATCCAGAAGGCGGTGAAGCAGGTGAACGAGCTGACTGGGATCAAGGAGAGCGACACTGGCCTGGCGCCGCCCGCCCTCTGGGATCTGGCCGCCGACAAGCAGATCCTGCAGAACGAGCAGCCCCTTCAAGTGGCCCGCTGCACGAAGATCATCAACGCGGACTCCGACGACCCCAAGTACATCATCAACGTGAAGCAGTTCGCCAAGTTCGTGGTGGACCTGGCCGACTCGGTGGCCCCCACCGACATCGAGGAGGGAATGCGCGTGGGCGTCGACCGCAACAAGTACCAGATCCACATTCCACTGCCGCCGAAGATCGATCCCACGGTGACCATGATGCAGGTCGAGGACAAGCCGGATGTCACCTACAGCGACGTGGGCGGCTGCAAGGAGCAGATCGAGAAGCTGCGCGAGGTGGTGGAGACGCCGCTGCTGCACCCGGAGAAGTTCGTCAATCTGGGCATTGAGCCGCCCAAGGGAGTGCTGCTGTTCGGCCCACCTGGAACGGGCAAGACGCTGTGTGCCCGCGCCGTGGCCAACCGCACGGACGCCTGCTTTATCCGCGTAATTGGCTCCGAGCTGGTGCAGAAGTACGTGGGCGAGGGAGCGCGTATGGTGCGCGAGCTCTTCGAGATGGCGCGCTCCAAGAAGGCCTGCTTGATCTTCTTCGACGAAATCGACGCTATCGGTGGCGCTCGCTTCGACGATGGCGCCGGCGGCGATAACGAGGTGCAGCGTACCATGTTGGAGCTGATCAACCAGTTGGACGGCTTCGATCCGCGCGGAAACATCAAAGTGCTGATGGCCACCAACAGACCCGATACCCTGGATCCGGCGCTGATGCGTCCCGGCCGTCTGGACCGCAAGGTGGAGTTCGGCCTGCCCGACCAGGACGGTCGCTCGCACATTTTCAAGATCCACGCCCGCTCCATGTCTGTGGAGCGCGACATTCGCTTTGATCTGCTGGCGCGCCTCTGTCCCAACTCGACTGGTGCCGAGATTCGATCGGTGTGCACGGAGGCGGGCATGTTCGCCATTCGGGCGCGCCGCAAGGTGGCCACTGAGAAGGACTTCCTCGAGGCCGTCAACAAGGTTATCAAGAGCTACGCCAAGTTCAGCGCCACCCCCCGCTATATGACCTACAATTAAGTTTATTTTTATTAGCACTTTTCTGTAACCTCTGCGAGAAAATCTGTAACAATCCTGCAGCTGGAAAATCTTGAAATAAAGCGAAACCCATACCTCGATGAACTGAAAGCTATAAAGTTAAATTTATATTTTGCAACTATCTTACAAACGCTTGGAAGTTACTTACATATGTTAAACTCTGATCTTTGTCTTCAGCAAATATGGAGCAACCCTTCGAGGAAAATGCTGCCTTGCTGAACCACATGCTGGTGGACAGGCATGCTCCGCTGGTGCGTCCCATCCCTGGACCCTCTTTGAGTGCCATCGACTGGTCTGGATCGGACTGCGACTTGTCCTGGATATGTCTGCTGATCTTCATACTCGCCCTGTGTGTCGTCATACCGCTGGTCTACGTCATCTACCTGGCGGAGCATCCGCATCACAATCACAGCGCCCAGTAGTTAGGTTGATGCCTGCCCCCGCCCCCGAAGTGATCATCATTCCAAATGTACCGGCAACTTCTCACCTGTCCCTCTCTCACTCTCAATCTCCCTTTCTCTCTCTCAGATCAGCCGGGCGCATTCAAAATGCAGTCGCAGGCAGTGGAATTTATTTTTATACCTAAATGTATAACTTTATATTGACTCTTGTGTTCTGTACTTTTTTAAATAACTACGATTTACGTGCTTCCAAGTTGCATATAGACATTTATGCTATGCTCCACATCACTCCTGGCAGCCAAAACAAATAAAACGATCCTAAGATCCGATTGTGTTGTGAATACATGTGTAGGCCCCGCAAAATTTTCTTCTCTGTATCTTTTATTAAGTACAATAATGTAACATTTAAACTAGTACGGGTGAAGTGTAACATTGTTCAGCTGAAATTGGAAACAGTTTCGCTTACGCCTAAAAAGTACATAATACATATCTTAGAGCTAAATAAATAGTATCCATGGATATAAGAATTTTGTAATAGTAAATACGGACTACAATTAACAATGGCGCACGTTGAGTGCCAATTGAAGTAACTATGAATTTTCGGGCTGGGGATGGAGGCCATGGCACATAGTTTTTGGCGAAGATTTGGTTTGGATAATGGGCTGTGTGCCTCGCTATTACAGAGCATTTTCCCCTTTCGGAAAAATCGTCCAATGGCCGCACACTTACCAAACCGCAGGCGCATATTCACTTGAACTTTAAATTCTCAAAGAAAGCAATATTGCTCCGGAGGAAGCCATGCCGCACGGGCACAGGACTCGCCGGCGAGGCTATGGGTGGATTGCCTTCCGAATGTATCGATGGATCGCTGAAACAAGATTTCATTTAGAGTGGGAGTAACTCTATAGCAAAACGTAACTAACGTTTCGAGGGATGATAGGTCGGAGGCGATCGTCGATTCATCCGCAACTTCCGCCATGGAGACCGCATGTTCCAGCTTGTTACGCTTTGCCAGTGACGAACTCGGCTTATCGGGCGTATCTGGCGGGGCAGCTATTCTTACCTAAAATAAATCACGCATATTGCAACAGATTAATTAAGTGTTTATGGATGACCAGCAAAAGCTACCAAAAATAGTTACAGCTGTCACTATTTAGCTAAAGTGCTTCCTAACATTAACCTTTATATTTTAATAAAAAAATTTTAAAAAAGAATTAAATACTAAAATAAATAATTAAATAAAATCTTCAAGTATTTATCCTTTAATATTGCACTTTACCTTATCTACCATGAACTGGTAGGAAGCCTCAGAAAAAAGTAATCAACCTGACTGGAAATCGCAGTTTGTTAACACAATTATACAAGAAATAGCGAATTTTTCACAATTAGATTTCCCAACATGTAAAGAAATCGCAGTTAAATAGCACGACAAAATATAATGGTGGTGTCAAACATGGTAACACAGGTGGTTCGAAAATTATAACAGTATAAAGTATAAAATTCACTAACCGACTTAGTTTGCAACGCAGTTAAGGAAACATTTCCGACTCTATAATGTATAAATATTCTTGATCAGCCATGTCCGTCTGTCCGTCCGTCTGTCCGTCCGTCTGTCTGTCCGTCTGTCTGTCCGTTTATCCGTCTGTCCGTCCGTTTCTGGGCAAACTAGTCTCTCAGTTTCGAAGCTATCTGCATGAAACTTTCCCAAAAGTTTACTTTCTTTTGCAGGCAGTACATACATAAGTCGAAATGAGCCGGATCGGACGACTATAGCTCGGGAAAAAATGGTAATTTTTTTAGTTATTTTTTTTTTTAGTTCTTCGACATGTAGTAATTGTTAAATATTTCAGAATTACGGCTTAAATTTAATTAAAATCGGACAACTATAACATATAACTCTTCTTGGTCCTCAAGAACTAGTGGGATGGTTCGAAGGGAGGCTTAGCTGGGGCCACCAGGCGGGTCGCAGGTTGCGGATAGCGAACGACCTTCTGGGAAGGTTAGTTGCGAATAAGCGTAAGCAAATAAGCAACCCCGGACAAACAGCGGGTATACCGATGGAGGTATACCGACAAGACGCTTGTTTGGCCGTCTTAACACCGTAGCCTTACACACCCCCTCCCTCACGACTACCCACCTCCATCCTATCCCACCACATCTCACCTCGGTGCCGGACTAAGGTGTCATTCGACCCGTGCCGATAGTCAGCCTGGCTGGGGGCCCGAGTTAACAAATAGCCCAGTCGCAAACGGAGGGTTCAGGCAAGTGGCGACCGCCTGTCCTAAGTACGCCTTACCCGGGTACAGCGGATCTCTGCCCGGGCGGACCACATACTTCTCCGCAGCTCGTGGGACCACATGAAAAGAAGCAAAGAAATAAAAATCCCGCAGGATATCCCTGCAACCGGTGTCGCAAGACACTTTGAGGAAAGATCCCTCGAAGGCGACAGACCCCAGGCGGCAACGCACCCGCCTAGGAATACACCAGCAGCCCAGACATTCCCAGCCAGGGAGCGTGGGGTGCCAGCAGGAGCTACCCTGCCAGCACGCCCACCTCTCGCATCTGATAGGCCAACCTCTATCAGGCAGCTGAAGAAGCAGGACGCTCTTCCAGCCCTGGGACAGCCCGGAGGACTGGACGACCCCAACAGGCGTGGCCTGCCAGGGTCAAAGGTAAAGTGGTACCTGAGGTACCTCATGCAGGGCATGACACCAGAGGAGGCCTTGAAGAAGGCAAAGGAGCCGAGGGAGCAGCCGGCATTGGGGACAGCACCGGTTGGTAAACGGCTGAACACCAGCCGCACACCACCGACGGACACCCCCAAAAGGTCTAGGCACGGCCCGGGGGCTAGTGAGACGTCCTCACGGGTCCCTGAGCAAGAGGGGCCTAGCACATCAGCAGCAGCGGCAGAAAAGGCAAAAGTGCGGGCCAGGAAGATACCTTCCCAGCCCCATCAAAACCAGAAGCCGACAACCGCTGGAGGAAGACCCTCTAGCTCGGCACCGCCGGTCATCGGACCCCGTCCGACTTACGCGGAGGCTGCCAAGAAAGCCACCCTCATCAGGGTGGCTATACTCCCGGAAGGTTTCCCGGCGGCCAGCCTGACCGCAGAGGAACTATCCGGGCTTCAGGAGTCGGTCATGGACGAGATGCTCACGTCAGCGTGGAGCGGTCCCGTCGTGTTCAGGGGAATCCACTTCAGGGTGGGTTACCTGATTATCGACTGCCTGGATGAAGGCTCAGCTGAGTGGCTCAAGATTGCCGTACCTCAGCTGCGGACGTGGAAGGGAGTACCCCTAGAGACCCGCACGGGAGCAGACATCCCGGCAGCATACAACGCCACGTTGTTCTGCCCGAGGAGCTCCGACCGGACCAATGAAGAAATACTGGCCTTCATTGGTTTCCAAAACCGGGTCGAGACGGACGCCTGGAAGGTCATCTCCAGGAAGAACGACGGAGCTGGTGCACTCCTGGTCGTAGGGATGGACCAGACCGGAAGGGATGAGATAGTGGAGCGTGACCACAAACTCAACTTCCGGTTTGGCCACGTCACCGTGAGCGGTCTGAAAAAGACCAAGAGAGCTCCGGAAGAGACGCCCAATGACGGCACATGCAAGGCTGTCGAGGATACCCTCGAACAACCGAATGTGGAGCCGAAGTCACAGCGTGGTGAACAGGATGAACAATCCATCACCAGCAGGACATTGGGGACGACCAAGGGGATGGACACCCTATGTCATCCCAAGAGCTGGCCCAGGAGCTCCTCCTGGACGAAAGCTGCGAAGAAGCCGAGGTTACCGTGATAGCCGGTGGTGGAGAGACTTGCTCTTTCTCTTCACCAGACCTCAATGTCAGACCACAGGACAAAAGATGTAGCCCTAAAAGAAACCCCAGAAAAACAAACTGGGACAAATTCAGGTCAACTCTAGAGCTCAATCTTTCCAACGAACCGTCAGGATACCCTAGACATCCCTTGGAATTAGACAGAGCGGTAGACAACCTGGGTCACAAGATAGTAAATGCCTTTGAAGACAGTTGTCCTCTAGGTAGACAGAGGCGGGAAACAGACGCACCATGGTGGAATGCTAGTCTTGAACGACTACGAGTAACCACTCGGAAGCTTTTCAACAAACCAAAAACTGATAGAAACTGGGAACTATACAGGCAAAGCCTGACGCTCTACAACAAAGAGATCAGGAAGGCCAAACGGAAAAGCTATAGGAACTTCTGTGAGGCAATAAGTAACGTCAACGAGGGCGCGAGACTGCAAAAAGCAATGGCTAAAAGTGCAGCGGATAGTAATTTAGCCCTGAGGAAAGGGAATAACACCTTCACCTCCACGGATCGGGAGAAATTAGAATTACTATTTGACACGCATTTCCCGGGGAATACTCCCACTATGGGAAACGCAAGGCGTGATCAACATAGAACCCCTAGGACAGTAGCCAGTGACTGGGCAACAGCCAAATCTATAGTTACGCCCGAGAAACTCAAATGGGCTATTGGAACCTTCCAACCATTTAAATCACCGGGATTAGACATGATCTCTCCAGCTTTCTTACAGCAGGGGCAGGAACTACTCCTAACCCGCCTAAGAAGACTATTGGTGAGCAGCCTAGCCCTTGGGTATATCCCAAGTGCATGGTGCAGCGCTAGGGTGGTCTTCATCCCCAAGATCGGGAAGAAAGACATCACCAGCCCAAAGTCCTTCAGACCTATCAGCTTAACTTCGTTTTGTCTCAAAACGCTGGAAAAACTGGTAGACTACAACATCAGAAGAACAGCTCTCAGAGACTGTCCGCTGCAAAATACACAGCATGCATATAGAGCAGGCCGTTCAACAGACACTGCACTTTATCAACTATGTCGCACCCTAGAAGGGGCAATTGACAGCAAAGAAATAGCTATCTGTGCCTTCTTAGACATAGAGGGAGCCTTCGACAACACATCACATGATGCAGTTCGAGCTGCCCTGTCCAGAAGGAACATAGACACTACTACGAGCAAATGGATTGGCAACCTACTTGAATCCAGGCAAGCAACATGTACACTGGGTTCGGAAAGAGTAACAATCGCTACCAGCAAAGGCTGCCCGCAAGGAGGAGTACTGTCCCCTCTGCTATGGAGCCTGCTAGTAGATGACCTTCTCAGCAAGCTTGCTGGAAAAGGAATTCAATGTCAAGGATACGCCGATGACATCGTGATAATCGCCAGAGGCAAATTTGAAGCGACACTCTGCGACATCGTCCAACTCGGACTAAGGACAACGCTAGACTGGTGCAGGGAGGTTGGACTCAACTTAAATCCTGCTAAGACAGTCATCGTTCCTTTCACAAGGAAGTACAAACTACAGAGAATGAGACAAATCTCACTGCTAGGAACTCCTATAGAAATTAGCCGAGAGGTTAAATATCTAGGAATCACTTTAGATAGTAAACTGACTTTCGCTTCCCATGTCCAAAAGACATTGGAAAAGTGTTACAGAGCACTCTATACCTGTCGGAAAATTGCTGGGAAATCCTGGGGAACCAGGCCTCAGATAATACGATGGCTATACTTAATGATCGTGAGACCAATCCTCACTTACGGAGCACTTGCATGGGGCAAACGAGCTAAGCTCATCAGCATGCAAAACCAGCTAGGAAAACTACAAAGACTTGCCTGCGTATGCATGACAGGGGCAATGAGAACCTGTCCTACAGCTGCCTTAGAAGTTTTGATGGAGCTAACACCACTCCACTATGTGATTGATATCCAACGCAAAGCTACACTCCTGAGAATAAGCACTGAGGGCACAGGTAGTGGTTGCATTCTAAATAACAGGGATGCGACTAATTTGTTAGGTGAGGTGCCCCTAATACTCCACCCTAGGGATGAAATGACAGCCGAACTAATCTTCGAGCAGAACTTCACAGCACACCTAGGCAATAAGAAAGATTGGACCACACTGTCTGAAGTGCATCCGATGGCTAAACACACCATTGCATGGTACACAGATGGATCCCTGACACAACAAGGCACGGGCCTTGGAGTGGTAGGGCCTCGCATTAAATACCACGAATCCCTTGGCCAATACACCAGCATATTCCAGGCTGAGGTATGTGCCATTGGACGTTGTGCAGAGCTCAACATACAGCGTGGATACAAGGAAAAGGACATATCGATCCTTTCGGACAGCCGAGCAGCAATTACTGCTTTACATAGTAACAAAATCACCTCGAAGCTAGTCCTAGAGGTGAAGAGTAAGCTAAATATACTGGGCAGTCGAAACAGGCTGGCCCTCAGATGGATTCCGGGACATAAGGACATATCCGGAAATGAACTTGCCGATAAAATGGCAAAACTAGGAGCCGAACAGCCCCTGGTAGGCCCAGAGCCCTACTGTGGCATAGGGAGGCACACTATAAAAGAATACCTTAGGAAAGCGGAAGGCGCCATGAGACAAGAACACTGGAGAAATACCCCAGGTCTTAGGCAAGCCAAAACTCAAATAAATAACTATAACAAGAAGAGGTTCAAGGAACTTATTCAACTGGGGAAGAACTCACTTAGGATCGTTACCGGATTACTAACCGGGCACTGTAGACTGAAAAGTCACCTAGGTAAGATGGGAATAACCAGCAGTGGAACTTGCAGATTCTGCGACATAGAGGACGAAACCTCTAGACACATCATTGCAGACTGTCCGGCGTTAGCAAGCATAAGATGTAAAATCTTAGGAACCAGAACTCTTACACCTGAGCTCCTAGTAAGAATCAACCCACTAAAACTCCTCGACTTTATTCGAGGAAGTGGGTTGATATCTGAGCTGTAGGCTCTGAATGGGGGTACAATAGATCTTATAGGTCGCGGTACACTGGACACCCCGATATTAATAATAATAATAACATATAACTCTAGTGGGAACAATAAAAAAAATGTTTAAAAAATGAAATTTTTTTAATATTTTTTTCTTTTTAGAACTTTTTTAACATACTAATAATTTGACAGCTCAGAACTACGCTATTATTTTTTTTTAAGTCGGAAAACGATATCGCATAGCTGTCAAGGAACAATCGAATAATTGAGCTGCAAATCATCATAGTTTCAATGTTTTTAAACATATTTGAATGTTTTCAAGAATATTTTAATTTAATTTAATAATTTTATTTAACTTTTTTCAATAGCTGCAAGGGTATATGAACGGCCTGCCGAAGTTTTCTTCCTTTCTTGTTTGCCTTTTTTTTCCAAAATACTTGCGTGACAGGTTGGATTTGTTTTGTACAGCATGTACAAATCAAATTCCAAATTTTATGACATATGTGATAGATATAGATGGTGAATAGACTTCCGTCAGTGGAGGGTAAGTCCAAGTGCTCGGACTACCGGCATGTCGTGAATCTGAATGCTTGGGGCAGCGATTTGGAAGACATCAAGATCTGCTTGGAGATGCCTCATTTGGAAATACTGTCTCTCAGTGTGAACAAGATCAATACGCTGAGCAGCCTGCAGAATTGTCACCGGCTGAAGGAGCACTATATGCGCAAGACCAAGATCCCCAGTTTCGAGGAGCTAAATTAGCTGGCCAATGCCCGTTCCTTGACCTCGCTTTGGTTGGAGGACAATCCATGCTCCGTGGAAGCTGGTAGCAACTATAGGGCCTGTGTGCTTCGTAAGCTGCCGCAGCTAAAAATACTGGACAACGTGGTAGTCACCGAGCTGGAGGTACAGGCCGACCTTCGCCACAAGTTCTATCCGGAGCAGAAGAGTGCCATTAGTGCTCCGGTGGCGGAGTCTGCGCTCTCGACTAGTGGCGCCAAGATGAGGGCCTGTCGCGAGCGCCTGGAGCGGGATCGGGAAAGGGAGCGGGAGGAGGAGCGGCAAGAGGAGCGGCAGCGGGTGAAGGAGACGGAACTGAAGGAGGAGCGGGAGCGGAAGAGGCATTGTCCAACAGGTCCGCCAGGATGCCAGGATATGGTGGCCAACTCCTTTTATCCCAGCAATGGAGGCGGTGCAGTGCAGCAGAGATGTCTTCACTTGAATGGCAATCTGCTGTCCGCCTCTTTGTCCCTCATCCGCGAGCTGGACGAACCCACTCTGAAGGCGCTGAGCCATGCCATCCATGAGCAAGTGAACACCACAGATCCATGTCCAAATTAACAAAATTTCAAATTTTCAATTCCAGTTAAATAAGTTTAAAACTAGTGTAGTGTAGGAAATATCCCGAACGAAAAGCGTATTACCATAATAACTAATGCTGACACATATTACCCAAGCTACTTTAATTTTTTTTTTGACCCTCACAAATAATTTGTACCTTCAAATTTAATCAACATTAATAAAATAATAATATTTTTATACCTTTGCAGAGGTTTTACAATTTCAGTCAGAAGTTTGCAACGCAGTGAATGAGACATTTCCGACCCTATAAAGCATATATATTCTTGATCTGCATCACTAGGATAGTCGATCTAGCCATATCCGTCTGTCCGTCCATCTGTCCAACTGTTTGTCCGTTTCTACGCAAACTAGTCTCTCAGTTTTAAAGCTATCTGCATAAAACTTTCCCAAAAGTTGTCTTTCTATTGCAGGTAGTACTTAAGTCGGGACAAGCCGAATCGAACACTATAGCATATCGGAAAAATTAATGAAAAAAATTATGTTTTTTTTTTTTATTTTTTTTTTAGTTCTTCGACATAATAGTAATGGTTAAATATTTCAGAATTACGGTTTAAATTTCATCAAAATCGGACGACTATAACATAAAGCTCCCATTTAAACAATAAAAGCAAAAAAAAAAATTTTAAATTTAACTGTTCTATTTTGTAATTCCTTTTTGTAAATTCTTTTTGACTTATTAATAATTGGACATTAAGTTTAATTTTATTTAAATCGGAAAACAATAACATATTGCTGCCATAGGAACAATCAAATAATTGAGCTGCAAAACATCATAGCTTCAATGCTTTAAACATACACGCAAGTAAATCATAATTTTTTTATTTTTAAGAATATTTAATTTTTGCATTAGCTGCAATAGTATATGAACTTCGGCTTGCCGAAATTTGCTTCCTTTCTTGTGTATTTTAGTTCTTTGAAATATAGAAATGGTTTAATATTTTAGCATAAGGGTTTAATTTTATCAAATTCGGACGACTATAAATAAAAATATTTTTTTTAATGTAACTTTTCTATTTTGTAATACTTTTTGACTTAATATTAATTTGACAGTTCACAGTTACGCATTTAATTTTATTAAAAACGGAAAACGATATCATATAGTTGCCATTGAAACTATCGAATAATTGAGCTGGAAATCATCATGGCTTCAATGTTTTTAGACATATACGCAAATAAATCATAATTTTAATGTTTTCAAGAATATTTAATTTTTGCAATAGCTGCAAGGGTATATGGACTTGCCGAAGTTTGTTTCCTTTCTTATTTAAAATTAAGGTAAATTTAAAGTCTTTTAAAGCAGCTGTTCTATGACAAATAAAATAAAAGAATAGAGTTTTTGGAGAAATGCAAATCAATGCCATATTTAGCAAAAATCACAAATAGGATAACATATGGATATATTTGATTTTCTCACCGTTGCCCGCCATCTTCGCTGCGGTTGTGTGTGCTTGCTGGTCAGAAGAAAGGCCTGAGCCAGAGCCTTGACAGACGGCATGGAGTGGACCACTTCATCTTCGATGGCGGGCTTCTCCGCCGCGGGAGTGGAAGGTTCAGGCTGTCAAGGCAGGAAGGTTTACCCAACTACCCGAATTGTTAAATGGCGCACACTCACCACATCGTCTTCATCGACAGACAGCACTTGACTGGGATCGATCAGGCGGCGTTTCGGCTGCAGGAATCTAAAGGCAGGCGGAGTGGATTCCCGCGTGGGTGTACCGACAGGTGAGCCAATCGTGGGCCCCGAATCGCCTGGACCGAACTGGAGGACCACAGGTCGCTCCCGCTTCTTGGAGGTCGACGAGTCAAAGGAAGCACTCTGGGCGGACTCCATGGACGACGTGGTGGAGGTGCTGGGCAGCTGCTCCTCCCGAGCAGCCTTGATAACCGTCGTTTCCTGCTTGTTAAAGTCGTAGATCCGCACCGTGTCGGACTCGTCGCTGGTGGTGGTAGTCGTGGTTTGCAGGGAGTGCAGCGAGGGATTCGATTGGGAATCCAGGGAGTCATCCAGGACCTGAACTGGCAAGGCTTTGTACACCGAATCCTGTGGCGGTTCCTGCTCTGGGGCAGGTTCGCTTGCTTTTTGAGCCTTTTGATTAAACATTTTCGGTTTGGTAGTTGGCAGTTGGTTTCGGTGGGTGTGTGTTGTTTTGTTGGTTAGTTTGGGTGGTTAGGGTTCAATGGAAAGAAGAAGTGTAGGTGCTTTAGTATCTAATATTAGTGTAGACGTGGTTGTGGATTTGATCTAGAGTAAGGCAAAGAGTGATGCGGTGGTTTTGTGGGTGAAAACGCTCAGGCAGCAGCATGCGGCACGATGATCTTGCTACAGTCATTCAGGCAGTTACAATCGCTTGAAATGGTTTCGAAACAAATGCTGTTAGTCAAATCCAAAAGCAATCCAAACACAAAACTAACTATTTCGGCTAGTTGCCGATTCTGTACTCACCAATTCGATAGGTTTTTGGGATACTAAAAACATTTGTTTCTGGGTTTCAGTGTTTGCTTTCATTGTTGGTTTGTTTATTGTTTGGCTTTATTTGGAATTAATGCATTATAGATATCGCTAGGCATATGTGAATATGGTTGTTCATAAGAAAAGAGCGTTAGCGGTGTGCATACAGATACGGTACAGGAATTATTATATATTATTTCATAAAATTAACAGCAAGTATAATGATTAAAAACAAACGTTGCATACTCTAGGGCATTAGCATTACGTAAGTGGTATTAACTAAAGGTACGATCAGAACACTAGCTCGACACTCTCGTTCGCAGAAATCTTGCAGTTTGCTGGTTGCAGGTTGCTGGATCGGTGCAGAAGTGGTAGTGGTGGTGCAGTGGAAAGGTCATCGGATGCCCATCCAGTGCGGGAGATTCTGTGCGTGCTTTCTTTCCGTTTATTTGTGTGTATGTGTATTCCCGCCCTGCCCATCTTGTTTTTACCATATGTACAGAGAAATTGGCTTTGCTATGCTGACTAGTGTTTAACATCTGTTTGACTAAGCTATGCGCGATTTGGCAAATATCCGTAGGGGCCCAAGACCCAACCCGTTCCCAATGTCCCTAAAAGAGCAGACTGTTGTTGCTGTACTTGGTGTCCGTGCCGCTGAAACCGTTCAGGCAGCTGTCCACCCCCGAGTCGCCCTGGTCCTCCGCTTCGGGGCGCCGGGCCAGCTTCCCGGCCAGCGGCTCGCTCTCGAACAGCGGATTCATCACAAAATCCTTCGAGGTCGAGGACACCGCCCGGAAGCTGTTGCGCTTGAGGTCCTTGTGCAGCAGCTGCTTCTCGAATTGGGTGAGTACGCCGGCGGAGGGACCGCCTGCCGCCGCCCGCCTCTTGGACACGGACGAGCCGAAGGACACCCCACTACCATGGCTGTGCAGACTCAAGGAGGACTGGGTGTGCCGCTTGGGCAGCGAACTGTAGCTGCTGCGCCAGGAGCGCTGGGACCTCGAGTCGAAGTCGTCGTCGTCACCCAACCCCAGACTGGACTCGCGGTAATGGGACGCGGAGGTTGAAGGTCGTTCCAGGGGCACTGACCTTTCGTAGCCCAAGGACAGGGAGTGGGAGGGTGAGGAAGAGTGGGAGTGGGAGTGGGAGGGGCGGCTGTTAATGAACTTTAGCGAACTGCTACGGCGCACTGGCGTGGACAGCGTCCAATGAGAGAGGTCGGCAGCGGTGCTCTGAGCGCTACTTGAAATGCGGCCATGCGGTGGATGTGGTTCTGGTTCTTGATTTACCTCGTTGATCACGATGTCCTCCACATCCTCAGCAGCACGCTGCGGCTCGGAGATGGAGGATGGGGCCCTTCCACTTCCCGTGCTGTCTGTGGGGGTGGGAGCATTGTTGATGTAGTAGTCGCGGCTGTACCTAAAGTATTGGGGATAAATAAATAACTAGAGTTATAGAGGGACACCATTGGGTATATCTTTTGCCGACCCACCGCTTGTAGTCCGTTTGTGGCGTTGACGGCTCCGGATTTTCCGTCAGCGCCGATGCCAGAGCCTTTTGCTCCGCACTCGGACTGATGTTTGGCACATCCATGTACCGCTCCTGGGTGCCGCTGATGCGCTGCTTCAGTGCCTCCGGGGCGTATGGATTATTTGGCATTTCAACGGCATTGTACCACTTCTTCACCTCGCGCTCCGCAATGGAACCTGGAAATGTGTGCGGATGCAGTGGTTAAGGAAGTTATGCGTAAGTCAGCGATTGGGTCGATTTATTTAAATCTTAACGGACTCTTGAGTGAGCAAAAAGTAACATTTCTTTATCTTTAATTTAACAGCTTTTGGCTTACACCTCCCCATTAACAAAAGAAACAACTTTTTTTCAGAAAAAATCTTTTTTTGTTAGACTCCCATTAAAATTCATAACTATCTTCTTTATTGCATAACTTTAAGTTGGTTATTATTATATGTTATTTAACTATATTATTTATACAAAGAAGTCTGAATTTTAAGAGTCTAAAGCTTTGAAATCAAACAAAAACAGTAAATACAAATTTTCAATAATTTCTTTAGAATCGAAATATGTAGTTTCATAACAAGGAGATCACGAGTTTCTTTTGTTTTAGAGGATGGTAACATTAGTGTACATGTCATATATTACTTTTCGTTGCTTAGGATTCGTTATCAAATAAGTCGACCCATCCTTATGTTTGGGATCAGCCTTCAACGGGTCGCAAACACATAAAAGACACTAGAGCCAGGCTAACATACACAGATATTAAAGCATAAAAGGGAGGACAACAAACACCGAGTGATGACAGTTATGGCCACAACCGAGCGTTACCTGGCACAAATCGCCGCAACAGAACAACATCGTCATCGGCAACATCGTCTTGTTGGGCAGCCACTGGGCCACCGTTTGGCAGATCGGTGGTATAGCTACCAGACCATCGAAGGGAACCATTTGTTAGTTTTCCGTTAGTGCGTCTAGTGCCCGAAGTCGGGTTGTTAGTTTGGGTTAGAGGAAGATGCAGGTGGGAGTGCAGATTGCTGTTAGAGTTGGGGTTAGTATTCAGTGTTCGCTGCTGGTCAAGGACTACGGCCCTCTCGCTCACAAACTCCTGTTCAGAGTCACCTTCTCCAGTGAACGTCTCACAGGCAGTGGAGGGTTCACTCTCATCGCTTTGAATTGACTCTGAACTTAACTGATCTGAGAAGAGAATTTCGTTGATAAAGTTATATGTGATTTCGCTCAAACTAAACGCAATGATGGAATCAGTTTCTACTTCTAGTTCATCAGCCATATCACAAGATGTTTGGCTAGCCATATCTAATCTTAGGATTAAATTATCATCAGTTATGATATCTTCAGGCTTGTCGTCCGTGCTGCTCAAACCTTTCGATGCTTCTGCATCTGAATTACTACCAATAACCATATCAGCTTCACTTTCTAAGTCAAGAGACTCTAAATCGCTTTGAGATCTAACGATTTTAAGTGGCATTTCTGCTAAAACACTACCTTTACTACTATTAATTTCAGTTGTTATATCATTTGAATGAGACTCAGGCATATTTTTAAAACTAAACGGATAATTGGATGTATCTGCATCCATGCTAAGTTCATCTACCAAATCAGTTTCAGTCTTATCTATATCAAATGCAAAACAATCATCAACAAAACCAATTGGGTCAACTTCAGAAGTTGGAGTTTCTGCTCTGCCTGTCGGGGGTTGTAAATCTGTGGAGGAAGCTAAGCTGAACTCATTCAGTTCCTCGAAAAGGCTGGAGTGGGACTCAAAGGGAACTTCGGCTATGCTATCTTCCATGGAATCAAAGGAACTGAGGTATTTGTGCATGATCAGAGAGCGGCGGCGTCTGCGTTCGATTGTGGCAAGCAGTCGTTTGTCTTTTATGTAAAACTTGCAAATGGTCCCAAAGAGGTTCACGGGCTCGGATCTAATAGGCGACTCTCCATCACTCGTTGTTGTGTCAAGAATGTTTGGCTGCCTTCGCAGAAACTTGTGGGTGGCTTTACCTAGAGCGGAACAATCGCTCTTAGTGGAGTCTATCGAATCACATCTTTGGACACCTCCTGCAGACTTATCTGATGTCAATTCCGATTTGCTTTGCAACTCTCGCTCTGTGCTAGCTGGTTGTGAATTGTCGGGCGCTTCGGTGCAATCCTTATCATTCTTCGAAATATCTTCTGTAGATGGTGGTATTTCTTTAGCAGCAGTCTCCACTTCCTCCAGATAGTCCACGTATACTGGTGGTTGTACTGGGCAGGATTCTGTTTCAGGAAGAACTTCAACAGAAACCACTGCGGCAGCTTGTGCATCTACATCAATTTCAGCAGGAACTTCGTTTTCGTCTTTAACAGATTGTTTTTCAGTAACAACTTCCACTGGCTGAAGTTCAGGAACGATTTCAACATTTATAGGCTTAGGGGGTCCTGCTGGCAGGCATTGGGATTCTAGAAGTGTACTCAGTTCGACATCGATCGGATCTGGTGTATCCATTGCAATAGAGCTACCTTCTGAAATAACGTTGACAGGTGCTGTGGTTTCTACTTGTACAATTACTGGTAAATCCACCGGGACAGATACTGTTTCTGAAATTGTTTTCTCATCAACTTGGGGTTCCAATTCGACAGGTTGTGTTTCATAGCTTGAAGGTGCTGTTGAAATTTCAGGAACTAAGTCTCCTTCAGGAATAATGTGCTCTAAAGATGGAGAATCCACAGCAACCGAATCCGTCTCGGGAATTGCTTCAGGGGAACTGCTTCTGAACTCCAAAGTTACATTGGCGGCTTGATCAAAACCTTCAATAGCAGCTAAGGGTTCCCCAGAGGTAGTCAACGCCTCTGGCGAAAATTCCATAGTCACTGGTGGGTTTTCTTCAATAGATTCGGGTAGGGAAGCCATTTTCAATGATATTGGGGATTCCTTATTGTCAGCTTCTGTTTTTGGATGTTGCATTTCGATTGGTTTGACTTCTGAGATAATTTTCTCACCGACGGGTTGAACGTTTGGTGCACTTTCTACAGGAGCTTTAAATTCCACAGCAAGAGTTTCTGCCTCCGGAACAACTTCCAATAGCTCGGTGATAGATTGACTTTCTGGGACGATTTCCAAATTAACTACTACTACTTCGGCTTCCATTGTGACAGTTTCAGCTTGCGGCTCTATTTCCATTGTGACGGCATGCGTTTCTGGAACAATATCCAATGGTGCTGACTGTTCCAAATTTGTAGGTAGCTTTGGCACAGGATCTGATGAGCTCACACTGACATTGTCAACCCGCGCCACATATTCCGTTTCGGATACACTTTTTGAAGCCGTATCTTTATTGTCGGATCCGTTTTCTGAAACAGTATCTACTTGGGGAATGACTTCCACTGTGACAGATTCCATCTCTGGATAAAGTTCCATGGGCGTTGGCGTTTCCACTGCTATAGGTTCTCCCCCTAAAGTGACATTCAGTGTTTCGGGAGAATGTTCGTTGACAAAATCTGTTTTTTTTATTTGTTCTACAGTTGCTGGTTGATCCAGTGAGACTGTCGGAACCACCTCCATGGCGACCTCTTGTGCCTCTGGCCCAGCTTCCACAGTATCGAAGAGTTCCGGTGCTTGCGGTTTCTGTGCGTTGGAGTTTGCCACTACAATAACTTTTAGTGATTCTGAAGAATCCACTGACACAGATTGCAATTGTGGGTCAATTTCCACGCATGCTGGAGATTCTTTTTCTGAAATTACTTCTACCAGCGGACAACATTCTGGAAAATCCCCTGAGAGAGGTAGCGTTCCCGATACAGTTTCTGGAGGCACTGAAACTTCCATGTTATCAGTTTCTTTTTCTGAAAGTTCGATTATGGGCTCTGGCGTATTTATGGCAGGATCTTCGGATGTTTCGATTTCTGGAAGAATTTCTGCAGGAGCTGGCGGATCCACTGCAATACAGCCAATTTTTTTCTCCCGAGTAGGAAGTTCTACATCAATATATTCTGCTAGTGCTGCTAGTGATTGTTCGTCTTCTAGCTTCTTCTCCACAGTTTCCACAGACTCTGGTAGGGCTACGGAGACTTGTGCAGTTTGAGGGACAACTTCTTCGGGCAATCTGGTATGCATTGTGACTGGTGCTGCTTCAGACGAAATTTCCACACAGATAGATTGTGCTACTAAATTTTTTCCTACAGATTCTGATGGATCTATTGTACTAGGCTGTGTTTCTGGAACAATTTTTGCAGACGCGGTGGATTCCAATAGTAAAGAATTTTCAGGAACGGTTTCCATATTTAACGGTGGATTTTCATTCGCTGATTTTACTTGTGGTTCATTTTCTGCATTTGCCAACGGCTCTGGAACGATTTCCTTTGAAACAATTTCCTCAGAAGCCGTGTTAAACTCTGCACCTGTTGAATTTGTTTTTACAGAGTTAGATTCCGTCTCAGAAAAAGTTTTTCCAGGTAAAGGGATTTCAACTGCGACAGAGTCATGATCTATAGGAACATTCTCAGATTCAAGTGTATTCACAGAGACAATTTCCGCAGATGTTGTTTGGTTTTCGGAAAAAACAACTCCTTGTAAATTAACTTCCTCAGACGTTATTGTATCCAAAGTGGTCAGTTGTGCTCCCAAAACCATTTCCAATTGGGCAGGGGGTTCCATGTCGATAGATTTAGTGTTGGAAACATCTTCCTCCTCGTACTGGACTAAATCAATTCCCAAATCCCGAACAACTTGTCCTTCTGGTGGATCAACAACAATAAATTTAGTGTTGGAAACATCTTCCTCCTCGTACTGGACTAAATCAATTCCCAAATCCCGAACAACTTGTCCTTCTGGTGGATCAACAACAATAAATTCCCGTTCCTCTTTTGGAGGGAAAGCAATAATTTCTACAGGCGTAGGGGACTCCACCGAGACAGCTTCGCTTGGAAGAACGTCTGGGGTTGACTCTTTGTCTGTGTTTGCGACAATATCCGGAGGATCGGGTTGATCCGTGACCATTCCTGTTTCGAGAACCACTTCCGCATTACTTACTGCAACAGATTTTGCGTTAACTTCCGTTGCCGCTAGGGATTCCAGATCGGCAGGTTCTAATTGTGAAACAACTTCTGAAGGTAGTGGTAAATCTTCAGGAGGTAATGGTTCTAGCGCTGTCGAAGTTGTTATGATAGGTGAAATTTCTTGAACCATTTCCACAGGCGCTGATGTTGGCATTGCATGAGTTTCAGTTTGGGCAACCATATACGTTGACTGATTGTTTTCCAATTCTATCTGTAAAACATGAGATGCTGGAGCATCTACAACTTCCAGAGGAACAGGAGCCAATGTGAATTGGGTTTCTGCACTAATTTCAGAAGTCGGTGATGAACTAAGAACGACAGAAGCTGTTTGAGGAACATCTTTCACCAACACCGTTGAATCCGTGTCAATAGATTCCGTGCCTAAAACCGTTTGCGACAGTGTGGGGGATATGACTTGAGAAACCTTGTCAGTATGCGTTGGTGGCTGGAGATGTGTGTCTGAAACTGCTTCCTCATTCGTTGGTACGTTTACGCAGTCATTTTCCACATGAGAAACACATTCTATTGGCTCAGGGGGATCTATAAATGTAGATTGTTCTGATTCTGCAGACGGTTCTTCTGCAGCGCCATGTGTTTCTGGGACATTTTCCAAAGGCTCTGGTAATTTAACGCCGACTGATACAATTAGTTGTATTTCTGAAACAGTTTCCTCCACAGTAGTTATTGGTTCAACAGCTGAACAATCCGACTTAGAAAACATTTCTTCAGGCACCAGCTTCTCCACTGCGACAGATTGTGCCGCTATAATGGCTTCTATAGATTCTGGTGAACTTACAGCGATAGATTCAGGCTCCAAAATCAATTCCCCAGGCGACGGATCCATAATTTCCACAGATTGTACTACTGGAAAACCTTCCACGGTCGCTGGGGGTTCTACTATGAGGTCATCAGTTTGGGCAACCACTTCATCAGATGGAATGATGGTTTCCAAAGGCGCTGGGAGCTTCGTATCGAGAGGTTCTCTCTGGGGAACATGTTCTGCAATTACTGGTATGTCCACTGCGACCGAATTCGTTTCGCCACATCCTGTTTTTGAAACAATGTAGATATGTTCAAGGAGATCTGGTGCAACGGGTTCTGAAATAATTTGTACCGGTACAGAACAGTCCGGAACATCCTTTACAGTTACTGGTGTATCCAAATTCGTTTCTGGAACTTCCTCAGTTGTTGCGATTTCTACTGGAGTTGAAACGACTTTCGAATGGATAATTTGCGAAGGCGTTGATGATTCTTCATCGTCGTGTTCTGCCTGAAAAACAACAGGTTTAGTTACTGAAATAATCTCCAATGGTTCTGGTTCTCCAATTGTTTCAGTAAGTGAATCAATTTCCGCGTGGGGTTGTGTATCAGCAATAATTTCTGCAAATTCTGGCAGACCTAACTCGCACAGTACTGTTTCAGAAATAATGTCAACAGCCTTTGGGATTTCTGCTGCTGTCTGTGCAATATCTTCTATAGCTTCTGGTGTATCCACTGAAATAGGTTGTAGTTGTTGATCAGTTTCAACTGGCAATGGCTGTGTTTCAGAAACAGTTTCTGCAGACTGTGGCGGATGCAGCTCGTCACATCCTGTTTCTGAAACAATTTGAACAGGTTCGTTGAATTCTGCTACTACGGGTTCTGGAATATTTTCTGCAAGGACAGAAGCAATTTGTGAAACATTGTCTATACTTTCTGGTGGATTATCTGCATTAAGCTGTTGTTCTGGAACAATTGCAATTGGCACTGGTAGATCCACTTCAAAGGGAACAGTTTCTGCAGACTGTGATAAATCAAGTCTGACACATCCTGTTTCTGAAACCATTTTAACAGATTCAGGATGTTCCGCCTGCACGGGTTCCAGAATAATTTCCGATGAGACAGATGCAATCTGTGGTACTGTTTCTATTATTTTTGGAGGATCCACTTCATCGGACTGTTGTTCTGGAGCAACTCCAATTGGCGCTGGTATATCCACTCTATCCATATCCACTGCTTCTGGAACAGTTTCAGCAGACTCTGGCAGATCCACCTCGCTACATCCAGTATCTGAAACTATTTCAATAGGTTCAGGGAGTACCGCTTCTACAGGTTCTTGATTACTTCCTAATAGTACAGATGTAATTTCAGTAGGATCAGGGATTGCCGCTGTCACAGGTTCTTGAAAACTTTCTAATTGGACAGATGCTATCTGTGGAACGTCTTCTGTAGTTTTCGGCGAATCCACTTTAATTGACTGTGGAACAGTTTCAGCAGACTTTAATGGATGCACTTCGCCAAATCCTATTTCTGAAATAATTTCAATAGGTTCAGGCACTCCCTGAATTGGCGCTGGTAAATCCACTCTAAAGGATTCTGTTTCTGGAACAGTTTCAGCAGACTCTGGCAGATCCACCTCGCTACATACAGTATCTGAAACAATATTAATAGGTTCAGGGTGTGCGGCTGTCACAGGTTCTCGATTACTTTCTAGTAGTACAGATGTTGTCTGTGGGACGTCTTCTATAGTTTTCAGTGGATCCACTTCAATAGACTGTAGTTGTGGAACAGTTTCAGCAGACTCTAATGGATGCACTTCGCCAAATCCTATTTCTGAAATAATTTCAATAGGTTCAGGGATTGCCGCTGTCACAGGTTCTTGATTACTTTCTAATAGTACAGATTCTATCTGTGGAACGTCTTCTATACTTTGCGGTGGGAGCACTTCAAAAGACTGTAGTTGTGGAACAGTTTCAGCAGACTCTAATGGATGCACTTCGCCATATCCTATTTCTGAAATAATTTCAATAGGTTTATGGAGATCCGCTGTCACGGGCTCTGAAATAATTTCTACAAGTACTGGTCCTTTTAGAGAAATATCTTCTTCAGTTACTGGTGTGTCCACTGCTTCCAAATTTGTTTCTTGGACTTCCTGAGATGTAGAAATAATTTGCGAGTGCGTTGATGATTCCACATCTACAGATCCTGCCTGAGAAACAAATTCTACGTGTGCAGGCTGAGTTTCTGAAGTATCCTCTAAGGGTTCTGGTGGTACCACTGCAATAGGTTCAGTTAGCGGATCAACTTCTGCAGAGAGCTGTGTTTCAGGAACAATTCCTGTAGATTCTGGTAGACGTGATTCGAAAAATACTGTTTCGGAAATAATGTCAAAAGCCTTTAAAGTTTCCGCGTCTTTTAAAGTGCTTGGTTGATCCACTGCAATAGGTTGTTGTTCAGTAAGAACTTCAATTGGCGCTGGTAGATCCCCTACAAACGGCATTGATTCAGAAACAGTTTCTGCAGACTGTTGGGGATCCAGTTCGCCACACCCTATTTCTGATTTATTTTGAATAGGTTCTGGAAGTACCGCTGCTACGGGTTCTGGAACAATTGCAATTGGCGCTGGTAAATCCACGACCAAGGGCTGTGTTTCTGGAACAGTTTCCACCGACTGTGAAGGATCAAGTCCGCCACATATTGTTTCTGAAACAATTACGACAAATTCAGGGAGTTCCGTTGGTAAGGGTTGCGGAATAATTTCCACTATGCCGGATGCATTCCATTGAACATCTTCTATAGTTTCTGGTGGATCCACTTCATAAGATTTTTGTTCTGGTACAACTTCAATTGGCGTTGGTACATCCACTGTAAGGGGCGCTTTTTCTGGAACATATTGATCGAGCTCAGGGCTTACTTTTGTTACAGGCTCTGAAATTATTCCTACAGGTTCAAATGATCGAACCACTTTGTCTGATTGAGTTTCGGGAGCAAATTCTGCATGTTCGGCCACTTCTGGGTGACCCGCTAAGTCAGATTGAAAATCCGTAGGCACTGCTGTGACGGGTTCTATTCCTGTGCCGGTATCCAAAGACGTTGTTATATCCAACACGGAGGACTGTGTGTCAAAAACATTTTCCAAAGTGTCATTTCCAGCTTCTTGAACAAATTGAATAGGCTTATTAAAATCCACGTCCAGAGGATTTTTCAGTAAAATAACTTCTGGCTTAGAATGTGGTTCCATGGGCTCCAAAGAAGCTGGTATATTGAGTTCTATGGGCTGGTTTTCTGCAACAATTTCCACAGGTTCTGTTTGACTTACGACGAAAGAGTCTACTTGGGAATCTTGCACCGGTGATGATGGATCTACGACGAGAGGTGTTGACTGTTCCACTTTATCCAATTCTGTTTCAAGAGTAACAGGAGAATCCATGTAGGCAGTTTCGGTCTCTTGAACAACTTCAGTCGGCGGCGGAGACTCAGACTCAGCGAACATTTCAAGTGCTGGTGGGGGTGGAACAATTTCTTCTGAGGCGATTAGATCTGGAGTTGGAGTTGCTGTGAATGGTGGCGGTTGTTCAGTACAAAAATAAGATTCTAGAACGGGCTCTAATGGCTCGGAGTTCTCCTCTTCGATGATGTCCAGCGAGTGCGCGCGCGCCAGGTCCACTGAGCGAGCGTTAATCTCGGCGAGGGCCAAGTCACTCAGCTCCTTGAGGGTGTGCATCTCGCTGGGAGTCATGGCGCCGGGTTGCTCGGATGCAGGAACCGCTAGCATGGGTCCCAAGGCCATGGCTGCCAAGATCTCAATTACCGATGGTACGCTCTCGTGCAATTGCTCTTCGTCGATGTACTCGACAGTACTGAAGCCAGTGCAGCCTTCGAGGCTGGCCAGCTCCTCGGTTTCGCGTGGGGCTGCAACACAAACGACTGCTGAGTGCCTATGCTTTAAGACCACGCACAAGTGGGCTGAGCTACTAAGGGGCAGGGCTCTAAGATGGTGGCAGCGATCAAGGGGCTAGTGATCTATGTCTAAGGGTTAATCCAAGTCTTAGCAGTAAGGATGAGATACAATATTCGGAGGTACAGAGGACACGTTTAAAGCAATTACCTGCAATGGGAGTGTGGTCTGGCTCCTCATTCAACAAGTCGTCTTGGAATATCATTGGTGGTGGTGGTGGTGGTGTCCGGGAGGGAGCTTTAATATCAGATGGCACGGCCATGGGAGACACCACAAACTCATTGGTTGTCTCCGTAAACGCTGGCTCGTGCTCCTCCAGCAATGTGTGGGACGTCAGACTGGTGCGGTCTACGAGCTCGTCGAGGACCAGTTTAGTGTTCTGACCTCCAATTAGGTGTTTGCTCAGCAGACGATCGTTCAGGTCGTTGCATCGCAACAGATCCAGAGAGCTCTCCTCGATATCCGAGCCCATTTCCGACAGATCGCTGACCTCGTCAGTGGTCTTGTCGCCAATCTGGGCCCGGACATTCTCCCTGGGTGCGGGCACTAGCATGCCAATGCTGCTCGGGGTGGCCGAGCTGCGTTTCTTCTTGAACAGCCAGTTGTCTTCCCAGTTTCCCTCACCGATAACACCCGAGGAGATGGATCCTATATCTGATAGAGGGTGGGAAAATTTGTTTAACATCTCAAAGGTGTGGCTTTTAATAGGGGGCAATCACTTACCATCCTCGGATTCGGTGACGGATGCTGAAAAGTCTGGCAGTGGCACCATGTGTGCGGCTATATAATCACTAAGGACGGACTCCCTTTCCAAATCCGTTTGCAGGGACTTGGATTTTCCATTCTGTAAGCAAATCGTTTAGTAACCGTGTTGGAACTCCATCCACGAATCCACTCACATCCAGTCCGATTTCATGATCAGTGAGGCTGCAGTCACTGCGTGGTTCTATCGAGCTTCCGGACGTGGTGCTCAGCGCTTCGGCATTGAAATTCTCGTCAATGTGGCGACCACTCAAGTCCGGCGTACTCTCGGCCAATAGCCTTGTATTCCCTTCCTTATCCGCAATCTGGGGGAGAAAAGGCAAAAGGAAAATATAAACATTTTAGCCCATCGGCCTTGGCATTGTGCAAGAAAAGTGTTGTTGAACCCCTGAGTTCCCGATTTGTTATGGGTCAACTGCTTGTGCCCTTAAGCAGATTAGACCCAGCAATATTTCACTATCCACTTGACGGCCGTTCTTTCGTTTCGTCATCGATTACCAGCCAATATTGATTGAGTGCCAAGACGAAGTCAATTACTGGCCACGTTGCAGAAAGCTATTCGTAATCGTAGTGCGTAATTGGGCAGTTTAATGCTGACTGGATCAGTGACGTTTTGATAAGATCCGAATACCAAAGCGTAGCTAGTTGAGTAATTGTACCAGCAACCCAGGAACATTACTCCGGTAATGTCTTTTTCTGCCATATTTACTTGATCCGCTGGATCGTCGGCCATTATCCTGATTCTGCTGATGAAACTCTCTCGATTTTCCCACGAATTGATTTATCCAATTAGTGCTGCGATTGATTTAAGTGTTCTTCCGCTGCTGCTGCTCGTTGGTTGGCTAAAACGTCTGCACGGGCAAGACAATGGACTGCAACTAATTAGCCTGGTCCGCTTCGGCGATGTGGCAACTGGCCAATAGAAGCCGCCCAAGTGCAGGTCGAACGAAAGCGAAAACTGGACTTACGCGGCCAGTGAAAATGGCGGAAACAGCTAGAACAAGGCTTACAAAGTGGTAGGATTGGGGTTGGGGTGGGTATGGCGGCTTACCTTATTCAGCACCGCCGTGGCCAGAAGATCCTGGTAGATCTTCGGCTCGAAGTAGTGCTCGGTGCGATGGCGCCGCTTCAAGCCATTCCCGTTGGCCAGCTCGGAGGCGTGGGATCGGGTGTCCAGACTGATCTCCGAGACGGCTCCGCTGGCGCTTAGGGACGAGCTCCGCAGGGTCTCCGCTATGATAGTCTCGATGAGACTGCGTAGTCGGGTCTGCGAGATGTCGGCCAGCTCGGAGTCGGCATTGTTGTTATTATTATTATTGCTGTTGTTATTGTTCAGGCCATTGCCTTGGCCGCTGTTGTGGCCATTTACGATGGCTGGCAGATCTGAAAGCAAGTGTCGAGCTTTGTGAGCAAAAATACACGGCGAAGAATGCTAGCCAGTACTACACACTAACAATATGCTTGGTTAGCAAAGATCGATACAATTAAAAGTGAAAACTCGGTTACTTCTAGGCGTGTGAGTGTGTGTGTGAGTGAGTGTGTGAGTGTGTGAAAGGCAAAGAAAGTAAGTGAGTGTGTGAGTGTTTTAGCCATACCTAATTTCACCTCAATGACGTAAACCACGTAAAAGACAATTACGGCCACAACGGCATACATGCCCGTTACTAGGCCCAAAGTGAAGTCCATGCTGCATGCATGCATACGTATATATGGTTTATATTCGCAAATATCGTATGCGTCTGATACGTCCGATACGTCTGATACCGCTGAGTCGTTGATATCGCGCCTATTTGTTTATTTACGTTTGCCGTTGCCGTCCCAATGCAGAGTTGGTATTTGTATTTCGGTTTTGTCTAGCGCTTTCATTGATATAACGGTCGGCTGAGCTGTTAATTATATTGAGCAAATATTTGAGTTGTGTTTTTTTCGGCTTTGTTCCCCTAATTGAGCTCTGAACATAAATTTGTCACCGCCTCCCCTAAACGCTTGAGTAAACGGAGCTTCGATCAACTCTACTCGGGCTGAAAATCGCGACTATGTTGGCATATTCATCATTTTCTTTGACATGCTAAGTCTGTTAACGTATTGCGGTAAATACCACGGCGCATAATGAATAACCCCGAGTTATCTATTTTGCGTTACAATACCGCCCATATTTCTTTATCTGCTGAATGGCTACCTGCCTGAATGGCTAGTCCCCCGTTAGTCATTCAGGTGCGCAAAAATGTCACAGACACAAACTTTTGTATCGAGAACAGGCATTAAAGTGCGAGTCATCAATGGAAATAGCCCCAGAAACTGGCCCCTAGGACAGAACCAGCCGGATCACTTCTCAGAGTCTGTCATTATTGTACGACTCCAAAGTTCAGGGTTCAAGCGAAATCTCGCTGGCAATTATCACTGGCTATTTTCCACTTTTTATATTAATAACTCCCGCCCTGCCAGTGGGTTCAAGTGGCCCGATAAAGTCGCTCAGATGGGTCCGACTTGGATCAGTTAACTGGGGCCGCGATAAGTTGGGTGCACAAGGTCTTATTTAGTTGAGGTCAAAGATAAACTACAGCCAATGGTTTTTAGTTACGGAAACGTGTTGAAAGTCTGCGATCATCGTTTTCACGATCATAATTTGTTGTTAATCTCGGGATTACACATTCAGAGCTCTAAGCGGGGATATCGGGGATCATTAATATTTATTAGCGTTGATTAAGGCCTCTTCCTCATCTGACGCGTTGTTTTACCTCACGATTATTGATTTCTATTTTTGCTCATTTTATTTTTTGCCAACTTGGTGTCGGGTCAAGGTTGGTGATAACTCATCACCTAATGCGGTCTCTTGGTCTGTTTGCTTTGGAGGCTTATCTCTGCAGCTGGAAAAGTTCCTATAACTGCCGGCCAAATTCTTGTTCTATGTACGCGTAGAATGTTGACTTATTCCATGTTATCACACGCGTTTCGGACGGACTGTGTTGGCCCGTAGCTGAATTGGCGTTACGATCGCGGCGGGACGCTTCTAGCAACTGAAGCGGTGCCGTGCGATTGCCGAGCGGTGAGCGGCGAACGTCTAAACGCTCACTCACACACATGAGTTCATATTTTGTATGCGCATGGAGACCCTACAGTGGGCCCGATTGTGAGATTTGGCCGAGAGACGAAGTTTGGCTTTGTAATTTACAAGCGCTTTGCTGATTTAAGCTGTAAGCGTGAGCAAGTCAATAGGTTGTTAAGGCACAACCCCTTGAGTGGTCTTGTAAATAAGTCATTTACGCCAACTTTCTGATCACGGAACCCCCCTGAGCAATGCACCAACGGTGCGTATGATTAATGCCTATCGCTGTCTGCCATCTGAGCTAGGGGCAGCACTTGAAACTGTTGTATCATAATGTTCTCGGCACTTCAATAGCTAAAAAACCTTATCACAACTCTGGAGCCTTATCAACGACTAGCTGACTCTTTGGCGCTTCTTATCAATCAGCATTGACCGCGATTTCAGTAGGTTGAAAAGAGAGGCAGAGATTCCTGGGAGACAGAGTGACAGCGTGTTGATTTTGCCATTTTAATTGGGCTCTCTGATTAAAGCTTGCTGATAAGAACTAGCATTTACTATAGCTTAGGCATTGATTCATAGTTTTTTTTTATGGGCTACAATACAATCCTTGAGCACATGCAAGCCAAGGCTAACACAAAATTAGAAATTTCTTGGGTACTCCGACAACTAGTTATGGTTATGATTTACTAAAAAAAATTAATGAAAAATATATATATTTGTTTGGTTTTGAAAATAAAAATTAGGTCATTATTAATTAAAATTACACTTCTTAATAAATTGGACCTTTGGTCCAAGACTCTCACTATGTTATTCTATTAGATTCTGTATGCCATAACCGGTATGCTCTTTTATGCACGAATTGTTTTAAATTAACCTTAAAGTCGAACCATTGGTGCTGGTAACAATAACAATGCATTGAAAGTGAGTGAAAGCTACATAACCGACAATACTTTATAATAATATATTATAATATTTTTTTAATAACATATCATATCTTGATAATATAAAAGAGATTTATAATAAAATTTATAGAGACATCCATTAATATACTGCCTACAGAAAATACGAATCGATAGGATCTGGGTTAGCGTACAAATCAGACGATTAAAGCGTGCGAGCTCGATCAATAAGTTACTATCGATTACCGATTACTTACCTCCCTTGAGCGCTCGCGCGCACAAACCGTTCTCCACATTGATAAGCAGGTTACTCAGCTTCGGATGGAATTTATCAAAGAGTTGCAAGTCTGATTTGCATGTGTGTGGTTGTGTGTAAGGCATGTGTGTGTGTGTGTGTGTGTGTGTGTGTGTGTGTGTGTGTATGTGGGTTGTGCAAATATTGGTTAATGAGCTAACAAAAGAAAGTAGACAGAAAGATATTCTAGCAAGCTTTCCCTAGAAAGCTTGCCTAAAAGTATGCTTCGATTTGAGTTTCGCAGGCCAGCAACAAATGTTGCTACAGTCTTGGCAACATTTGTTGCCAATTTTGAATGGAGATGTTGCCGCGCCAATTGAATCTCATTTGCACAAATTGCATGAATTGCATTTGCTCTAATCGAATCTCAGGCAATCTGAGTACTTACAATTCTCGCTTTTGGACAGCTGCCCCACTTTGATGTGGTCCAAATTCCCGCCCAGCATTTCGGCCACGATCTCCTCCACGTACTCGCGGATCTTGGCCCGCTCGTCCAGACCGGCAGTCTGACCGATCTGGCTAACGCTCTCGAACTCTGCAACCAAATGAGTACTGTAAGTCCAAACCATGTCCCATGTGTGGCTTGTGGGTCGACTTACGCATGCTGCTGTCGTTGCCGTCGCCCACAATGGGTATGTAGACCTCGCTCCTCGCCCTCATTGGGTAGACGAACTTGTGCTGGTTGAAGGACATTTGCTCGGCCACCCACGACGAGGTGTGGGCCAGCGACTCCTTGGAGCTCTGGCACAGCTGGCACTCCCACTTGGCGTCCTTGGGTCGCCAGTCGGCGCACTTTGGCCCGCGGCAAACGGCTTTTCCGCAGGTGCAACATGTCACGTAGCTGGGAGGGAGAACAATGTTTCGAATACGTAGTTAATTTCTTATTTTCAAGAACAAAATAGATTTTGCCCCAAGTCTAACCAAATACATCGAAACACCCATTAATATGATCGCTTCTTTGGACGTTCTGATCTATAATATTAGAGTACGTAAATATTTAAATTTAGCTATACTTTTTTTTACAAGTATAGATGTTTGGAAATAGTAATATTAGTATAATTTTGGTAATAGTAATTTGTTTGGAAATAGTAATATTAGTATAATTTGATAATACTAAAATATAAAATTTTATACGAATTAAGTGCTGTCACAACAAAGTGGTATCCCACTCCTAAAAACACTTTTAGTGTTATTGTGTATATGTATAACCAATTCCTTAATAAATAAGAAATGTATCTTAAAAAAGGCTGATTGCATTTATTCTGATTAGATGATCTGATTTTTTTTTACAATTATAGATATTTGGAAATAGTAATAGTAGTATAATTTGATGATATTAATATATAAAATATTATTCGAATTAAGTGCTGTGACAACAAAATGGTATCCCACTCCTAAAAACACTGTCAGTGTTATTGTGAATATGGGTTATAACAAATTCTTTAATAAATAACAAATGTATTTCCTAAAAAAGCCTGATTGCGTGAACTCTGATTAGGTGATCTGACGGAAATAGGACTTTTACTCACTTTTTGTCACTGCTCAGATCCAAGTCCGCACAGCAGACGTTGCAGTGGTTATCCTCGCTGGTCTCCTCCTTCTTCCACTTCTTATTGGCTAGTTTGCTGCAAAAAAGGCGGAAGGAATCGCAGATGTTATTTCGCTAACGGTTGGATAATCGAAAACCAGACGATTAGTCAGGTCAGTTGTGACGAACCGCCGGGGTTATTCAACGGCCAGAAGGTCGTAGACGGAATTCAGCAATTAGTCGGTAGCCATCGATCGTGTTGCTAAACTTTGGAAGTGGTCAAACAATCCCCCAAACAAAGAGTCGTCGCTCCACCCAAACGCAATTGCATGTCGCAATTGACTTTCTCCCTGGATACCCAGCGAATTGCATAACAAACCAAACCCGTTGGACCAGGCAAACAAACACTGAACGTGGTTTTATAGTCAGGTTTAATCATCTTACTAAAGCAGTATCGGATAGCTTAAAATACATGTAGCTCTATCACACATCTTACAATCTAACGAGACGCCTTGTCTCGATATGCATTCGGATTATGTCAGTCACTTACAGTTCTTACACAAGAGAGAAGAAGGGAATTCCTGGGTGTCTTGTACGTGCTCGAAATGAGCAATCGCCAATCGGTTTGCTGCTTAACTTATTCAAATGGCAAAATTCGCAATTTCGTTTACAAACAAACAAATATAATTTAAGGAAAGCTAGCGAAAACATTACACTGGCGAAAGATTTCAATATTTTACAAGGGCCATTCAAATCAACTAAAAACAAAAGTGAAAAAGAAAGCTCAGTCAGTATACCCGCTTATAGCCGCTACAACTAACTTAAATTTAAACCCAAGTCCCATTAAGTGGCCAGGTGTTGCTGCTGCTGCTGGTGTTGCTGCTGTCGCTGGTGGAACCGCATCCTCCTGCGGGCCCAGTGCTCGTAGTTGTTCTCCAGATTCTCGTAGTAGATCTGCTCCTCCGCGTCCGGGCCTCCGTTCTCCTCCCAATCGTCGGCGGGCGGTCCGAAGACCGGATCGCTGGTGGTCAGCTTGAGCAGCACCACCTCCATGGTGCAGGCCATGAAGAGGAACCCCAGCACCGCAAAACTGATGGGCAGGCACATCATCCGCTCCACCTGGCACAACAACTCCGGGGAGAAGAGCATTCTCCCTGGGTCTGGATAGTCCGTGTGGTCTTTCTGTGCTGGCCCCAGTGTCCGGACTCCAGTGCGATCGGGTTTTCAGGTATTCAAAATGTTTGTCGACTGATTAGCGCCGCTGGGCTTGCCGGGATTTGGCATGGCACTCGCGTTGAACCGATTTCGCCAATGGAAGCACTAAATGCCAATTCGCTATCAAATCGCGATCCGCGTCCCACAACACTGACAACTTTCTCGCACAAGGTTCGCCTTTGTTATGCGCAGTTGGCTTTGAGAGTCGGCGGTCAACAGCTGAGATCGGGTCTCTATAGCCTCCCTATCGCCTCTCCATTCTCCATTCGTCATTCACTATAGCGCCACATCCACATCCATATCCATATCCCATGCCGGTTTCAAACGCGGAGAGACCGAGCGGGAGCACTGCGATCGCCACTCTCCACTCTCCATTCTCTAGCGCTAAACAAACTCGTTCATGACGTAAGTACTGTAGTCCCCCTGCATATAGCCCCCGTCGAACAGGTCTATGTAGCGGAATCCGAGCCATGACTGCGCATATTTGCAGGCAGATTTATCGCCTTTCTTCTCCGAAATCTGGGCTCCACAAGAGCTGGAAATCTGGTCGAACAGGAACCGTTTTGTGGGAGATACGTGGTCCAAGCTCAACAGGCAGCATCATCGGCTGTCCACTGCATTCATTTGTCTACTAATTTATTTTTGGCAATGTTTTTCCCGCTTGCCGTCTTGGCCTGAACTTCATTAATTTCCAAATGCTAATTGTGAGAAGCATTCCGCAAACGAGTTAGCTTAGTTCTTGTCTGGCAAAAATTAATGTATGCATGCTGCGAGCGGTTTATTAACTAATCAATCGACTGCTGACTGAATTCGAGTCTAGTTTAATTATTATTTCGCCAACAAATGGCGCCACGAATCGACAACACTTTCATCCGCTCGAAATTTGGCGAACATTTTTCAGAGACAAATCGCATGTCTTGAGATTCCCAGAAATCTGTGTTGAGAATCTGGGTTAATATATGTAAGTCTCATGTATCCGATTAGCATATTCCCGCACGAGAAAGCGTCAAGCCCTCAGGTTCTGTCTTTATTAATAACACAACCAAGAGCTTTCACAAACGCTTCATTGATAATAGAATCTTCAGAATTTCCCAGAAGTTGAAGCTGAAGATTATTATATACTTGGTATAGGACATATTTCATGTGAGTAAGTGGCATGATAAAATTGTTTTGAAGGGTTAATAAAGTTTTAAGAAACTCAAAGTATGTGTTACACTTATTTTCTGACTTTTGAGAGGTCATTACTGACATTAAGTATGAGAAACTAACTTAAAGAGCATAATTTCCTTTTCGAAATTTCCAAAGAAATAAATTTAAAATTAAAAAAAGGAAGCCTAAAAGCATGCATTAAAACACTTGCAAAGTGGGCTGTATTTTCAGAGCCTTTGGCCACAGTTGTAGCTCAAATAAAATATTAGTAAATCACATATGACTAAAATTGCTTTTGTTCAAATATTTCACACACAATTTCCGTCTGCAACTTGTTATTGTTCTCACTCTCACATGCGGCTTTAGATCCTACTTTCCACCGTTAAAAATGGTTTAGATATAACTTTTTTATTGCTTTTCACTTACCACAAGGCCAACATAACTCGTTTGTTCTCACTTAAGTAGCAAAAAAAAACTCAGAATATCTGTGGATATCTCTACTGTGGAATCGGCCAGCGTTAATTGCATTTGGCTGACTTTCCACAATTCCACAACTTGTTTGGCTCTTAGCGCTAACTATTCAGTTGTACATTTATAACATCAAGACGTCTTTAAAAACCGCAAAATGATCAGTGAAATAAACGTTTACTCAAATTGCTCTTCAGGCACATTAAAGTTTATTTACACTATGGGCTGAGCCTCATAAAATTGTATTTATAAGCCCAAGTCTTTACTTAAAATAAATTAAAGTTGGAATAAGTTATTTTTATGTTTTAATTTTTTAATTACCTTTGCACTTTTCAAACCTATCAAAACAGGAACCAAACTTCGGCCAGGCGAAGTTTATATACCGTGCAGCCTTTTAAAATATAATATTCTTTAAAACATATAAATTACGATTTATATATGTATATGTTTATAAACATTCAAGCTATGATTATTTTCAGCTAACATTTTTTTTTTCCGTGTGAAGGGTACTATTTTCAGTCATTATATATGTATAGTCTTGATCAGCATAACTGGGAGAGTCGATCTAGCCATGTCCGTTTGCCCATATGTTTCTACGCTAACTAGACTCTCAGTTTAAAAGCTATCTGCCTAAAACTTTCCCAAAAAATGTCTTTCTATTGCAGGTACGAAACGAGCCGGCTCGGACAACTATAGCATATAGCTCCCATTGAAACAATCTGAAAAATAAATAAAAACAAGAAAGGAAGCAAACTTCGGCAATCCGAAGTTCATATACCCTTGCAGCCATTGCAAAAACTAAATATTTTTGAACACATTACAATTTGATTTACTTGCGTGTATGTTTAAAAACATTGAAGCTATGATGAATTTCAGCTTAATTAATCGATAGTTCCTATGGCAGCTATATGATATCGTTTTCCGGTTTTAATATAATTAAAAGCGTAGTTCTGAACTGTCAAATTAATAATAAATCAAAAAGAATTAAAAAAAAATTTACAAAATAGAAAAGTTACATTTAAAACGAAAAAAAAATTCACATATTTTTATTGTTTCCATGGGAACTATATGATTTAGTCGTCCGATTTTAATGAAATTTAAACCGTAATTCTGAAATATTTAACCATTACTATATGTTGAAGAACTAAAACAAAATTAAAAATAGTTAAAGTTATAATTTTTTTGTATTTATTTTCCGATTGTTCCTATGGGAGTTATATGATATAGTCGTCCGATTTTGATAAAATTTAATCCGTAGTTCTGAAAAAATTAACTAATAATATATGTCGAAGAACTAAAAAAAATTTCAAAAACAGCAGTTACAATTTTTTTTATTTATTTTTCCGATTGTTCCTATGGGAGCTATATGCTATAGTCGTCCGATCCGGACGGACTTTATGGGAAAGTTGCATGCTTTAAAACTGAGAGACTAGTTTGCGTAAAAACGGACGGACAGCCTGACAGACGGACAGACGGACGGACAGACGGACGGACAGACGGACATGGCTAGATCGACTCTCCAAGTGATGCTGATCAAGAATATATATACTTTATAGGGTCGGAGATGTCTCCTTCACTGCGTTGCAAACTTCTGATTGAAATTATAATACCCTGCAAGGGTATACAAAATGACTTTGCTGTTTTTAAATTTTTAGTTCTTCGAGATTTAATAATGGTTAAATATTTCAGAACTACGATTTTAATTTCATCGAAATCATAAGAATATACCATATAGCTCCCATAAAAATAAACAAAATATTGAAAAAATACATAATTTAAACAAAAATTTAACTTATCTTTTTTCACTTAAAAAAAACAGTAATAATTTGATAATTCAGTATTACGCTTATAGCTCCAATCCTTATAAACATACACGCAATAGCTACAAACTTCTGACTTAAATTATGATACCCTTTTCAAGAGTATAAACTTATTTTTCTTGCTCTTGGTTGTTCAGAACGGAATAATTAATTTGTAAAACGAGATTAGCAATCCGACATTAATTTTTATTCTTTTTACTTACATTTTGAAATGCAACATGAATTTTTCGTGGCTTGCACAAGTGTTCTAAAATCTTGATCAAGACCAAGAAAAAATGTAGTCTGTTGCATTAAAGTGTGGGATTTGCTTGAAGTTATACAGTTTCGAAACGTATAGTATGCTAGCACACTCAAAAATGATGTGTAACCATCGCTATAGTAGTAATACAAATAAAATTGTCAACAAAGCGGCTAATTAAGTTGCCATTGAAGGTGACGAAAGGCAAACAATCGAGGGGCGTTGTTGGCCACGGCTAATTGTTATTGGCAATTCGTGACGCTTTTTAAGGAAAACGCGAATAGGGGGGTATGGGGATGGGGGAAAGTAGTGCCCTTTGTTGGCCAACGACTTCCGTTGGCCATTCCTCAAGAATCTGCGGTTCTTACGGCCAAATTCACGGGAAGTCAATGACAGTTGGTCTGGGATTGTTATGAAACGTCTAACGGAGCGGCAGACCATCGATAGAGCACAACAGGTGCAGCATAAATTGGAAACAGGTGGCGGAGATTGCGCAATCCCTGATTAAGGCGAAGCTACGTACTCGATGCCCAAAGTGAGCAACTGCTGCCGAGGCAAGTGGTAAGTAGCAAGAGGCAAGTGGCAAATGGCAATGGCGGCTGGAGAAATGGCAACAATTATGTCAAATCTGCTTCACTTCGCCATTTCCCACACGCAAACGCAATCAAGTCGTGCGAAACGATGGACACGTAACCGGGTTGAAGCTGCAGTCAAGAAAGTTTGGTTTCATTTTCAATTTGGACTTATCTCGCGCCGCATTTGTATCTCCGATGCATCCGCACGTGCGGATCCGGAGTTTAGCTCACGTATCCGAACTTGCATCCATGGGACGCAATGGTTTGCTTTATCTCCATTTTATTAACTCACCCCATGAGCTGCTGGGCGCCACATTGCAGCAGGTAGGCGCCTCCGATGAGACCCACCACGGAGGTGAGTCCCAGCAGTAGATTCCCACTTCCAGGTCGACAGATTGGCAGCTCCATGATGCAGATGTAGGGTCGCAAGTAGCGCTTCAAGCACTGCGGAGTTCGCATTGAATTCGGTTAGAATATTGACTGCTTTGCATTTGCCTTAGAACCACACACACACAATTCTGGAAAGCTCTCCCCACGCCTATCGAACCCCCAAAATCGACTAAATCAATGAAATCGTCTCGCATAAAACTATTTTGTGCTATCAGAAGCAACCTTTCTGCCACCGAACCATTTTTTATATATTGTGAGCATTTAACGTGTTTTTCGGCCAATTCATACTTTGGCCTTAATCTTATCAAAAAGTTTCTGTTTGTTCGTTTTAAATTACCAAGATTTCGACGTGGAGTTGTGTGGGTGAGTACCCTTTGCAGGGCATTTAAGTTTCGGCAAGTTAAAGGTTTTAAATATTAAACCGAAGTAATTACATCTTTAGTAAAATTACTTCCCAGTGAAAACATCACGTAAGAAAATATTTTTCCAATTGGTCACATTTGATTTCGTGACTAAAAAAATAGAAGGAATATAAAGGCAATAAATAACTTTCAACATAAAGAAAAAAAAACACCAGTCTCTATAATTAAGCGATATAAGAACACTTGTCATAAATCATTTTGGAAAACATTATTCATCATTATTATGCAAATCTTATCGCATAGTTCGGATGCAGTCACTTCTGAGGAGTTCAAAAAGCACTAACTGCAATCGTTTGAATCACGTACTGGCCGCTACTAATTTCTTTATTTATTTGCCAAGTGCTGTTCTTTGTGTTTATTTTTGGCCCGCCGCGATTAGCACTAATTAAAGTTGATAAATGTATGAATGTGCTTTTTGAAAAATACTTATCGACAGTATTGCTGTTTTCTGGCGAGATGGAAGTTTAGAGTTGCATAACTTGCGGTGACTTTTGCATTAATTACAAACCAAATTTATAGCTTCAGGTGTGTGTGAGTGGTTCTAAGAAAAATGTGTTTAATTATTGTGTTATTCACTTGAGTTGGCATCAAAGCTGTTGGCTTTATGGGTATTTTATTTTTGAAGTCTTCCAACTGAACCGAAGTGAACTTCTCCGGGGGAATTTCTGAATAAATAATTACCACAAATTTGAGTTTTTCGTTTGGCTCGTTATTTCTGTTTGCAGTTATGTACGACGATTATCAATCACTTTCGGGAACATATTCCGGAGGTGTTTGGCACACGAACTCGGCCCGCTGATTGCCTTCGCCCCGCACCACCGATCACCTCAATCCATCTTCAGAAAACCCAGACCGACGACACCGAAAACAGCCCCGACTGCATGACGCAGAAATTGAAACAAATCACGGCTATTTGCTCGACACAAAACTGATTAAGATCACGCGGCTAAGGGCTTCCAGTGCCAACGATCTTCGCGTTAACTCAACGACTGGAGCAGCTGACTCCGACTGCGACTGGAGCGGCGACAGGTTTGTTTTAGCCAAGTTATATTCGGTATTGTTTACTTTTTGCACAATATATAACTGGGGTATATGGGCATTATATTGGATTTTGTTTGCCCACTTCGCTATTGCGGCTCGCGTATATAGCCGACCGCCGAATTGATAAGAGCTCCGCTCGCGTCCAGTGATAAATATATATATATATATCTCGGTATGCGACGAAAAGTTCGCAGATAAGTGTCAAGACTATTTTGAAGGCTAAGTCACATACAAGTATATACTATTTCCAATTGCGTTAATTATATGGCCTAATTCAGTTTCAAATAATCGCATTTCCTAGGGTATTTTTTTAAATTTATTTATTTCTTTTAGGTTTTGTGTGCGTTACGGGCGAGTAACCGAAATGGAACTGGCCCTTTGTGGCGCAGTGGGTCGGAGCATTGCTGGCCATGCAACAAGAGGGTGGAAAGCAAATCCCCATTGAGCCGCCCAAAGATGGACAGTTATGACCCCGTCCCATCCAATATTCGTCGGCACTTCGCATTGTCCAACGGACGTTATGCAAATGCAAATGCCACTTGGCAGCTGCCAGTCACATGTCCGCAGCTTGGCTGGTGGCAAGAGTTTGTGGCCGAAAGAAAAAGCCTCCGAAATCGATTGGCCCTGCCATTGGGCAAGCAAAGCTTACGGCAATTAATTGGTATTAATCAACTTAATTATGAAATATTCGATAAGATTGCGCCTCCACTCCTCAGGCAGCGATACTCGTGTGGAAAAACGAAATTATCATGCTTTGAGGTGTAACAGCCAGTCGATTCTGGGATGCTCTATACTCTTTACTTAAATATGCTCAAAATAGTTATTTTACACTTTGATTGATACCATTAGGTACAATATTGTACGTAATAAAAGTGTTCTTACAACGAATCATAATTTGTATTGTTATCTATTTCAATCCAAGGCTTTGCCCATTACTTTATAAGCAATATTTATAACACAATCAACAGACAACCATACAGTTTAAAGAGGTACCTTCAATTATGATCGCAAAACTGGGTTGGTCGACCATTATCATTCTAATGGAACTTCCCCGCCACTTCGTATTTTTTCCCAAACAAATTGCAAGCTCATTTGAAAGCGCTGTGGCCAGAAGCACTGGGTTTCTCTTTGACAATTGTCGAAACGGATTCCCAGAAGAGCCCAACTGCTCACGGAATGACTTCTGGCTGACTGACGCAGTGACTGACTGCGCCCGAGATTTTGTCATTTCCATTTTGAGGTCGGCAAAATTTGCATAAATTGATATCCGCCCGCAGTCTGAGAGCTGGAGATGCATGTGCGCTTTGCAATGTCTATAAGATTGTGGGCTCCATGCGCACCCAAGTCGACTTGGCCCAATAAGCCAATCCCAGCTGTCAGTTGCTTCCGTTATGGCCACAAGAAAAAAAAATATCTTAAAAAACTTTTCACACCAGTTTTTAAGTTAATGTAGCTTATAATTATATTTTAAGAACCTTTCCAATCCGGAATTGTGACTACGGATTTACTTTTTTGGTGTATTTATTCCGTTGTTCATTGTATTCGTTGAAAAGTATGTAACAGGTAGTAGGAAACGTTTCCGACCCTACAAAGTATATCTATTCTTGATCAGGACCAAAAGCGGAGTGGGCTTAGCCGTGTTCGTCTGTCTATTCGTCTGTCCGTCCGTATGAACGTCGAGATCTCGGAAACTTTAAAAGCCAAAATATTGGTTTTTAAAATGCAGATCCTAGTTATACCCAAGCAGCCCACAAATCATGGTTTTTGTTTTAAATTGGGTAGCTAAGTAAAGGGTATATAATAGTCGAGATACTCGAATATAGCGTTTCTTCTTGTTTAAATTGGGTAAAATGCTAATACAAACACTTGTAGTTAAATCTTTTAGTATTAAGTTAACAAACCAAGTCAAAATAATATTTGATGGAATTTTTGGAAAGGGAAGAGTACAACCGGCTTGATTAGTGTTAATTAGTACCAAATAATTCGCTTAATGCTATTATAAAAACAACCAAAAAGGTTTTTAACAAACAGAGACAGTAATATGAAATCCATATGGATTTTGCTCCAAGGTTGAACTCACCTTAATCTATCGCGCAGCTGCTGGTGGGTGAGATGGTCCCGCTGCAACACCTGGAGGATGCGCTGGCACTGGTGCAGTCGCTGGCGTCTCCTTAGTGTCGGGGTTTCCGCCTCCAGCACCGCGATGCCACTGTCCACACTGGAGTTCAACTGCTGCTGGACGGGATCGGGACTACTCTCCTTGCTGTTGCTGTTGCTGATGTTGCTGGTGTTGGCGATGCTGCAGCCCGCTGGCGATGTTGCTGCTGGCGCTTCGCCTGCCATGTTGCTGCTGTCGCCGACGAATGGTGTGTGCAGTTTGTTTGTGAATTTAGAGCGGCCCTAGGCCATTTCCGCACTCAGTATCTCGGGGATACACTCCTCTCACGCACATGAAACACTTTAAGCAAACAAATTGGCTTCACCGACTTTTTTGTGTGCTAATTACGCGCCAGTTACGACCATTGTTTTGCCACTGAAAGCGGGCCCGCACTGCTTCGACTTGGGCCGCCAAAAAGTCGCTTACGGAGCAGGTTATCAGCCGACGCGATATACAAATTCAAGACTTCCCATGGAGGGTGCTGGTAGTGTGTTTATGCCTGGGAGCGTTCGCTTTCGTACTGCAATCAAAGGAATTTTTGGTTTATTTTTACGGCCGGGACCCATAAACAAATGCGGCAGCAGATAACGAACTTCTCGCCCCCAGCTCTCAGATAACCAGAATCTGGAGCTGCCTCATCGCTCCCCATCTTAAAAAACTCCCCTGACGTCAGTGCGTTGGTCTGTCACCTTCGATGCTATATATTCACGAGATATATCTGGGTGTTGCTGCGCCCAAGCTGAAATATGCATTTACAGCTGCGCTTCGCACGCCCAAATATGTAAATTTGAGGCACGTAATTACGCAGAGTGCTTCGATTTGGCCGGTTAACCCATTTGGCTGGCAATGGATTGAGTGGCTCAACGGTTCATCTGGGAAAGAGCCTCAAGCCCCAGGCTCCGAAAATATTTGGCAAATGTCGGCAAGCGAAAAAGTCCAAAGCAGAAATCCCAGCAAATTGGAAAAGAGAAATTCTTGGCCTACAGTTTTTTTTTTTGTTTTTTTGGTTTTGGCCAGTTAAATGGTTGACTTGAAATGCTGACAGTGTGTCTGCCAGAGTATCTATGGATGGATAGATGGATGGCTGGTTGGAGCAAACAAGATGATTACGGTTTTGTATTTGACGCACTTGTTGTTCGGTTACCAGAGTTCGCTGTTCAGTGTTCAGCGATTGTTGATGGTTTTGGACAAGAGAAACAAAAAAAGCTGGTCTACGGGTCTCTAAAGAAATTTCTTTGGGTGAAAACCGGGCGAACAAAATGTGGATATGTGGAAATTCTCTCAATGGGATTTGCTGCAGATTTGAAAGATAATTTAGGCTGTGCAACAGCATGATATGCAGTTCCCCAAACAATGCAGCAATTAAAAATGCATTTGGCCATGCATACCAAACTAAAATCCGGCGTTTTGCATATCATTTCTGTTGAGGTTGGTCAACAGAAATTGATTTCCATTCCAAGTGCATTACCCAACATGCATCAGTTTTACCTGCATCTATGTATATTTGTATCTTTATGTGCCTGTTTTTTGTATCTACGAGTTGGGTTTGTGCAATTTTCACACAATTGTTTGCGGCATTCGCATGGCATGTCGAATTAAGTTGTTACAGTAACTAATCTGATGATTAATTAGACAACAATTTCAGATGCAATTGGGTCGCCGGCAAATGGGTCAACTCCTTCCGGAGATCTGGCTAAAAAGCACTGCTTAAGCTGAAGCTACCTGTTGGCTCAATTAACTATGACAGCGTTTTTATACACAGAGAAAAATTGCGAATGCATACCTACGGAATAACACAATTTAACGAAAATCGTACAAAATTAAAAATTAACTGACAATAATCTTGATCTTTGTTATCAATACAAAATAGTCAAGAAGTTCATAACAAAGGGTTTCGATTGTTTCAATTTTTGGGAATTGATTTCAAGCGTCTTTTTCCAAGTCTGGTTTTTATGATATAGTAAAAAATATAGGTTTGCTTATATGAAATGGTACTTAAACAAGGCCAAGTATGGGTATTTTTTCACTGTGCGCATTTGCAAATATTTGAAGGGAAACTATTTATCTAACAGCGGGTGGGGAGCGGGTGAGCCGCTATCAATGTAGCTTTTACTAACGGTTCACAGTCTCTTCCCGGCCAGCTTTAATAGCCATGCCACACACATGGACCCGCACATACATCCACCGATATATATATATATTTATAGATACTATATCCATATGGTGGTGCCGCAGGGCGCAGCCGCAAATGCCGACTCATTGGGAAATTAGTCAAAGCAATTCCACGCCAATGATGCGTTGCCCAGAGTTTCTTTTTGTGGTGAACTGAGCTGCCTCCCCATGGCCCCTTTGAACAACAATCTGCTTAAATGAACGGAAGTCCGCAATGCAGACGCCAGTCGCTGGTTAATACTGTTAACCGATGCTGTCCGATTGGTTTTGGTTATCTCAGTTTTCTCATTTTTCTCGCTGTTACTTGCTTACTTTTGTTCGTTTTCAATTTACGGGTGAAATGGCAGCTATTTCTGTTTTTTCGTTTGTAAAAGTTGTTTTCACTGCACTGGCTAACAAGAAAATAATGAACAACAAATTTAAAGCACACGCAGAAAATCAATGGCAACGATTGGATACCAGCGGAAGTGCAACCTGTGGCAATTTCTCACACTCGGGGGTAGTTTCAGGGTTCGATTCCAAATGCAAGCCAACTACAGTGCTCAATCGAAAGCATGAACTCTAACTGAATTTTTATTTTCAAAAACAATAATGCATTCTAGAGGTGAAAATAAGGATGTAAAGATATACACTACTATTTTGATATATTAATCTCATCTATTTTCGATTAAAATTCTTTTAAAATATTAATTGTGGGCTATACATATTTTAGCTTCGTTTCATAATAAAAAAAATTATAGGAGTTGTAAATAGTAAAGTTTTTACTAAGAACACCGCTTAGTAATAACAAAAATTACTCAGAAATTCTTGACCGATAAAATGTAAAACTCACTAGAGTCATTTAGTTATTAAAGTGTATTGTTCTTATAATTTATACGCTCATATTATTTAAACGAAATTTTTAAGTGATATAATAAAATAAGCTAAAACGAAATATATTCAAACAAAACTTTTTAAGCACAACAGTCAAAAAACATGGAAATAATTTAATTTAGCTTGCAGTAGTTGTTGTTAAATATTGTTTTGCGGTAATTGGTTCCCTCTTTGGATCTTGCACTGCGTCGGCAATGTTTTGGTTTTCGGCTGACATTGACACCTGTTCACCTGTCCACCCGGTCACCTGGTCACCCCTTTGGCCCCTTCCACTGCCATTTATTCTTTCCGTTTTTCGTTAGTCGCTCTTTGCTTTTTGTCATTTGCTTTGCGCATGAGTCGCTTGCTTAGCTGCTGTTGTTGTTGCTGTCACTTTGGGCATATCGCACGCTCCAGTGACCTATTATATATATAGTGTCTATATAGTGGCAGGAGGTGCAGGGCTCTCACAAACACAATCACACCGCACCGCACGTTCAAGCACTAGAATGTTTCGGTTGTGGGACAAGGCTCATAGGGCTGCCCTTCGAGGTCCCGCTTCAACGGTTCGAGGTTCGGGGCTAGGGGTTTGGGTTCGAGGCTCGAGCTTCGAGCTTCGAGGTTCACTTATCGCCCGGAGACTCGTAAAGATCGCGCTATTATAGCCCTGTATACTCCGTACCCTGCGATTTCGAACGTCACTCCGTTTGTGCAGAAGGTTGAAACGCGAATGAGCGGAGAGCCGCAAACTTTGAGCTGCGTGTCTGGCTTACCGAAGTTGCTGTAGCTTTACCGTTTGTGTTCGGTTCTCTCTGGCACTCTTATTCTCTCTGGGAATATCTGTCTCTCACTCTCTGTATTGTTGCTGCTCAACAGCTGTCACAAAAATTTAGCGGCAAACTTTTGTTCTGCCCTCTTCTTCAGCCAACCTTCTTCCACATTTTGCATCGGCTTTTGGGGGTAGAACTTGTTTTTCGGGAGGGGGTTGACAAACGGGTTCCGATTTCAAGTTCGACGCGGGTCTAGGGCATGGAAAAAACGATTCTGCGGAGGGAGTGCATATTTAACCCTGCGAGCTTTCTGATTCTCGAATTTTCCGATTTCAGTTTTTGAACCTACCGAGTTTTGTATTAAGAATGTAAAAAAAATTTCTACTAATCAATGGGACATAACAAGATAGGGAACAAAGTTTGGCTTGCCGAAGTTACTCTAACTCTTTCACTACCAACTTTTTTCCTGTAGCCTTTTATTTCATTTGAATTTTTGTATGATGATAACAATCTAAGAAAGTTTTGGACAAAATTTGATGTTGACTGAGGAACGTTGGCCGTGGTTGTACATATATAAAACATTTGTTTTTTTTTTATTGTTTAAATGTTGTTCATTTAATTTTTAAATATTAATTTGTTTTAATACTGAATTTGTTTACTTCACTTTAATCATTGTAAATCAATTATTTAAATACCTTTGCCAAATTTAAGAACACAATTTTCTCCGAAACTCATATTTTTGGAAGACACTAAATCTATATACTATTTCAATAATATATTACAAATGTTCCGAGTTATGATTTGTACTAGCTGATGTACATATAAGATACCGCAGACTTATCACATTGACATCTAGTGGGTTAATATTTTGCATTGCGTCCAGTTGTCCCAGGTACTTAACTTTTTCTTAACAGCTTTCTTCCTATTTGTTTTCTCTTCAGCTCTGCTATTTCTCTCATTCTTTCTTCCTGCCAGACTTTTCGCCCGCTCAAACTTTTCCACTTAGCGCGACGTGTGCTAAAACGTTAATTTGTATGCATAGGGAAGCAATTGAAGATGGGAGATTGCAAGAAGGAGAGGCAGTGACGGTGACAGAAAAGGGAGAGAGAGAGAAGAGAGAGGGGGGGACGGAGCCGCAGACTGAGACGGCGGCTAAAACTGACCACTGGAGATGGAGATTCGGTTACACAAGTTCAGTTAGAAGGAAGTCCCGCGAAAGTAGACAGACAGCTATAAATAGTTTATGGTTCGGCCAGCCGATTTGGGTAGTACCCTACCTCGGGGCCTCGGGAGAGCGAAAGACACAGAAAGCGGGTTGTGCCTGGTTTATGTTTATTGCCTCGCTTGGCCCAACTCGATGTCGGTACTTGTACTTGGCTCTGCGTGGAGTAGGAAGCGTTTAACTACCTTTGAGAGACATTTGATACATGGGCAAGTCGAGTTTTGCGGAGTTTATTTTTGTCTGCGTTTTCTTTTCGTTTTATGTGTTTTCGCCGACCCTCCTGCTACGCCATTCAAAGCAGCACATTGCACCTGACACACTCACCTGCGATGGAGGAACAACCAGACACACACTGAGGAAAATGGTGGTTCCTAGGTCAGGAAATCGTCAAAGAAAGCCTAGTAAAAATAGCAGTTCTAAAAGCACATAACTTGTACAATAAAACACTGCGATTTACTACTTTATAACACTTCTTAAAATCGCTTAGGCTTGGATGACTCAATCAATTTTAAGCTTCAATTTAATGAAATGAATCAACTAAAATCTTGACCTACTTAGATATATAAGTCCAGTGTGTCATTCCAGTCCTAAGCAAACAATTATTTTTTGAAACAAAAACTAACAACAAAACAATTTTAAACACCTTTTGTTCTTCAGTGTATAGCCTACAGCATTCTGTAACTTTTAAGCTTCAACATTTTGTTCAACTCCTTTATCTCACTCTTTTAGTTCTGCAATTGATATGCCGGCGAGAATGAGAATACGAAGCACATGGAGCATTACCAAGATGACTTTCCGTTCTGCCCAGCATTCACATGAAAATTCCTCGCCATCATCCCGAGAGATAAAATGCGCAGAACCTCTGAAAACCGTTAAGATAATCATCAATGAACGCGCGATTGGGTGAATGAGTGAGTGGGAAAGAGGCGTGTTAGCCACCTCGCATGCCATTGTTTATGTCCCGTGGACTCGGTTGTTTATGACCGAAATGAGGGTCCGATCTTCCATATCAAATAAGTTTATTCGGTGGCCAATTTGCCGGCGCTCCGATCGGTGAAAGCATTTCATCAACAACCAGCACCCACTTTCGATGGCCAGGGCCAGTGGAGTTATTTGTAAGCATCAATCAAATGGTGGAAGATTACTTTACGATTTTATGCAAATTGGCAAACTTTCGAGGCCTGAGAAGTAGGTCCACAGAATCAATTTGGGAATAATTTTAATTGTATTTTGATACTCAATTAAATATATTAAGGCTAATAGACTTTATTTGGAAACCCAAATAGTCAAAGCCTAAAAGTTTTTTTTAGAGACAAATTGACTTGAGTCAGTCAAAATCGAAATTCTTAAACAACCTTATATAAAATTCAATTAATAAGGATTTCGAATTTTGATTTAAGCGAAGAGAATCGAAGCGAATCAAATCGAATCACCTCGAGTTCAAACCAAAAACTACGATTAATGTATAATTGTTTTGCAGGGTTCATTGTAATAAATAAAACTATGTATATTACTTAACGAAAATGTACCACAACTTTTTGTTGCTAATACATGTAAATTACATTGATTTATTGGCCAAAACACTAATTAACAATTTTCTATTGCGGATAAAGAAAAATTGTTTTAGATTTTACGACTTGTACATATGTATGCCTCTTTCAGGTAAAAGATACACGGAGTCTGAGTATGAATACTAATTTAATTCCAAAAACCATGATCATTAATTAATAGGTAACATGTTTAACAAAAATTGGTATTGTGAACTTATATATATTTTTATATTTTTGCTTATTTATTACAACGTTGATAAGAATTGCATTAGCCCGGGTGCACATTAAGTATACGCATTCTGTACAGAGCAAAGAACAAGAACTGTTAAACTCTAGGCTCAAACTACAGAAATGGCTGATGGCAACAAGTGGCTGATTTGAATTCCCGCCACTAAGCGCGAATCACCCTATTTACGCGGCAACCTATGACAGAAAACTTTGCACTCTTTCAGGCTGTTTCCTATACGTATATTTGTAAATTTAATAAAATTATTTCTCAAAGATAGCACTAAACATTAATTATGTTTCGGCTGGTTGGCTGCAGCCGCTCCTTGTTTGTACCTGCGCAGTGGAGAGTCCGGAGAGCAGCTAGCAGCCAGCATCCACATCCACAGCATCCGCGCCAGCTGATTACCACGAGTGGATCGCAAGCGCCTGACGTATATAAGGGACCGAGGCAATAGGATTCAAGTAGTCCTGTTCAGCGATTCCTCCCCAAAGTGTTGGCTTTTAGAGAAGCGAAACTGAGGCAGCAGCAGCAGAGTCCGCAGAAAAGGAGGGAACTTTTGCAGTGCAGAGCAAATATTTAAAGTGCCCAAGTACGTGTGGGCTTAGCCCTAAGCGAAAGCGAGATGACAGTGCCGTGAATTATACAAGTTGCTAACCCCATCTAATAAATGAATTCCGTTCTGCTCCTTTGCTCCATTCACCATTCACCATTCACCATTCACCAAACGCCATAGCCACAGGCTTCACTAGCAACAGCGGTACCGCACTTTAGCGCGCCAACCGAAGATATCCGGCTATATCCTGCATCCTGCCAGGGAAAAGGGTAAGTAACAAAGCAAGCGTTTTCGTCATGCATTTGATTGTAATTAAAAGAAATGGCTTTAATTGCGAGTTGAGTGCGTGCATTGCCGAGAGTGGCGCCCGCGCAAGGACCT